ACTTAAAAACGCTGCCATAAACTAGACGCATTTCATTCAATCTAAGTGTTAATATTAAATAGCCTGAATAAGCTATAGATACGGCAGCTCAAGCGAGTTTTTTATGCATTATTTACCAAACACGATTAAGGCATGGATAACTGAGATGTCGTACCTAGAAAGAGTGAAAATAGCGACCAGTTTCTTGCCCAATTCGTGTGCATGCCTAAAGCCATGGGAAAACAAAAGAGTTTCAGCAATTAAATCGTTGTCTGGCTTAGTCATTGATACGGGCCTGAAGAGCTGTTTTAAATTGTCAGGCAATTTCTGACGGCCACCATAACCTTTTCCTGCTGGATTCATTGTTATGAAAATACTTGCAGTCGAATTGGGCTTTATGGACTTTCCCAAGAGCTCCAGGGTTGACGCGCCTGAACGAAGGCCATTTTGTATGACCTAAAAATGGCCCAAGAGTTTAGGTACACAATAAATGAAAAAAAATGGGAGGCTACAACTGGTCACTAGAGTAAAAGTACATACCAGAAGATGACGCCCATGCAAAGTGTGTACGCCTATGTTACAATATCTATGATCCCAACCAGTGAACTTCGCCCATCATAGCGATTCCTGTTTTCATTACTTCAGCGAAGACAATAAAAATTACCTTGATTGCTATCGCTTGAATAAAACCAGCGGGATTTTAGACTTCTAGAGCAGGCATGAGCCATAGAGATAATTTATTTTGAGCAGAATATTTTAATTTCAGGTCTCCTCAAAAGAAGCAACTATACAGATCCATCGATCGTTGCATGAGAAAATGGGAATATCCTATCGCCTTGTATTGCTATGAACTCATGCACAAAGCGTATCATCATTTTGTCAGAACCTGATATAAATGCAATTACTACTTGGGGAGGGTTGGGATTTAAAATGCAAACCTCACTTTAATAATTACTGATAACAGTAATCTCAATTGTAATTGATATCACATACAGAGAGTGAGATTAGTTCCAAATACGTCGTTTAATTCACGTCTACATACAAGGAAGTGATAGCAAGAAGTAACAAATCGACATTTTATATGAAAACTTAGATTGTGAATTATGTATCTTTACAATTACTTGAATTTGCATTGATACAGCAGACATCACAGCCTCCTCTAAACGATTAAATTCATCGAAGCACCCCCAAGCGCCGCATTTCACCAGACCAACAAAAATGCGTCCCATCGACTCCACATCAATACCCTCGTCACAGTTGAAAACGAGAACCTTAAGTGAAGCCCAAAAAACCTCGGTCAATGGGCAATATCCCCGTTTTTTTTCAATGGAAAGAACAGCTTTAAAGTCAGCCTACCTGCCTGCCAAACAGCTCACCCAATTGTTTCACAGACTCAGTTTTTCCTGTGCCAGCGGGTCCATAGGGGTTTCCGCCTAGCCCCATTTGCAGTGCCTGTGTCAGTGTGAGGTAGCACTTGTCCGTTAGGGGTGTGTGTACTAGTCTAGGACTGTTACCCTGGTACTCGAAGGTGTAGCTGAATTCCGCGTTAGCCATGCGGATTTTCGGTGCTGTCGCCTCTGCATCCCCTGAAGAGTAGAATCGCAGCTGCTTCTGCCAGGCCCAATCGTGCACAGAGGTGGTGGCCTCCCTGATAAGATGGCCCACAACGTCAATATTATGACCCGTATCCAGAATGAGGGTGGACAATTTGGCGGAGGACACACGCGAGAGCATTTGTGGGGCGTTATCAGAATCGGAGTCCATCCTAGCCCGCTGGCATCTTGCATTTGCTTCAGCGTAGGATTTTAATGTGGTCTAGGAAAAGCTCGATTTAAGCGTGGTATAGTCAATTTCGAACATTAAATATTGAAAGCAAAAAATGTTCCAGAAACTGTGTACAACGCGAGACCAAACACAGATTTTTGAATGAGTCTTATTTTAATAAATGTGAAAATTCACGATTGAATGAATTTTCCACGATAATGTAAGACATAATATTTAACATTAAAAACGACGGAACCTCTCGCCATCGTGTGCGCTAAACTGTACACATTACACTATCCCAAAGTTTCGCAGGTTTTACGGAACCTTATTTAAGATTCACATTTCTCTCAAGGAAGCTGTTCAAGAAACTAGTGTTTTCCGTTGCTGGGATCAGTCCGATAAATCTTAAATTTGCAATGACGGTCGAATGAAGCCTGTGACTTCCCTTCATTCGATGTGAATGTTAATAGTTCAAGCAAATTTAGCTTTTAAGCATTTGAACACGGAGAATAGGACCACAAACCTGCAGCTCTCGATGGAGGAGAGGAAGCTTCCCAGTCTTTATAGCTCTTTCAACCTTTTCCGAAAACCTCATTGACTCCCGAAGTGCGAGTATTTGTCCAGGATAACTGCAGAGTTCACCACGATCCGCTAAGCACTCGGAAAGCATCATCACAAGAGTGAAGCGCATTTCCGCTTCAAGCTCCCGAAGCCACTTCTCCACTTCGTTTTCAACCAAAACAGTCTTCTTGAGGGGCACCAATTCGCCTTTACGTGAGCAAAAGTTGGTAATGCGTATTTCATTGTCCTTGTTGAAGAATTTTACACCATGAATGGCTTGAAATAGCTTTCGCAGATGCGTCCGAATAACGACAGGGTTGGACGGCTGTCCGAGCATTTCAAGAAGATCATCGTCACTAAGAAAGTAGAAACGGGGAAAAAGGTTTCGCTTCTCTTCAAGGTATTCATTTAAGGCACGCTGGCAGCGGATGAGTTGGTCCTGAATGGTAAAAGACGTTTAGAGTGATAAGAAAAATAGGGCTGCCCGATCCAAGGTACATGAATCCAGGATGTTGGTGATTATCAAGGTTAAATAAGCACCTGCATACTAGTGAGTACGCCTTGAAGTTCGTTTTCTCGTCGTCCCTTAATCAAACTGACAACTCGACTGTCAGCCTCAATGTCAGCCATCAAGTTCCTGAAATCAGCGTCGACTCGATTGAAACGCGAGCTCTCACCCTTCAAAGCACCCCCACCAAAAATGGGTTCGAGGTAAACCCAACGACGCTGCACCACCTGGAGGTTACAGATGCTAGCGTCGAGGTCAACGAGCCTCCTCTCCCATGCGTTCACGCGGTCCGCAAAGCTGTCGAAACAGGGTGACCCTTGCAGAGAGGCGAGTAGGGTCTGATTATCACCAACCTATTTCACGAAAATAGTGCACAAGAGATTTTTTTGTAACTTTAAGGAAACGATTTTCGGGCCATAGATGGGCATGCAAATATATGTAATTAGCTGAACTAACTAAATGCAACTTGTCTAAAGGCGTATTACTTCATAGGAATCATCGTAACAGCCGAATAGCGTGAATTCAACGAATATATGAAATTGTACAGGATTTCAAGGATGCAAAGCACAAGATCTACTTGGGTATTCTAAAAAATCCAAAGCAAAACATCCAACAAGGTACACACTTGAAATTACTGGGATTCGTTCTAAAAAATATTTAAAATGGAATATGTAAAATAAAATAACAACGGATAAAGTAACATGAAAAAATAAACAGCCCGATGGTTCGACTACTTTCCAATGAGAAAGTGGTATTTGGTTTGATAATCCATGGTATGAAGCACTATACAGTTCGCTTATTCGGAAGTGAATCATGGTCACTGTGAATGCAGCATACCTGTGTGACAATATCCTGCCAGTCCTTGATAAGTCTTAAATGTTTGCCCCTGCAGTCAGTATAGGGCGTGAGCAGGAAGGTGGCCCCGGCAGCCCAGACGTCAAGCTCCTGCAGCGCCTCGCGCATCACCCCCTCACTCTGAGCGCGCTGCGTGAGGGCCTTGAGGGCGCTGGCGTTAGCCACAATCTGCGGAGCTGCGGAGAGGATGGCCCCGAAAGTCACCTCCTCCAGGCGCATCTCGCGCGGCAGACCGATGAGACGAAACAACTCCACCTTATGGTCGGGCAACAGCAAATCGCCTCGTACCCATTTCAGTAGTGGCAGCAGCTCCTAACCAATGGAACCAGAAAGTGGTTCGTCATTAATGGGAAGATATCGATGCATCCATGTGCGCCTCTCACCTCTTTCCAATTGTTTGGAAATTATTTCCCATGCAGATAAATAATTTAAAATAAATTGTTGATGTCATATGCCAGGCGCCTAATGAAATACTTAGTAGCTATAGATGCTTAAGTGTTTAAAAAGTCAAATTTCATATAACCAAAATACGTTCAAGTGGGAATTGTAACGAGATGAAAAAATAATTGGTTTTTTTTGTATAGTTTGATGACTGATTATTTTCGGTTGGGTCTTTTGCGAAATCGTTCATAAATTGCGTGCAAAGAGCACTTTAGTTTTTCTTAAAATCAAACCCAAAAGCGAACTTGAAAACAGTACACACGAACTGTTACCCATTTACCTTGCCATTTTTATGATCTGCGTAAAGCTGTCATTTTTAGGAGCTATGCTGACGACCTATTCGATAGGCTGATTTCTATTAGAAAGTTGAACTTACCCTGTATCGATCTATTTCCTTCATTAAGCTGACTGTTACAAATGTTGCAGCATTTGTTCGGAGCTGATCCGTCCACTTTGTCAGAAAATCATCAAAAACGCCTATTTGGGTCCTACTAAGGAGAAGCAAACTATGGAAATAGAGTAGAGAGAAAATCCTAACAAAGGCTACTTTAAATTTTAACTAAATGTTTAGAAATTATCAATTTTGAAATGAGCCAACCTAAAAGAAATCCACTCTTCCTTTTCAAGATCCCAAAGTTCAAGGGAAAACTTTTCGTACAGGGACCAGGTTGTCTCCGTTTCGACCAAACTTGAGCGCAGTTCTTCAACTAACTTGAGGTTTGGTAAAGGTACTTCAAAATATGAACAGTCTCTCCTGCAAAAAATGTGAATAAATAACGCTAAAAATAGGTTTCAAGGTACAAATGAGACTCTTCCTGCGCAAATAAACGGAGAAAAAGGCTTCTATACCAATCAGAATCAAAAATCTTTGACATAGAGTGCCAACATTGACTCACAAAATTTCATTCCAAGTCTTCTCCATTTCCACGAATTCATCCTTCCAGCTCTTAATTGTTTCCACGGCAGCAAGGCACTGCTTTCTGTCCCCAGATTCAATAAGATTGGTGGAGGGCTGTGCTTGTTGCCAGCATGTGAAAAAACGCTCCATTTGGGCCACAAAAGCTTTGACCCGCGAATCCAAGTTCGACTGCATAACCTGCACGATTTTCATGAAAAAAATCGAAATCCCTAAAAAGCGGTGATTTATCGGAACGCATTTCATTACTACGGCTCGAAACACACATTCAATTGCTCATTCATCATCAGCTTGAAGCTGTCCATCATGAGTTGGAATTTGGCCCACTTTGATTTGGTATTGCTGAATGCATCGACACCGCAGCCAGAAACGTGGCGCAGGAGTTTGTCCTTCTCCTCCGCGCAGGCCAGACGATCGGCTAGACGCGACTGCTCTCTGGTCAGCAGATCGTGCTTGTCCCGTGCAATCGCCATCTCTTCCATAGTTTGGGGTCGAACGGAGAGCTTCCCGAGGGCATCTGAACTCTCACAACCGTGAATAAGCTAAGTGATTACTTGATCAGGTGTGACTGGAGTCTTTCGGTCATTATTCGGTCAATAAAACCTGTCTTTACTAAGCATCTAGACAAGTTTCATATAACTCGTTGTCTTTCTACGAAATAATTATCTTTTCTTGTAATTATCATGTTGTGAGAATCTCTATTAATGCCAAAATTTAAACGAATTAGTCGTAAATCACAAATTCAGGTTTATGAAATATATAAAAATCGAATGAAGTACTCAATTTATGTACTAAGAAGGAAGAAAACATGATTGCATACGAATTTTTTAAAAAGCAAGTATAATATCGCGCAATCTGATCACCTGATAGGAACGCATCAGTGGTCACAAGGTCTGCCTGTACCGAACGCCTTAAGCAATTCAGTAAAGCTTCAAATAAATTCTGCAAAATTTGTTCGACCGCATTCTTCACTGGAACACAATTAACCGTTAAGCAGTCGATTTTAACCTCACTGGGCAGTTCCTCCACCGTGCGTCCTCGACGTTTCAGAGCCTGAAATGGTGGATTAGAGGGAACTTCACAAGTTTGGGGACGCAATTTGCGTGGTCTCAATCACACAGATTTAAACATCGGCGAATTCAAATTTATCTTTGCGGCCGATCGACCACGAAAAACGAGAGAACTAGCATGAGGTTGTATTGATGCAACATTGGGAGTTTCGATAGCAATAAAGAGAAGGAAAACTATACGTCACTTACCCTGAAGTTATTTTCATAATCAACCAGATCTCGGCATTGCACATCGACGAGATCTACGAGATTAACGCTACCCAGTGCAACCCAAGTGAGAAATGAATCCATTACGGCTTGCAAACGAGCAAAGAGGATTTCTGCTTTGTGGTAGCATACCCGAAAACCAGACAGATGTTTTTCAATGATGAGGGGGAAAACGCAAGAGGCCTCGGTAGCGAGCCTTTTATTTTGGCAGTCCGAGACCCCTCCGAAATGCAGTGGTATTCCGATAAACTTTCGAATGCCACGGTAGTACTTCGCCTTAATCTAAAATGTGTGAAAATTAAATTCGTTGCGCATTAATTTTACAATTCCTAGTTTGATAAATTGTTTCAAGTGCTTATGTGTTGAGAAATGGAAGTTGTGCAGAGTAATGTAACACTAAAATGTAAATTCAATCATAGAAGGTTTAAAAGTGGAAATATTATAATAAATTGAATCGTTTTTGATCCGAGGTCAGCAAGGATGCGTAGAGAGCTAGACCTTTAAAAAGTTAAGCAGTTTGAAAAAAAGTATTTCAAGGCTCCAGTTGACGAAAACTAAAATGAAAGGTTAGATTGGGGTATACAGGGTTAGGTTTTAGAGAGTGAAATATAATTCATGAAGCCTAAAAATTTTAATCCTCTAGTCTTCATTGAAGAATTATCCTACAAAAATCAAATGAAAAGTGAATGCCACAATGGGACCAAGAGTGGACCGTAAATTTTCAGGCCTTTAGGCCCCACCCCTAAGTAGGACTTTTACTCAACTCTATAATTCCTATTGACTTTATTCACAGTATCTTATTATAAAATTGCTTTTGGGTAAGGTGAATTTTCAATCTCAATCACCACAAACGTATTGTCGGGGTTAAGTTTAAAATAGAGCCAAGCAAGTTAATCCTAAGCCCCAAAAATAACTTAATTTTAAATATGGTAAAGGTAAGATTGCATTATGAAGGTCAGCTGAAACGTAAACACGCCTCTTCGAAGGGCGGTTGGAAGGACAGTTGGGAGTGTTGGTAGACGAGTTCAATGCGCATCTCGGGCATTCGTTGGTTGAGGACTTCGAGGCCGAGACGGTACTGCACGCTAAGGGCCTTGTAGAGCTGTCGGTCAAGATGGGCAAGCCAAGGCCGCATGTGGTCTGCAGGATAGCCGCCGGCGCTGGCCACTTCTGCTAAGCGACATCGCATCCATGCCAGACCCTCACGCCACCTCCCCGGCTCCCGCAACAGATCCACCTCCATCAACGTTACCACCTGCGAAGCACATCAGGCAAAGCGCATCTTATAACCATTACGTGCCGATCTCTTAGATGTCTGTGGATCAGATCATATCTGGCCTCCCATTTCTCCTGATCCGATAAATCTGTCAATTACTAACAGTAATTGTTACTCACTTTGGTTGTTTGCCCTCTCTTTCTTTAGTAATTTGCTACTTTTGTTTAAGGAAATGTTACCTTCATTACTGGGTGACACTCATACGGCCGTCGTCGTTTCTGTTTTTGAGTTGCTGAACGGCACTCAGTTGGCCAGCATGATTGGTCTTCGGTAAGATTGGCTGCTCATCTAACTATACGTTTTACACTTGCTTATAGTTCCTCTATAGTTTGAATCACGATAAATAGAAAAAGCGTAGATCCCTACATAAAATGTCAGCTGCCCAGTTCCATGCTCTGGCCACATCGTGCGTCAAAGCTAGTGAGAACGAGTTGCTGCTACTGAACCATACGGGCTTATAAGTCTTCGGGGGAAGCCCGTGGGCTGTGCAGGATTATTACTAGGCTAAGAACAATGAGATTTTCAAAATCTATTTTCACTCATTCGAAACTATTTGTTCGACCAAAACAAGCCGAAGCAGCGGAGGTCTGCATCCAAATGCTTAGAGGAGTTTTGAATATCAACTGTCCAATTTACTGGTATAACCGCACTACTGGTTCGTATGCGGAATTAATGTATACGTATTGATGCATTCAGTCAAATACTTATTGAGTGGTTTACTAAGAAATCGCTGATTAAATAAATGGGATTGATTCGTGTTTAATACAACGACTTATACTCAATTTACTAAATAGCGATTGTTAGGACCTTTTTTTTCCAATAATCAGATCACAGTACCGCACTTATTTAAAGCAGAAGGTTGCCACTTTCAGTGTAAATAGAAGGTCGAACATTTAAGCAAGAAAGATTTAAAATGATATCCAGCGATTCCAACTCGACTGTTTGAGTAAATTAAAGCAAAACCATGGAACGAAGAGCCCACCTTTGAAACCAGTTCTTGATGTACTTTTCGCAGCTGTCTGTTCTCTTCCATTAGATTTCTTGCGGCTGTCTGCAGCTGAGCAATGAAAGCAGGGATTTGGTCGGTCTGATTCCAGGTAATGCAGCATGGCCGTTCCCTCAGAGCTAAGGACCGATCATCGCCTTTGCCTTTCTGGTGGCTGAATTTGACAAGATGCTCAAAAGCCAGCGCCGACTTCAGCATCAGTGCTTGTTGACATGTCAACATCTCACTGTCGATGGAGTTGTAAAAGTGGGCGACCTTGTGTGACCGGATCGAAAGACAATAAATACTAATGACTGTCGATGGAGACTTACAAGTCGCAAACACACTATTTTACGGAGACACTTTGGATGCTTGATGTAAACATAAATTACATTCCACAGTAAGAATAAACCAACTATCGAGGATGTGTTCATATTCAAATCATCTGTATTCAAATTTTAGTATGTTTTGGTATTCAATGCTTTAATTTTGCTAAAAAACACCAATATATCGCTGTATACCCCTTGTAGCCATTGTTATTACCGTGTGAATGTCGGTTTTCGTGTAACTTTTAAATAAGAAATAACGGAAAATCAAACGAACCTAAATTAACTTCTAGAATTTTCCCTGCGAAAGCTGGTTCAAAGGAATCATCTATAAACAAGTTCGTTCACATAGCAGGCCTCCTTGTTGGAATAATTACTTACCGAACATATAATTATTGCTTGGGCTATCGACACCAGTTTACAGACAAAAAGATGGATTTTGACCTTAATATGGGTCTTTTTACATGACGTGTTATTTTCGTGCAACACTATCAATACAAGGTCAGAATGGCTCCTCAATGACGATTTGCTTTGGCGAAGTATGGAGATAAGTAGAGGGAGTGGAGGGCCTTACCTGTTTGAGAACGATAGCGTGTCGACAGAGAGCCTCAGCCTGAGCGGCGACCTTGTGAAGGCGCGCAGGCACGGAGTAACCGAGGCCGGATAGTAGACGCACCTCGCGTTGCAGCCGCACTAGCCCATCGGGGTAGCCGACTCGCAAACGCCCATCTGCTGTGGAAAGGCACAGGAGACTACCAGAGGCGTCAAAGGTCAGACACTCCTCGGCGCTCCAGTCTTCTCCTGTCGCATCAATAGCCGATTGGGTTTGGCGACACCAGCTGTGGAATTGATCCTTACGCCAATGAGATATCTCATCCTTGAGCAGTTGAAGCTTCTGCTTGCATTGTTATGGGTATGGCGTGTCGGTTTTCGAAATGAATTCAATGATGGAAAATTTTCGTGAGTGAGGAGTAGATATCAATGCCCATGAAAAAAAATCATATTTGAAACATCGATTTCAAATTGGAATCAGGTGCTCTTGCACTTTTCATTGAAAATAAACAAAGCGGATTAGCATCGTAAATGAACAAATTCACTATCAAATACTTAAAGGACAAAAAACTGACGATCGAATACAAAGGCCATTATTGGCTGCAATCATTGATGAACCTAAAACAATGGGCTTAGTTCAAATTTATACGTTAAGTTCGTGTAAAGACAAAGGCAAAAAATAAAATAAACTGTTTTCTGTCACTTGGACAAGGTTGACACCTACTTTTTGCAGAACAATAATCTTGTTATTGCTTATTCGTATACACTGAGAAATATTAAGTAAAGATTCGTCTCCCATGAATTATCATAAAACGAAGAATACTGGTACCTTTACCGAGTAAATAAGGTCAACTTTAGGTCTTTCAAATCAAAAGGAGTGGTTACGATGAATTGATCATACCTCCTTTAAACGTCCATAATTAGTGAGATCGTAGAGGATTGAGTCAGTCAACGTGAGATGTTCCGAAACTCTACTTTCTAACTGACTGGCCCAAACGAGTCTGTCGACCTGATTAGGAATGTTCTTTCCATGACGCACATAAGTCGGGCTTATGGAGCCACCTTCTAATCCATCCGTCGACCTATTCGAGAATTCTTCTCGAATCTATGATTCCAAGCAAACGACAAAGTTGTGTCCAAGAATTCATACATTTCGATCCAAAGTTAGTACAGGGGGTAATAAACAACACTTTTCGGTGCATTTTGATTACCTTAAAGTTGTGATGCATAATCCAAAAGCTCAAAAAATATCAAAAAATACAGGTTTTAAAGAAGCTCTACATGCACTATAAAGGCTTAGGGTAGTAGTAAGTGATTACGAGGGAAATACTATGATAAAAATATAATTAAGTGCACTTTCACTGCGTTTCATTCACGTCAACCTAAAATATAGTAACATAATCGGTAGAATATGGGAAGCAAAGATGGGTAAGTGAGTAGTACCATTTGGGCATTCAAGCGTGCATCGACAACCACTTTGGAAAATCATCAGGAAATTATTCAATAGTAGGGCCAACTTTGCAAAAGAGGAAACAGGTGAATTAAACAAATGATAAAGCATAATGGAAGGCTTACTGCCCTTTCTCCAACTTCGACATAACCAAGAAGCACTTCACGATCCGCTTGCAGAGCTTTTGCGATTGCGGGTCTTCTATAGAGCTCACCGTGGCGTTGAAACTCCAAAATTACTTGTGGCGCGATTGTCGCGCTTTCACCAGCTAAATACAGTTAACAGTCAATCACTCTGTACGTAGAACGCGCCTTTCTCAAACCTTGACAACAAATCAATTCAAGCGAGAGCTAAATAAATTTAGCATGACTGACTGGATCTTGGTTATGAGTCAGAGGTCCAATCAATTATATCCTAATTTCGTCGATTGGATAACCATAATGTTTTGGGTAGGAATTTAAATAGAGGCACTGATGGGGCCAAGAGAGCGATGGAACAATGTAGAGAGTAGTAGCAAAATACTTGCAGTTGTGCACGATGGAGGACAGCGAAAGGTGCAGGTGGGGCACTGCAGAGACCTCAGCTGCACGAATCTTCTCGTTAAAGAGGCTCACTGCTGTGTCCCAGTGGTCGACACTGGAGGGACTGTAGGCCAGTGGGTTGCAGATAAACTTATGAAAAGCATTATTTTGAAGGCTAGGTTTCGTCGAGGAGGTGAGCAGACTTTTACGCAGAAATTCATCTAATTCTTGTGCTAATCCTAGACGCTCACGTTCTTGAGGATTCAATACCTTCTCCAGTTTGGCATAAACGCACCGAATCTCCAGCACCTGAGAAAAAACTTGCTTTTAAAGTTGATTTTGCCAGTGTTTAGGTGCATACAGCTGAATTTTTGGAACATAAACTTGTTCTATGTGAATTAGTTGTACTTAACACATCCATCAGCTTTTGGGCTTGCGGATTAACTCGAAAATTACCAATGATAATGCAAAAAGTAAAAATGACGCAAGCACGGAAAGCTGTCTACAGTGAACGGAAAAAATGACCGCCCAACCAATCGAATGAAATAGGATACACAAAAAAGGCCAAACCTATTTCTGAGTCATAAAAAATACCGTGCATCAGGAAGTGGTCACAAGAAGCCTTCATTTATCACATACTTCCTTCAAACGCTTCCTGAAGTTTTGAAAGTAGGTGAAGGAAGGCAGCTCACCCTCCCATCGATGGGAGTCCTCACAGGCCCATAAATGGCAAATGAAAAACTGACACGACTTCTCCCACTTTTTGCTCAGTTGAATGGCAAGTTCCAGTTGCAATTGCACCTTAGAAGGAATTAAGACTTAAAAGTGACATAAGGGAGAAAAATACAGTTCTGTGTCTTTATATCCTTCCAATCATTTAAATGACCGTTTCACTTCTAGTTCGATGATGGAGATAGCAAATTTGTTTAGAGTTCGGTAGGCCCTTCCAATTTTAGCAGAACAAAAACTACACAGAGCCCAACGGAGTAGCGTTATAGAGGTTTAGGCTTTTGTGAAACTGGAACCTACATTAAACTACCTACTATATTAATATTAACTCAAACTTTGCTCTATACCACATAAAGCTCTCCTAACGCGCAGAGAGGGTAAACAGTGAGCCTAAAATTTACACCTTCTCTCGATCGTGACAAAACTGTAGTGTATTCTTCGTAAGGTAAGCGTTCTCATTACTACAGAAAACTTGCAAATTACCAAGGTGGACGTGTGAGGGTTTGGAAGGTGTACAAATCTTCGAATCACCACCAAAAATTTATGAGTAATTAATGGCTAACCTGCTTGAATGGCCTGCTCCAAACTACTGAGACCTCTGAATCATCGTTCGGAGCACCCATATACGCAACAAGGGTTCGGCAAATCCATCCTGTGATTGCTTCTATGAGGGAACGCATTCGAGGCTCCGGGTAGGGTGTAAAGGCAGATTCTTCGTTAAGCCGCCAAACGTCATCAAGACTGTCAAGTACAGTTGATTCCAGGGTCTCTGTGAAGAGTCTGAGAAAGCCAAATGAATCTCCAGACCCCTCCCACTGGGATCCTGAGGCACATTGGAGCTGGAGTCTTTGGGTAGCGTCGGCCGCGGGTTTGAGGTGTCTGTAAATTGTTTCGGCACTCTGCCGATCCCTAGTGTGTTTTACTTGCACCGATCTCGATTTTGCCTGCCAGTACTCAGCTTCTGCAGCTATGTCAAATATAACTGTAGTGCGACAGGAAATCAATTAATTATAGCGCAATTTCATATGCACAAATACACGACTAAATCCCCAGTCCTGTAAAGTAAATGTCAATCTAGTTTTGCGTTCACTCCATTGACGACCCCAAATAGGCATTAAATTAAATCACTGTTTAATTACAAGCTTAAATGGCTATAAGCAATACTCAGAAAAAAATAACACTTCTTATTTCAAGCGTAATTCGCATATGAATTCAATACTTTTGAAAACAGTTGTAGCGACGAAATACACGTAGGCAGAACAAGTCCTTTCATAACATAGTTTGATAAAAATGACTCGCCAGTGACTAAGTTTTCCTCATCTTCACTAGATGAATGTAATTTGGAGATATTAGATAGTCCAATGATCAAATCGTTGAGTGCAGTTTGGAGGAGTGGATATTGGTTAATAGTCTTCCCCTCACACTAACAAGGTAGTTACACAGTCATGTACCGAACCCATCGCACCTTCATTAACAATGGCGCATACAAGTTGTCGATAATGTTGTAAAAGCTTTGAGATGCAGAACCCTGCACAGAGACCGTCAGGATTACTGAATGAATATTCTCTTCTGTTATTTGTTCAGGAATGATTTTCACAAATGCATACGCCAATTTAAACTGTTCTAAATTCGGAACCTCCACGAGACGTCAGTAATAAAGATTAAATCCATTTACCTCAAGCCAAAATAAGATTTCATTTCGTTTTGAAAGTGTCACAAAGAGGAGTTTAACACTGCTAGAGCTCAAAAAAGTTTCAACATTTGAGTTTGAATACACCACTCCGGTATCCGAGTCATCTAGGTTGAAGCACAATTCTAAAGTCTTTGCAATGAACTTTTTGCATGGATCGAAGAGTTCCATGCTAAAATAAGAATAATTGTATACAAAATAATGTGTCCAGGTTACCAAGTGCACTACGTGCTAGACACTTAAGTTATATCATCGCTAGGAATACTTCTAAACTAAGTCGTTAGAAAGGCTTCAAGCTACATTAAACACCACCTATATACAGAAAGAAAACTATAAGCTTCGTTTTTAACGGAAACCATACAGAGAAATGAAAGAAACGTGTGATTTCTCCACACAACAAGAAACTATAAGTACAACAAAAAGGGGTCGAAATCTCTGCAATTCAAAAGGAACAAATGTAATTTGTTCTAAAAATGGCACCAGTAGGTAGCGAAGCATCATATAGTAAATCACACAGACAGGAAACAAAACTACTCAAAACCATGGGCCAACCACAGATTCAACATGCAAGTGTGTATAGCATCCAATAATGTTAAATCTCATAAACTAGTCAGCACTTAAATTAATCAATGAAAAGTAGGTGTCCAGTGAGCCAATATCCAAGTTACAATTAGGCTGCCCATTTGCGTCCAGGAAATTTTGCGCTCACGTCTTCGGTGGTTTAAAATTCGGGGGATGAGGACAAAAAGCACATCTAAAACCAACATTTTGTCTTTGTGAGGGCAAGTTATCAATCCTTTACATCCCATTACATCACACAGTAGAAACGTGACAACCCAGTGCCAGCCAACCGGCCAGATTGGTTAAACGTAACCCGTTTGATAGGGTTACCCTTAAAATGAAATCAGTGAATTAAAAAAAAAAACACACGAAAACTCCATAGAAAGATATGCGACATTTCTTTTGGTGTTGTAAGTAAACTTAAAAACACAAACATGGAGAAACCCGCAAATCACTTTTAGGGCAAGCAAATAAGGATTCAGAGCCAATTAAGTCAATTATTTATATTGGAAACCCTTCAAACGGATCTGGCATTGTATTAATTGCGTAGTGAATAATTGGTTTAACTTTAGGGCGTTGGGTATGTGGCTTGGCTAGCTTGTCAAGGTATTAGATTCAAGACCGACCTTCAATGACAGCAAAATTTATAACCAAATATTTTCTACACTGGGTTCAGCTTTTGTTTATTCTTTGCAAAGAAATTGCTACAGCCATATTTTTAATAAAACGTATGACTTTGGACAGATTACTAACTTCTTTCAGCCACTGTCAGTTTCTTTTAGTTGTTCTTTATCCTGGCGCCTTGTACAGGGCATCTACTTGTCAACTAGTGTGTTTGCTGCGGTCATGGCCTCTAGCGTATTTTCGGCCATACGATATTATCTCATAGACAGTGACGATGATAAGGTTGGTTACACCTTGGTTGTATACGGTTGCTGGTATCGTTTTGTGTCATCCTATGCTATGAGTGGATCTTATCGTGAGCCGTTCGTTGAATTGCTTACAAAATTGCTCCTCACTATTTTTCGTGAGGTTTCTCATGAAGTTTTTTTAACGTATTGGCCTTTTTCTGTTAACATTCCTAAGTTTACCTGAGCACGACCCACATTACTTTGCTGCTCATTCTCCATTTTTGTTTTTATGAAGCCGATTTTTCTTAAATATTTATAATCTTTGCACCACTATCTTACTTCGTTTGTGCTCTTATGCTCCATTTGTCACTATTTGGCTGGGTGCATCTTCAAAATTTTCGGCTTTTCCATTACCTTTATTAGAATACTAGCAGCTCTTTATTCATAAATATGATTGACAACCGCACAGCTCTGATTATGAAAGAATTTATTTTGATTACTAAGTGATTTGAACTCATTTTCTATAGTTATTTTGATAACCTGATGCACACAAGGACTTACTTTGCTTAGATCGTCGGTGATTTGAAAGCTCTTGGTGCTCTGAAGCATCCAATCCTCTCAGACAGTGTCAAGTTTGCAATAAGCGATAATGGGGAAGCGGGTGAAGTGGGGGAGGCTGAGGACCTTTACGCTGTTCCTGTCGTGACTGTCAGTCTTGGTTTTAACGTTATTGTTCGTTTAGTCTCAGTGGGTTCGCCACTCCCTCTCCAAAAACTCCTTTCTACCGTAGGTCCTTATCGTTGTTTTTATTGGTTGCTTAGATTCCTGCCATTTCATCCCAATTTTACCAAGACATTTAAAGGCGTTACGGCTGTTATATCAGAGGTACCCTCTTTTTTCTTTCATATTGCACAATTGCAATCTATAGGTCTCACTCAAGGATGTTGTAACATTAACATCTCATCTCATTATTCGTGGGGCTCATTGCAGAACTGTTATTGATACAAAAACAACTCACCTCATTATAGGTCGAGCATCAGGCGTTGGTTGTGATATGGTTAATAACGTCTCTTTTAGTTCTTATATGAGCGTTGCAAAACACACTTTCCTAATGTCAAGATGGTGTCGCCGGATTGGGTTATTGAGTGTGTAAGGGCTCAGGAGTTGCTTGACTGCGAAAAATACAACGTCGAGCTTCTAATAAAGCTTACTCTTCCAAAGCCTCCAATTATGCCAAAGCCAGCGGTAGCTCCCGTCCAGTTTGTTGAGCAGTCATCGCAAAATTTGGCCCCGCAAATAGGAGGAATTGGAACATCAGTCGTAAGTCCGTATCCTTCGAATAAACCAACATTTTGTCATAAACTGGCTGGTTCACATTAGTGTTTGGCACTGATAGTCCTAGCCCTAATTCCATTCCCAACGGTAGGAATATTACCACATTTCCCCCGAAGCAGTTCGCCATGTTTTCGGCATACAGGTATGTCCGCAGACCCCTGCTTTCTTCGTTGTATCATGTCTGGAATGTTCTCTCTATTAAATGGTTTCAGTAACTGAATTAAAACGGATAAAATTGTTCCTTTTTTTCAGCCTGCCATTAGCACTTCGTTAGAAAACGCTTCTGGTAATTTGGCATCTCGAATAATATCCACAAATACCGGTATGTTCATGTGACAAATTAGTTGCAACTAACTAAACGCTTATTGTTTGTTATTGGCCTTTTCCACTTTTCTAAAGGCTTGGTCGGATTTGCTTCTGGCAGTTTACCTGTTGTCTCACAGCCTCAAGTGTCAACTACTTTTCACCAACAGCTTCATCACGCCCCTGAGCCGAAACCGGCTAAAAGTTCAGGCAAGAGTAAAGTCAATAAACACCCCAGTGAACAGGGCTTGAACGAAGAGCAGAAGCATGCTATTGTCATGCAAAATGTTAAGAATATACTCAGTCAGCAGGCCAATTGGAATAAAGTGAGTTCCATCTCATGAAGCGTATGTACCAAATGTGAATCGTGAACATTCCCTTCCCCTCCCTATGTAGGACAACTCGCAAAATCGTGGCGAAAATGGACAGATGCCGGGTACTTTCCTGCCCACAGGCTCTACTCCCATAGCCACTGGTGGAACACAGAGGAAGCCCAAATCTCCTAAGTCACCAGCCAATCGTGGTGCCAGTCAGGCTGGCGGCGCAGGGGTTGGGACCTCCATATCAAAGGCGGGCACTGGAGGTCAAAAGACGTCCAAAGGCAGTGTAAAGCGCACTGAGCTGGCGGAGATTGCAGTCGCGCCAGTCGCCTCGCTTGGTCAGCCACAACAGTTTACAACGGTGACTGTGGATGCCTCTGGGGGAGCGACTCAACTCTTCCCACACTCTACAACAGCAACTGTTTTAGTCGCAACAGCTAATCCCGGAGTAGCTCAAATGACTGGCACGCCGCGAATGCCATCCACTTCGCAGCAAAATGGTGCCATTCAACAGACTCCTGCCTTCCTGCTTCAACAGCAGCAGCATCAGCAGTATCAACAACAGGCTCTAATAGCCGCTCAGAGTAAGCTAAAAATAATCATCTTTGGGCTTTCCAGTTTAGTACAGCTTTTACTCTCTGGTGATGTCAGAATTCGTCACTTTCACAGTTTTTCATTTTAATTTAGACCAGTTTCAGAAGGGGAGGATGGCCTCCGTCGGAACACCTCAGCAGGTGCAGGTGTCTCCATTGTTGTTGCAGGGTGCACAGGCCACACCCGGTCAGCCCAGAACAGCCACTTTTATTGTTCGAGCACCCTCAGCCCCGGACCTTCAATTGGGACAAACTGTAACCACAACAGAGAACGTTCAGGCCCTTCTGGAGGGCTCCACAAGTAAGGAGGGCTTGCCTCCAACTGCTACGCAGCAAGTGCTTTTGCAGCCAGGACAAACTCCGCAGCAGCAGCAGCTCATTCAACTGCAACATCAGCAGCAGCAACAACAAAAACGCGTTCCTTCACCCTCAGGCAGTGGTGGCGTGCTCTCTCCTGTCTTTATTCAGGGTAGACAGCCCCAACCACAGCAGTATAAGCAGACATCAGGGCAAATGCAGATACAAGTGGCAGGTTTGCAAACTCAACAACAACAACAACAGCAACAACCAACCATTAGGCCCCAGCCGCCACGTACAGCTCAAACTGTAAGACAGGCGTTACCTCCCAATCATCAGGGCCAACAACAGTATGCACAGCTGGCTCAACAAGTGAAATCTAATCCACAACAGCACTCTCATCAACTCGGGCAGCAGCAGATAATTATTCAGACGTCTGTTGGGGTACAGCAGGTCGTAACCGCTCAGGAACTCAGTGCAAGCGCTTAGATTTTGTTAGCTGTTAATGTTCCTGCATTTAGTGGCTATGCTTCTAGTTTGTCCCGTTCTCCTTCAGAATGCTCAGTACATCGGAGCCGGTGGAGCGCAGATGCGAGCAGTTGCGAGCTCCAGTTCCGCGGTCCAATGTGCATCGCCTCGACCTCCAAGTATTGTTGGGTCGCCTGTATACACCCAAGCACAGCAAGCCTTGACAAGCAATGGCTCTGCCTCCTCCATTCTCTATCACAGCTCTACGACTCCGGCAACTGCTGGCGTTCCCACAGACCCCTGCTCTGCCACTGGCAATCAACAAGAACGCGTCGCATGTATGAAATGTGATTTTCTCCCATTATCGGTATCCAGGCTTCCTTTGAAACGTCGTCTTTCACTGGACTTTGGATTGTCAATTGAGTCTTCTGTTATAATCAACAGTTTCTATGTCAAGTCCGAATGTTTGCATGAGTGCTACTAATTTAGTGGAACAAGATGGTACCAATTCTAAAGACGAGTTTATGTCATAGATTCCCTATGTTATATTCATAACAGTTAGGAACAAATTGAGAAACTAGTTAGTGGTCCTGACTATGGCTGATGGTATCAGCAAGCCTAAACACCATTTGACGAAAATATATATGCTGAATTTTCTCTGGATCCTCTTATATGTTTGTTACAGACGTAGCTTCCACACAACAACAGAATCAGACGCAGCCTGTTGGTGGAAGACTTCAGCCGGCAGTTGTACAGGGTCAGCAAATACCACAGCAGCAGCAGCAGACAGTGATCGGTGTGTCTGCCGCAAGATCCGTAATGAGTGTAGCAGGTGCGCAGGCATCAATCATTCAGACTCAGCATCCTCAGTCTCAGCAAGCAGTGTCCATTCAACAAGGGCAGTTTTATGGTCAAACGCAACCTCAGACGCAACCACAGCAGCAGCAACACAGAATTATCGTACAGTCACCCCACGTGTCGGCGTCGGCCCAAGTTGCTTCAACTCAGCAGCATTGCATGGTTTCGCAAAGTGAGTAGATATGCTATTTTAATCTAGTGGCGTCGACACTTAAAGGCTAAATGCCCTGTGGAATTAATATTACCAAAAGAATTATTAGATCTACAAATGCTAATGCTTTGTTGTCAATTTTTTGGGCTTGCAGCCAAAGTTGAACCACTATCCTTACAGATGGTTAAAAACTGCTATTAGCAGGTCGTCTCATAGAATCATTCAAATTAAACTTTTCACAGTTCACAATCAACCGATCAACCCATTTAGTTTCAAATGGGAAAGCATATTGTTGACTGACCCAACCTTAAGCTCATATGATTCATCTTTACTTTCGATCGGACTGTACTTCTTTTGCTTATCTGTTGCTATTGCTGTCATTACTCTTAATTGGATTCTGCCACCTTCAGAACGCTTATAACTTTACTAAATATTTTTCTCACGACCCGTTTGTGAAACATTGCTTAAAGGTCAACTTCAGGGTCATATACCACAAGGAGGCGGCAACTTTATTCAACAGCGGCAGATGCTACTGCAGCCCCAGCAGGTGTCTTCTGCAGGCCACCCGGTGCAGGGCGCCCATGCCGCTGTCACCCAGCCGTTGGCTCCCAGTGCCCGTGCCTCGGTGAACGCAACCTCGCAGATTCGACACATGATGGCTGCTGCGGCGGTGCAGCAGCGCCACATGGTGCCCCCGTCCTCCCATTACCGCAGTGGGGGGATGTTGCCCACTCGACCCTCTGCTGCGGCTGTCGGCTGTGGCTATAGCCCCTCTATTCTGCGAACCCAACAGCAGCAGCAGCAACTGAACGCTGCCGCGGTTGCCACTGCCACGGGGATGCAGCAGCCAGTGCCCGCACAGCAGTCTGTTCCGTCAATCCCTCCCGCCTTCCAACTTCCCGTCTTTCGCGGGCACGTGGGCTACTCCTGTCCCACAGCTGCGCAGGATTGCCTCATTGGCTGTGTTATGCTCATCGTTGGCTACCAATCCTTTGGTGAGGCTCGCAAATCCCTCTGGAAAAAAATCATTCGCTCCTATGGTGCGGAAGTTGTCACAACCTACGAACCTACTCGAGTTACGCACATCATCATGGATTGGACACTAGGAGACCCGGATCTTTACCATCAGGTACCCGTGAACTCGTTCCATGGCTGCTATTTTTTATTTGGAAACGCATTATTATATTGGTAACAGGTACTACGTGTTTCTAGTATGCATTCTAAATGTACGCATCATGGTTACCTCTCAAGAACCCAATTAAGTATAATTTGACCACATGATTGTTAAAATGCCTTAAAATTGGTATCTTTTACAACTACCCTTTATGAATTTCATAAATTTTCCAGCTCATCCTCGTACCAACTACCGTTTAACTGGATAGGACTTAGTCATTGCCTTATATGTATGCACACATATATACTGGTGTTATATTTGTCGTGAAATTAATGAAGTCAGAACTCCACCAAGGTCCCTTCTTTCCAGCTGATGTCACGTGCTTTTTACCATCGCTTCATCTTATTGATTGCTGAATTTTTAATTCGTACTGCGCTTAAATTTGTATCTCATTACTACAATTTCCACTTGTTTTTTTGCTTCATCCATGGGACTGGCTTTTTTTCGCCCAACGTTTCACTGCCGTACATCTCCAGACCTAGGTTATCTGTCGTTCTCTGTAGGAATTGAGCTAGAAACTGTCACACGCTCGATCGGCAATTCCACTACGAGTCCACTCCGATTACTAGATAGCTGTAAGTCATGTTCAACGTCGTTACAAGTATCCGATGAGCCCTCTCCTGTTACTGATACTGCACGTCTTCTTTGCGGCAGTGAATTAGAGGATTCTCCGAGTCCTGTAAATACAACAAGTACAGAAATACTCATAATGAACGATTCCTCTAACTCTTTTCCGTCCTCTAGTCCTTCTCCTACAGTGGGGGATAAAGCTTTAACCTTTTCTGGAGCAGTCAAGAACGTCCTTATTCGAGAAAAGTTTCAGTGCCCTGAGCTACTGTACCGAACCAATCATAAAGTTGTTCAACGCTTTTTGGTTCGAGATCTGTGCAGTCTGTCCGAACAGATGCACGACAGGCGGCTGGTTGCCACACTGCTTCGTTACAGGGAGGCCAGAGTTGAATTAATGGCCTGCTGTCAGGAGAAAAGTCCTTGGGTGCCTTATTACTTTTTCTATCTTCACGCCCGTTCTTGGGATCAAATGCATCAAATTGTTCGAGATCTTGATCAGATATGTCCCACATGGGAATTGATGTACCATTTGGTTCATAAAAAATAATTTGCCGAGTTTTCTGTTGTTTGTAGTTATAATTAATGAAAAACACCTTATTTCATTTCACTTGATAACTTTTCTTCGCAATATGGGTTGATTTTGAAAATCACATTTTCGGTGGCAGTCTTGTCCGAATTTCTACTTAATGTTATCAAGTAATTTGTTTAAAGGTTCATCTTTTAGTAAATCATCATAGTTCAATCTGGCTACTGAAACTGGATTCCATGCTTTTGACTGGGGTTCATGTGGACTAGTTGTGGGTATACGAAATGATCCTAACCTTCCCAGGCCATCCGGGATCGGAAGCGATTGGTGACGATCTACTGGCTGAATGATATCTTAGCCAAGGGTAAACTAGTCCCTCCCTACGAGATCATCCACCTTCCCTCTGCGTTTGCTCCAGGTGTCAGTTTCTCCTTCATCCGATCTCAAGTTAGTTACTACCGTTTTATCCATTATCGAATTGTTCGAACTCTTCGGTTGGATTTAATGCTAGCAAAAACGGTGATTTCGGTCCATTAAGAGTCGGGCTACCCTTGCCTTAATTCGCTTATGTGCTTAAAACTGCCTTTTACAAGTATTTTGCTTTTCAAAAATAGAACAGGGTAGTTTTGATGCAAGACATTTATTTAGAAGACGGTCTTATTTAATATTTAATGACTTATGTAATCTTAAAGCCAAGTTTATTTATCCTGCATTCCGGTCACAATGTTTTAACAATCGAACAATCGGGTGCATAGGCGCTAGGATGGGAAGAATGTGCTCAGAACTGGTTATTAATTTTCCTTGCAGGTAATATCCATAACTGGATTCGATGGTATAGAAAGAGTAAAAGTAGAGACCATAATCAAGCAAATAGGCGCTTCCTTTACGGATTACCTCGATCAAATGAATACTATCCTGGTTTGCAAACGGTCAGTTTCTCCTATTTCGATTATTATTTTCTCAGCATTTGAATCCATCAATTAAACTCGCTTCACGTTAAGCTACTTTACACCTTTGAATAAAATTTCAATCCTTTACAGATGAAAGTGTCTTCTATTTTCATATTTCGTTCCTCGTCCTAAAGTAAATTTGTCCTCAGTCTGTTCGTTCAGTGTTGAGTTGTCGTTCGCTTTTGAGTCTCCCAAAATATGAAATTTTAGCAAATCATTATTGCAGTATAGTCCGTTCGGTTTTGAACTCTGCCTATGGGATTGAAACACTATTAATTTACAATCACGTTCCATTTGCTTAATCAATTTTAAAACAGGCCACAAGGCAAGAAATACGAAATGGCAACGGTCTGGGGCATTCCCTGTGTGAACCTCCGCTGGCTGCAGGACATTTACTTGGGTGATGTGTCAGCCATGGCTGCAGACATTTCTCACAAGTACCTCTGCTTCGACGCCTCCGATGCCTCCATCGCCTTGGAGACGCGAACTCCGCGGGTGCAGGAGATCATGGGTTTGTTCAATTCCTCTTTCTCCATTGAAACTGTTTGAGCAAGCAACAGGAATACGGCCATGAGGCAAGGATGTACATTGTAGTGTTTTAACTTGAACATTGTATCACCTTGTTTCTGAAACGTTTTAATGCAATTTGGTCTTGAAATCTTATTTTGGAGGAACATTGCTTTCCCATTTGCTTGCTCTCTCCAGAGCAGTTTTGTAGTTATGGATCTAAATTGTTATGTGTGCAGCTTGTGTTCTGGGAGGGATGCATAATCATTGCGCTTCTGCCTTCTGCATGATATTTCTGTGTCTAAGTACATTGAATTTATCTTACAAATTTGATGTAAATTGGTCATAATGAAATGCTGTCTTTTTTTCTAAAAAGCGAGCCTTTTTCTCATGTCAATTTGGTACGGTGTGCTCTCTTGTAGTACCTTTGATAATACTATTTTGGCCTGACGTAATTTTTATTTACGTTTTAGTTGGCTGGCAGCAGGGTATTTCCATTACCCCTGAATCTTGGGAGGTATTTTTTTATTATTATCTGTTGCATATTTCTCACATTTGTTAGTTTAATAATGTTATTTGGATTTTCATCTGAGATATAGTGGAATATTTACTCAGGGTGCCATATTTTCATTTACTGCTTAGATGAAAAGTCGTTTATTAGAAAGACATTCCATATCATCCACCTTTTAGAGTTTCTGTGGCTTTATTTAAGGGAAGAAATGGTCCTTTCAAATCTCTATGTACTATTTCAGAAATCGCAGCTAGTAGCCGCAGTCGTAACCACACGACAGGGAGATTCCTCAAGTTGTGTGACATTTGGTGACTTCAATGTCATAATAATGAAAATGTCAGAAACTTCCACCAGTGTTTGCTTTGATGTGTCGCAATATTAATGACTTCGGCTCAAATAGAAGCCCTAATTTTTCTTAAGGAAATAATTTGCTACAGAGTTTTTTCCGGTGTAAAACTATTCGGTCGGCCGTTTCCCACGATCGCAAAACTTCGCTCGAGTTCGACGACACGTCAGCGTCAAATTTCGTTTTCATGCGATTTTGCTCCAAAACCGTTTCTTTTGTCGGAAAAACTAAAATTCTAGAGGCAGAGAGTACGTGGCCTAATTTCCTTATAGCAATTCCGCTTACCATAGGTGACAACTTTTACTGTTATTAGTGACTGTATTCTTTGTATGATCTAATGTCTGCCAAAATACCTCACTCTCCGAGGTCAATAGTTATTGAGCTGTTGTCCTGATACGGCTTGTCAAAAGCAACCTACCGATCCTAAACCTGTTATGCCCATTTTCTCTGCAGCATTTGGCGAAACTACGAAGTCAGTTGCGTCAAGAGGAGGCGGAGGAAGAGGCGGCTGCTGCTCTGCGGCGTCAACAGCAAACGGAGGATGGTGAGGGAATCATTGACGGTGAGGCCGAGAAAAGGTTTGTTTCCCCTCATTCAACCAGTACATGCTATGTTAACTTGCGTTTCGAAGAATCGCTTAAAATTAACTTATTAAGCCAATCCCCATGTTAAATAGTAACTTCGCCGAGTTGCTTCTTGTTATGAAGCTGGGTAAACTCATATGGGTTCTAAATTTACTAGGCAAATTCTTATGAACTGCTCAAATTTTAAGGTTATTAGATGCTAAGTACTCATAGTTTGCTTAAAATGTGTTGATCGAAGAGACTTTCATGGGTATCTTAATAAGGGGTGGGTTTAATATGTTAACCCTAACATACATTTGCATAGTATTGGGTTCTCTTCTACTTACATGCCATAAGTAGCACACATCTACAACAGGTGTACTTTGCCAAGCTTGACGGCGGAGGAAGTAGAGCGCGCTAAAACGGGCATGCTCCGAGAAACGCTACTTCGTGAAGAGAGTGAAAGAGTAGCCGCTCATCGCGCCACTGCTATTGCTGCAGCACAGCAGATGTCACAGCAAATTCCCACCTCTGTCTATCCGCTACTCTACCCCGTTCCCTCCACACCGCAATATCCCACAGGCTCCTCTCTCCCCATGAATCATCAGCTTTCCACATCCGCACCACTCTCTTCGAGTTCTTTTCCACTCGTCACCATGTCTACATCGCATGCGCCGACGCCTCCGCCACTGCCACATTCACCATCGCCAGCTACAGTGGGAATCAAAAAGGAGGTGAGCAGCATTGTTTCGTACATCCGGTAGCAAATGCCTCGTGAATAACTCCTATGAGTTTCATGTGCTCTAAAGTTTTAAGTTTTCCTTTCACGATATTCACTTTTTACTACTTCTGTTATTTGTTTTAATTTTATCAGTGTTTTAGGAATCGCGTTATTATGCTGAGCTATTTTTTCAACGATATTCCCCATGATCTATTTCAGCCATTCATAGAATGTGCGTACGTTTGCAATATTTTCTCAAATGGTATTATTTATAGTGTTTATTTTTTTCAGTCATTTCTTATCGCTACAATAATGTGCCTTTTTGGAATTTTATATTTACAATTGGTTGTCTAGATGGCACCACTGGTGCCCAGTGTCCATTTCGAAACGGAGCCCCATATTTTGAAGCGTCCGCATAGTCCGCCAACGGCTAATTGCGCTTCACCGCCTCAGAAGCGACGGGCAAATGACCTACCAAGGTCTGTACCGCCTCATCGTGTTACCGCTTCTCCGGACACCATTCCTCGTCCCGCATCGGTGGGTCCGATGTTGGAGACAACGTCTCAACCAATTAAGATCGATTCGGTACTGGATGCGCCCGTCTTGCAAATACCTGAAGCCCTCTCCTCTACCCCTGCCACTGCTATACCTCCTCCTACTCAGCAGGTTGATCTCAAGCCCCCAGCCTCCCTGCTGAGCCCTCTGCAACCACCATCGTCTCAAAAGCCTTTGCTGCCATCACCAACAGCTGCATCAAAGGCGGAGGTTGGGATCGATACGGAGGTGAGGCTGGTTTTCACGGGCGTGGACACGGAGACACGTCTGGCTATTATGCAGCTTCTGGCCCAGATGCCCAAAATCGGTATCGCGCCCCATCGCCTAGTGGAGAATGTGAGCGAGGCCACCCATGTCATCACCGAGCGTCTTACTCGAACACCCAAAATCTACATGGCTGTCGCTTTGGGTTGCCCCATCGTCACGGCAAAGTGGATTCAGGCCTGTCTCGTTCGCGGTGACTGGCTGGGTATGAATGCTTCCTCTGGTTTACTTCTACCTGATGTTTGGCTTCCTCCTCCCTTCTTGAGATTTGGGGCATTTTAGCATTTTAGTAATTGTGATTAATTTCGAGTTTGCCATTATTATATATGGATAATTTACTACTGTTTTGGAAAATATTTGCTTCCATTGTTTTTTTTGAACATAATCTGGTTGTACCTGTGTAAGTTGTGCTGTATTTACACACATTTCCGCGGTTTATTTTGACGCGACATGAACGGAGAGTTCTGACTTCTTTGTGTTTCTACCTGTCAGTCGATTTTAGTTGTCTATTTATTGTAATATTGTCAATAATTTGGAGATCTTAGGCCTTTTTATTCATCTTTACTGATAATTCTTCTGTGGAAAACGCACGTGGTATATTTCTTGAGTTGATCTAGCGTTTCTTCATTCCTTGAATTTTAAGTTCTATAATGTCTGTTTATAATCTCCTTGCCGAATTTGTGTATTGTTAATACTTTTTTGTCGATTCTTGCATTATATTTTTAATGGAATATATTTGCAGCGTTTTATCAAATGAAACATTGCTGACGATTTCCTACTTCCTGTTATTATTCCTAACCCACATTTTGCGACCAAAGCGGAAATCGACTGGCTTATTGAGGACGCCGAGGCAGAGGAGAACCTTGGCTTTCGACTGGCTAACTCCTTCCGCATTGCACACGAGCGACGTCTTTTGGACGGACCGGGTCTGTTTGCAGATCTGGAGTTCTGGTTTTCCCCAATGGCGCATCATCGTGAAGTCTGCGAGCAGCTCGTGCGAGCCTGTGGCGGTCGAATCCGCGAACGCCGTCCCACGCAGAAAATGGCCCTCCTACCCATCCCGCGGCAGGTTATTATTTGCCACGAGGAGGACTCTCACGTGGCCTCCTACCTCATGCGCACTAAAACAGGCAACCGAGGTGGATTTACCGTTCTGTTGATGTCCACACTTCATACCGTCGCTTGATTAAGAACTTTTCTGATCCGATTTTATCAGCGGTTCACCACGAAGAATTCATCTTGAGTGGGGTGCTACGCCAGGAGCTCGACTTTGATTCTTATCAAATTCAATTGGTGAGCATACAGTTTGCCGAATTGCAAGCAGCTATCTCGGTGGCCAACAATAACGCCCCAGTCCCCGTACGCAACGCCGTTGCTCGCAGTCAACCTGAGGTGGCGGTGGCGCCTCCTTCCCAAGCAGCTGTCTACATGCGTCCTCCGCCTTCACCTCCGCCTGCACCATCCTGCGTACTCCTTGTTTCAGGTGCGGAGAATCAGCAGTCTTCGGTAATGTACTACATCTCATCCGGCTCCACTATTTCCTCAGCCCCTCGAGCCCTTGTATCTGTCTCTGCCTCCTCTGCGGTTGGCATGGCCGCGACTGCTGCTACCGCTGCTGCTGGTATCACTGCGTCGACAGTGGGTCAGGAGGAGCCACTGACGCTTCATCTACCCGAGGGTATCTCAGCGGTGGTGGTGACTGGCGGTGAGCCCGGCGTCCATGTTAGTGATGAGGGCCTCAACGCAGCTCGCGTTGCTGCTGCTGACGCACACGTCGTCGCCTCAGCCACTGCCGCCCTCACCACGACTACCAATAACCCTACGCTGATCGCTGACAGCGGAGCCCTCGTCACTGCTGCTGTTGCCCTTGGTCGGAGTCAGGTGAATTGCACTCCACATCGCCTACCACAACAGCACCAAACGCCAACACCACAACCTCCCTCTTCGGAAATGGTCAGTTCTTCCGTGGGGTTTCTCATTATTTCCCTTACATTCCACTCCGTTACAGTTTCATTCGTTAACTTGGAGTTCAGTTTTTAACAATAATTTATTTCGTTACGATAGTTTTGCATTCCAAAGTCGTGAACTCTACTAGAAGTGCATCTGAGTCTTATTTTTTCTCAGTTTTAGATACGAGAAGAATAATTATCAAGTGTTGCCGACAGAAGAAATCTCGCATTACGTGGCATTTCGTCCCTTGCACTGAACTAAATTTTGTATTGTGATTTCGTGTTTTTTAATGTAAATTGGTTTCTTTAGGAAATCGTAACAAGGAAAGCTGCCCTTGTACCTATAGCGACGTTCTTTTTGTAGGAGTAGCATATCCCCGGTTGTTAACTGACTAACCTCATAACTGCAGGGTCTTTATAAGGGCCGGTTCAGATTGTACAATCTAACAAAAAGTAACACGTTAAACCTATTGCAACTTACGACGTGTGATCACATGGAACCGCTTGCCGGTTGCCGCTCTACGGCAGAGCGATGAATAGAATGACCAGTATTTCAGATAATAGAATCGTGCCTTTCCATGGGATCTTTGGTTTTGGAATTGCCATATTTAATGCAGATATCTGCTATCTTTTGCCTTGTGAACGTTCATTTCTTAGGTGAACGCATAGCACTGTTAAAGCTGTAAATCTACACGAGTTGGAAAGATATTTGGTGCAGGTAAGACTGGTGTACAGCTGCCGTGGAGCCGCTTTGCGTTAGTCCGTTGACAACGCACTACTAGAACTTGCAACTTTTTCAACGTACCATTGATTTTTACGGTATCCCCCCTCTACCTTTTGGGAAGCAAATATGATTCTGGAGCCGCGTACACCTGGATTATTGACATCCAGTCATTTATTTGAACCATCAATCGGCCATTCCGATTGTACACATGGTACAAGAAAAACGCGCACTGGTCACTGCTTCGCTGTTTGAATTGCATTAACTACCGCTTATGGCTGTCTTATATTAGTACGGGTTCTCAACAAAAGTTACCTCCTGACCTTTGTGAGTATTTGATGCCGGAAATTACTTTACAGTACCGATTGTAAATGTATTCGCATCAGGTAGTTCTTTATTAAGCTCAGTAGATGCAGCAAAAGAGGTCTTTTCATAGTACTCATAAATGTAATTCGAAACTTCAAAGATGATAAACTGAACTGAAGTCAACACAATGGAATTTTAAGATGAAGAGGAGAGATTAGAAATCGAGGCAGTACAGAGGATGCGCCTCGCGGTGCCACGCATTGATCCAGGAGTTGATGTGGTTGGTGATGAGGCTGCGGGCAGCTCGCACTTCCGCAGTGTCGTTAGGGTGGCTTCCACGCAGGTCGAGGTGGTGCGCACCCGAGGCGATGCGTACCACCGTTGCACCCGGCACTAACTCTTTCTCCAACACCCCGAACGCCGACCAAGGGTCGAGGTCTCCGTTGCTGCAACATGGAGGCGTGAATGGGATGGTGGTAAAAATAGCATCTCGCTTTAAATGAGAGCATCAAAAAGAGCACAATTGGTGTGTATGTGGGAGAGGGGCACTTTTCACCAATCTTCCGCACTTTACGGTTTTACTGGAACGGCTTTGACGATGTGCGTCACTTCATTGGAAAATCAACGAGCGAACAGAAGGGTTGTCTTATTCGCTTGAAGGACTTTACTCTTTCTCCTAACACTTGGGAATGAAAATCTTGATACCAATGAGGGATATGACTTCAAATACAATTTGTGAACCATTTCCTCAAATTTCAGAATTAACACATTCTCCTGCATGGAGATGTCAATTTTAAGGACTGTGCTAGTGAATATAGAAACAAGTCCAGGTAAACAGTTCTAACATGAGTTTGAGATGTGAGAAGCAACAAACCTAAAGATTAGCCTGGTGACAGTATAGAGATTCTTGGCCCACCACTGGACACCAGCCCAACCCATACGTGGTCTCACACCAAATTTCCTTTGGCAGGCATTGGAAAATTCAATTGGATCCCACGTAGATGGCTTGAACATGTCGGATTTGCCGTCAGAGCATATTGGATTTGTCATTTCCATACATGTCTACAGAGTGACAAAAAAACGCTAGTTGATGTCCAATTTGTGACCTCTTGGGGATAATTATGTGGTTGCAACGATGGAAAATGAGCACAAGTTGAATTCGTAGGTATTTTGCATTTGGATTTGTTAATTTGTTAAAAAGTAGAGAGTGTTGTAGTGTCTTTTTGAGAAGAATTGAAAACAGGCTTTAAATCGTGATTTTGAGGCCTAAATAAATTAATTTCTAGACTTCTTGCATACCGCGGGAACCCTGATAAGAGCTGTCAATGTAAAATTGAAGTACCTGCAGTTCCCAGCCCTTGGCATCAAGGTTTGTGGAGTTACCATCAAACGATAGGCAATTTTCTTCCTGCCGATAATTATAAATAGAAAAGAAGGCACATGCAAACTTCTCCACCTGTGGTACCATCTTCCCCCTGGTCCGACAGTCCACCATGGCCTTACAAAATTCCTAATTGAAAATTTATAGACTCGTAATGATTAATATAATGAACGCACGCTAATGCAACTTGGTTTCGATATGCTCAAATATTTTACCTGATTCGTAACATCAAATCCTTCCCTGTAGTACAATAAAAAAATGTGTAGTTTATTAGAGGCTCTAATTTCACGCTGATAATGTCGCGCTGGATTTTGTTGCTCATACGAAATAATAAACAGTTTATAAACATGAAAGTTCATTTGAGCCATCATGAGTGCACTGTGTGATTTCATACCATTACTGTACGGGAAAACTACCATTACTGTTGCACAGTTTTGGCTAAAGAAGATTGGCATTCAGCCCTTCAAAAGTACTGTTTAGTTGGTGTGATTTCGGATGAACACTGGATCGAATGTATTCTACGTAGGAAATTCGAAAACTGCATACCTTCACAGGCCACGCGGGAAGGTTACCAAGAAAAGAAGCACTGTAGGGATAGTTAGCCATTGCCAGAGTAATCAAATAGTCTTTTGTAAACTCGTAAATGAAGTCTCCGTTCGGAAAAGGCCTGCACGTTTTAAAAAGACCCGATAGACTAGCCAAACCACCTGCTAGTAGAGAAATCCAACCGAATAAGGACAATCACAGCTGAATGGTTAAACTGTGCCTTACGTTCCGCAGCAATATCATCCATGAGTGACCAAACCTCGCGAATAGTCGAGATACAAGTATCACCCCCAGCCTGTCTGTAGGCCCTTGTAGTGACTTGATAAAAGCCACGACAATCGGCCATCCCCGGAAAAAGCCATATGGGTGCAGATGATGCCAGACCTCTTCAATAGAATAAAACAGCATCAGTAAATTTTCGCAAACCAACCATCAGGAAAGACGATGTGTAGGCAGTTTGAGTGGCGAAAAGACGTACCCCGCAACGATATTGGGATAAGCCTGCCGAAACCACGCTGTCAACATGCCCCCATACGACCCACCAAATGAAATAACGGGTGAGTTGCTGAATTGGCGATTTGCACATTTGAAATCCGATATGAATTTGGCGTAATCTGCCAGTGCCTGCTCCGCAGTCAAGAAACCGAAATGATTGCGGTCCTAATAAAAAAAGGGTCAAAGACAAATGCGTAGCCCAAAAGGCGGACCGCTGAAATGGAACACTCAGGATTGATGTAATAAAGAATTTGTGATCAAGCACATGATACAAATAAACGAGCGCTTACTCGTAACTCCTAAAATCGACTAGAATTATCAAAGAAAAGTAGGAAAAACACACTAATTTGGAAGATGAAGTTAAGAAATGGAAAGACGTAGTAACGGAAGAGTGGTGAGTACACAGACAACAAAACATGCATCCACGGTATAAACCTCTAATTTAAAAGGTCCAAAATCTAAAACAGGTTTGATATTATAAAAAAAGCATCGAGACTAAAATGCAACCAAATGAACAATATACTACAAAGCAAATCTTACCAAAAAAGAGCGGCTACCAAATGGCAAAGATGTGCCGTAATAGCGGTGTTCAGCAAAAATAACAGCGCCGGACAATATTTTGGCCAGTTCAAACATGAATCCCTGAAATGAATAAGAATAAATGACCCACCGTGTTTTGTGCAAAGTGATCAATTAAGCCCTCATTCCCAGTATAAAACAATATTGGCCCACCAGGTTTCCATTCTTCCGTTGATATCAAATATGTTAGATTAAATTCTTGAGAAGGTGCAAACGAAAAATGGTCGACCTTAAATGAATATGATTAGCTGCAAATCTTGTACGAATTCAGTAAAGTTCCTCCTCTCATACGGGTATAAAGAGCGTGCGCTTTTCTCTAAAAATATTCTGTGGGATAAAATACCCACAGATGCATAAATGTTCAAAAAGATTAGTAGAAAGCACCACAAAATACGACACGAAAACATAATTGGGCCTCATACAAAGCGTAAATAAGTGATTGAACCAAACAAACGAAGTCCTTTAAAGAAAGATATCAATTGTTTTGCACAACCTACATAAAGGTGGTGCTTACCGACAACAATAGTTTTTACTGAATTCAAATACGATGTTTTTTAAGGTATCAATGAATCATACTAGTGCAGACGTAAAATTTTCCATGTCAGCACTAAAATAACCCAAACCTAAGTAAAAAATTGTTGTCCCTGTACATAAATTAAGAATGTTACATTTTAAAGCATGCGGTATCTCTTTAACAGACACACGTCTATTGTAACTATATATGGTTAGTTCACTTATCTTACCATTAGCAAAGTTCCCAAAGGCTTTAATATAGCTATGTAAAGTTCTAAGACTTCTCCAAGGGCGAAAAATAACGCTCAAGCAGAATGCACACATCCGACACGCAGAAGGTATCTGGACGACTGCATGGCCCGAAGGCCAGCTCACCAGTAGTGATACAATGGCCAAGCCAAAACCAGCTCTTTACCAAAATTGAGGGTTAAACTTTTGTCCCATTACAGCCATGCAAACTCGACAAAAAATATTTTCAAAAAGAAACATAATGTTGAGCTGAGGAACGTAAACATAAACCTTGAAATCAGAAGTTTGCGTGCTTGTACTCAACCCAAATATAAGGTTATTGCACTACAATGGTAATGCAGAGTTTAACAAACAAAAGGCGTTACTTTTTATTGACAATAAAGTGGTTTTGGTGTCTAATTAGGAAGGGCTGTACTGAACACCAAAACTCCTCTATAATTTGGCTGAGAAATAATTTTATCTAGAACGCTTACCTGCCATTTTTTACTGCTTCTCTCCCCTGCCTAATGTTTTGTTTTGTGGATTGGTGAGCCTGGTTAGGGAAGACATCCTATGCTGTAGCATCATAGAGTTTTTACAAATGACCAAAGCTTGCTTTCTCATACTTTCAATGACGCCACCCTAACTAAGATGTAGGCTCTGTCCGCGTGTTTGTCTTATGGTAATAGATTTTCTGGTTTATGAATCTGTGCAATGTGCAGGAAATCTAATTGATGCACTGACTCATATCCCACCTTTCAGCTCCTTAACCATTTTATCAGTAGTTCTTTTTAATCATAACTTTCTCACTCAACTTTCTTCTGGTTCTTTTCCAAATTTTACCCGCTTAACTTTTTGTTATTACCACCCAACAATGTGCTGGTTCTTTCGAGATATTTAGGTGGCGATACCTGCCAAATTGGGGCTGGACTTTGTATGATAACGGGTAGTTGAGCACTTTCGAAGTTTTTCTTGCCTTTGCAATTGACTGAGTTGTTTGTGTGGTGATTTTTTACCTATCCTCTTATCTGCCTTCTTTAGCTTTTGTGCAAGCCTGCCTGTTTTTCCGTTTTTTACTAGTTATATTCATGGTCATTTGAAAGTAGCTTTGCACCTTCATTTTGGGGCATTTTGGCTGCCCTGTTTTGTTTTTTTCCTGGATTCCTGCTTTAATGTTGTGCAACTATTTTTTGTGAACTACAAACCCGAGCTTCGTCGTTTTTTAAATTGAACTGCCTTCTGAAATATCCGCGGTTATTCTTTAATTTGTTTTTATTTTTGACTTTGATTTAGGCATTACTTCTTTATTTGCCATTGATTAGGATTTGTGAAGGATCGCTGTAACGGACCATTTGCTATCCATGGACCGATATCACGTTCTTGAATGCATAGGTGAGGGTTCATTTGGACGCGTTCACCGAGGTCGTAAACGCTATACTGGACGGGTAGGAATCCACTTATTTCTGTGCATTTTAATTTTTTTAGACTGTAGCCCTTAAGTTCATATCCAAATCGGACAAAAGTGATAGGGCCTTTCAAAACTTGAAAAAGGAGATTGAAATTATGAAGTCTTTGAACCATCCCAATATAATTGCCATCGTCGATGCCTTCGAGACGCCAAAAGAAATGGTCGCCGTTACGGAGTATGCCGAGGGAGACCTTTTTCAAATTCTCGAGGATGACAGATGCCTCCCTGAGAATGTGGTTAGTTCACGCTTTCTATCTTTTACAGAGGCGCTTTATAGATTCAATCAATAGCTGCACAATTGGTGTCGGCCTTATACTACCTCCATGCGAATCGTATTCTCCACAGGGATATGAAGCCACAGAACATCCTTCTCGGGCATGGGGGAGTGGTGAAATTATGTGACTTTGGTTTTGCCCGAGCGATGAGCTTCAACACCCTCGTGCTCACCTCGATCAAGGGCACGCCGCTATATATGGCCCCAGAGATTGTCGAGGAACGGCCCTACGATCACACCGCCGACCTTTGGGCTCTCGGCTGCATCCTCTATGAGCTGGCTGTCGGTACTCCTCCATTTTACACCAATAGCATTATTCAACTTGTCAAGATGATTACCACTAACAAGGTCAAGTGGACTGATAAGATGTCTCCTATGTTCAAGAGTTTCCTAGCTGGTTTGTTGGAAAAGGATTCCAAGCGGCGACTTCAATGGCCTGATCTTCTCTCACATCCATTTGTCGCGGATCTTGTTGATGGTATAGGAATTCTTCTAGGTTTTTATCTCTGCTGTTGTTATTCATATTCGTGAGATCAGGATTACAACAATCATAAAATCAGCAAATTGATAGACCGAATTCGTCATCATTCATGCTCTGTAATATCTCTTAAACTCCATCAATATTACTTGAACTTCACATGTTTCGCATTCGGTGAAATATCGTTTATGGCCTTAATTTTGTTTCCTTCAGTTTCTCCAATCACCAAACAGTTGAAAAGTCCATTTACGCAGCCCCTGACAGCCAGTCAATCGCTTGAAAAAGAGAGGCAGACCCAAATGAAGGCGCGACCCATGAGTAGTCGAATACTTCGCACTCTCTCGAGGGATTCTGCTGCGGCGCGCCCAGAGATTGCTCCCTCCGCTACATCAAAACCTTTAATCAGTCGTCAGGCCACTCTAACTGCGACTAAAAACAGGGTTGCTGTGAGTGGACTTGCATTTCTTTATACACAATGTCATAACGGCTGGTTTTAAAAACATGTGCTTTTTTACTTTTCCTGAGGCTACGGTTTTATTATTAAACGAACTGTGTGGCATTTGTAAACACAGCAATTAACGAATAGATAGAGTATAAAAAACACTAATGGTAAGAACTCCTCTTTAGCTACCGCCGTCGTCGCCATCGCTGTCGACACGAGGACCGACGGTGGAAGCGTCGGATGCACTGGTGTCGTGGTTGGGGTGCCTGAGTCGGCGGGATTTGGAGCTTTGGGAGACTCTGGGGCGTGTGCGTGAGGGCGGACGACCAGCGAGCGTGGCCGACGCCCAGGCATTGGCAGGCCGACTGGTCAGCCCTGAGGCTCTGGTGGCACGGACAGGAGTGGTGTGGGATCTCGTACTGATGTGCGACACCCGCTTTGTAACCAGTCTCTGCGCCAGCCTCGGCAAAGCCACGTGGTGGGCCCACCTTCTCGGTGGTGAACTGCCCCCCTCTCTCTCTACCCCCACTCCCACTCAGGCCGCTCAACATCTAGAGGCTATCATTGCAATCGTCTCTAATGTCATCACAGTCGAGTGGTGAGTCTCATCTCTTACTCAGCTGTTATGGACTCACCCAACTGAAGCGATTTGGATAGCCACGTTGGGAAGGAATAATTGTTTGTTTTAAATTTAGGATGGTTAAATGATTTTGTTTATTTTCTCTTGTCCACTAAAACCTTCCCTAACGATTTGATGGTATACCTGTATAGGGAAAAGTTACAGCTATTTTTTGTATCGAAATTTTTGATTTATTATTTCGTTGTAAAATGTATGAGGTAAATTTGCCTGATAACTTGAATGGAGGCTTAGCCCAACAGATTAGAGGCTGGGTAGTTGTGGTTAACTAGCGGGTATTGGTAAATTCGGAAAATGAATAGGTGACAACCTTAGTGGGATAGCTTACCCCCTCATAGGCGTAACCTGGTGACAGTGACGGTGCTGGGAATTAGTCCGCTGCCTCATGTTTGCATAACCATTGCCAATCCATCAAAAGTCGTACCCTCCCAAGCATGGGCGTTTTATTAGTTTCATCACTAATATCCTTTTATTTTTTTATGCCCTCTTTTTTTTCTGAATTGCGCCCCTCTTACGTTTTAGCAACGTTCTTATTCTCACCGACTTCTTCGAACGCACCAACATTCCTACTTTCTTTATTCAGCTTCTAGCTGAACTGCTGAAAAAGAAATCCTTCCTTTCCGTGAGTTGTAGCACTGACCTCCCTCTCAGTCTGTCGTCACCACCGTTATTTGACCCTTTATTGCTGAATTCCAATTTTGCCCAATTTAGCAATCCTGGTCTCAGAACCCCCTGCTTCGAATCATTTTCACTGTAAATGCCTACTTTGTGAGTGAGGTAGCACACACTCCGGATCCGCCGCCGTCTGCGTGAGTCCGTTAATTACTATAAATTAGTAAGAATTTTTCGGTGGATTTTGTGTTCCTTTACTCTGAAGAATTTTCTGGTTGGGGGTAGATTAATTTATTTTTAGCATAACTTCGATATTCTTTTGATACATTTGGGTGGTTCTTTTTTGAGTCTCAAATCTAGTTAAAGTCTGTTAAAAACACTGAATCTCGTACTTTATATATTAGTTGTCCACTTAGCGCATGCGATCAATCCAGAAAAAATCCTTAAAATGTGTTAATTACTATTTTGTCAAAGGAATAGAGCACTGGCACCGAATGCGTCCGACACATCAAATTGGCTGTCATTTTCTAGCGCCTTTGTTTGACTCCTGTTTAGACAAGCCACCTACGTAGGTGTGGGTCTGAAGTTACTGCAGTTGGTGCCCTCCCTCCTTTGCCTCACCCGCGACACCGATTTTATTCGCGGCGAGCAGACCATTCTGGTGAGCGAACGATGTTACCATCACTTCTTAGTGTGCGCTCTCCTTATCCAGAGGCTTCTTTGTGTGTTTGAGTAGCATGAAAAATTTCGCATAGTATAAATCCATCTTACTGTACCTCTTTAGGATTGCTGGAACTTCATGAATTACTCAATTGCGTAAACCTCAACTCCTAGAAATTTATTCTAGCAAAGAACAAAATATTACCTTTTTTTCTACTATGTCGGAGGACGTTTCCAATGCGCGAATTTTCCTCTACTTTCACTCCGCCAATTACATAATAACCACCGATTTTTGTGTCCAACTTTATTCTCTTTTCTTTTACTTTTATCACTCATATTTACTTTTTCGAGTGTCTTCGCTACTTTCTTGAGTGCCTTCGAAAATGGCCCAACGCCGTTATCTCTCAGTTCCTCTCTGCGGCCATCTCTGACTGCACTTCATCCATAGATGTTCTCTTGCAATTCCCTTCAATAGGCAGGATTTCAAAAGGCGCGTATTTTCGTTTAGTTTACTTCTAATTCAGATCACCTTATTTGTCCACGCTAGCCTCGTGGGCTTTATGTGTGCAATGTTGTGGGTGAATGCTGTATATATTGTGAGGTATTCAAGATGATATATGCACATCTAAAAGCAAGCTTTCTCTCACTGCCACATCCGATTTGAGACACTTTATAGTGAATGGAGGTTTCGACTTCAATCCTCTTAGCGTAAAATAACATTGTCTTCATAGTGAAGTGCTATTTGATCAATGCTTATAAATTCAATCCATTTACGACAGCTATTGCAGCAGTCATTTTGGTGATGTACGAAGTGATGCCATGGCTGCGGCAGGAGGTTAAGTTTTTGCGCTTAAACTGCATTTTCAGCCACATGTCCTGGCCTGGCACTCAGCACGTATCCCGCTCTTCTGCAGAGGACTCGGGAGCACGCAGATGGCATCCGCGAGAAGGTCATCATCATTCTAGCTCTTTTGACAGACCCCTTGAGATACGAACTGGATTCGACAGCGCATCAGGTGTTCCCTGCACTCCCACAACAAGTGCGTCCATCGTAACATCTACTAGACTATGAGTTACAATGAGCACAGGGCCAATATATGTGAATATACTGATTTCAAAGCCTTCGTGTGTTTTATGCAAACAGACAATGGAACGAATTGTTTTTGCTCAAGTTTTTTGCAGTGACTTTTAATATGAGGAAACCTAACACTTTAATGCTACCTTCTATTATATATCTGAAGATTTCCACTATTATTCCTTATTTGCTTATTGCTTTGTTCTTAATGAATCTTGGGACAAATTTTACAACTCCTTGTGCTTACTGAATATGGGAAATTGCGGGTGTAAAAGTACGGTTAGTTGGTTTACTCATACGAAGTCTCACCCACGTTTTAATACCCGTTTGCTGTACACTTTTTCACTACTTCCCTGATGCTTGACGCGGTTATTGTGCTGCTTTTAGATGGCCTCCTACATAGGCTCGCGCCTCTGTGATCGGCACATGAAGGAATACCTTCAGACCCTCGTTTGTGCCATCCGCGAAACTAACGTATGCACTCTGGCCGCAAGTGTAAGCTCCATTTTCATCAGACATTTAACAGAATTAGATGAATTGGAAGATTGCAAAATACTTCTACTTGTGTATTCAATACCTTTTTGGGAAAGGAATACGTTCGCAAAGTATTGTTAAAGAGAACTGTTGCGGCAGGATAACGAAACGTGTTCTAATGAGCTCTTTGTATTTGTGTAGATCCTCTATGAATGTATGCAGAATGCTCCTTCATTGGCCATACTTTTGACTTCGGATGATTCAGGTTACATTGACAATTTAATGGGAATCCTGGAATTTTTGGTATGTATAGGTTGCTATGGTATTGTAACTGACACTAATCCTTTTTCATATGCAGTGTTCAACTTGATTCGGTTGCATAATATTGTAGATAATGTAGGCATTACTGCCGAACCGAATGCACTTACTAAACTCATTGAATCGCCTTTGTATCATAAGTGAAACATGTTATTTGCTCAAAGTTACTTGAATTTTCATCAGTGATAATGATCCTTGAACTGCAAGACATAGACATAGTTTAGTGGATTAAAATTCTCGGCTTTTTAATGATTTATGCGTGATCGCTCGTTGTGACAACACACATCCATTGTTGCAGTTGCAGGAGACTGAACCGAAGACAGTCCGTCTTATTGAAATTGCCATTCTCTCACTTAGCTGCGCAATAATGCTGCTGCGTTCAGTACCCAACGCGTAAGTTAAAGGCGAATCCATATTTGTGTTTGGATTTAGAGATACTGTTGTTCAAAAGAGCAGCTGTTCGAATAATTTATTCCGTGTACAGACAATTACGGTTTAGTACACGTGCTACCCATTCATTTCAAGTATCTGTTTTCACATTTCAGAATCTCGGTGAAAGCGAAAAAACTTTCTTCTCTCTTCACACATTCACAGTTACCGAATCATGCGGTATGACAACATTTTTTTAGAAATTTCGTGATTTATGTATTGCACGCTGATGTGAGTTTAGGCGGCAATGGCTCTGTTACTGGGAGAGATGATGCATCATCAGCCGCTGATTCCGGTGGTAGAAGCGCGTGACCTGGCGCGGGTGCTGTTGCTGGTGTTGAGCAGTCCGTTGGTGCAGAGTCGAGATGCGCGCGAGCGTCTGCTGGCTGCTGCTCGACCCCCCTCCTCCACTTCCACCTCCTACTCCTCCGTTGCCACTCTCGCCACCGCAGTCGGCCGCACCTCGCTAGCTGAGGAGGAGGAAGCAGCGGCAGTCCTCTTCGGTCTCCCCCAGACCCCCTGGCCTCAAGATAAGGGATGGCTAGACGGCCTCTTCCATCTCGTGCACTGCTGTTCTGCGCATCCGGTGAGTCGCCTCCCATTCTTTGTCTCTCAACACCGGCTCTTTGTTGAAATAGCTCTTCACTTTGGCTAAACGTCCTCCTGTGTCCGGATGTAAAGAACTAGCTGCTTCACTAAGATTTATGAATCGTGGTTAAACAACTACTGCTTAATGTATTTCTATAAGTCCATAGCCTCTACTCAGTAACCATAGTTGTAATTCGCTTTTGAACTAAACGGTAGGGTAAAAGAATCTAGCTCGACTTTATCCATTGGTCAAAACGTATTAACTATTTTTGAATCACATTGAACTTTCAACTTCAAGAGGAAATATATCCCAAAAGCCTTGGCTATCTCTCAAGTGCTGCTAAAAGATACGGGTTTCTTGCAACCTTGTTTCACTCTTGTGCTCGATGTGCATCGTTACTGTTTAACCTGAAAAAATGAAAAAGTGCCTTCCTACAGCTGCTGTGTTTGTCTATGGAGAATTTACATTATTCTCATCTTACACCTTAATTTTTCTTTATCATGCTTGTCTTTGAGAATAAAGAGGACAACCAAGAGGAGATTATTTTTGAGCTTTTTGACTTAATTGTACGCAAACCTATCAGACATGTTGAACACGACTTATTCCTCAATTTTTGACCATTTAAGTGATTAATTACACCAGCGCTGAAAGGAAGGAAGGACGTAACATAACATGTCATTATGGAATCAATCTAAAATGAAATAAGGGCGCTGGGGAGAATGAATTATCCTAAAAATTACTTATTAACTAAAAGTTCTCCATTGGCACCTGATATCAAACGTCGTATTCTTAATGGTTAGACACCATTGAGAAAACGGATCGCGCAACGAGTAGAGCGCAATTTTAGAGCTTTTTTCGCAGGGACCCGTCGAAAGGCAAAAAGTCCATAACTTTTTGGCAATCTGAGTCTTAAACCTCAATTTGGGAATTAATATGGAAAATGCGAGGTTCTGTCACAGTAATGTTTTGAACGCGCCCGAGACACCGTCTTCACTGCCTTGCACACACAAGCACATGTGGACGTCACTGTTGAAGCGTTTGCTGGAGGGTCAGGTGTGGTCGCGGCTGTGGCCGACTATCGGACAGGTGCTCGATGTGTCTGCTCGCCACCAACAACGCGGATACCGTACCGCTCTTCTGGACTGGCGCATCCTCTCTCCTACTGGCCTCCTTCACGTCCTCCAACTCGCTCTTAAAATCGTCCAAAAGGTGCGTCTTCCTCCCCATGGCTACTGGAAAACTTGCATAATGCTGCTTACATTTATCTCCACTTTTTTAGCACGGGGAAGGGTTATGTATCACTTATGTTTGCATCCAAAATTTATTTTTACCGTTTTAACATCCCTACCTTAGTCACTTGTTTGGGCTGGTGGTATTGATGTCACTTCCTTTTATGGGGTCTTCTCATGTGAATGCGATTTATGGAATCGTAGGAACCACGTCTTCTGCTGCATTCACTGCGCGATGAAACAAGTGATGTTCTGGTCTGCTTAAATTTCCTCCTTTCCCTCCCCGGAACGCATCACAAGTTCGTTGGTGCTTTTTGCTGTTATACTGCTCTCTCTCTTGTTGCCGTTTCATAACTATCTTCCTTTTCAATTTCATTACCAGTGACAGCAGCAGCTTTGTCAACATTTCGCAATCAGCAGTGAACATTCTTGAATTTCCGCTAAACGCCAAAAATACGGCGGAATATCTGCCGGCCATTTTGCCGTAAGATATTAAAGACTTTTTGATTGTTTGTCATTAAAGATCATTTTGTAGTTGAATCAGCAGGAGCGATGCACAAATTTGGCTACCTGCGGCTTTGAATAAATAGGAACTCCTAAATCTGGCTTAAGTGCTACTTTTCTCGAAGAGTAATTGACTTCAATTTTCCTACATACAGTGGGCCATCGTTACACGCATTGGTCTTGACTCCTTTCCAGAATTAGCATTCCCCATCAAAATGGAATGCCTCAAACGTTTGTAGATGTACTGTTTGTGCACCTTCTTTTGAGGTTCGTGCTGTCAATGCTGCACTAGTACGATAACGGAACTCATGTTCATGTATGGCATTATTTTTTGTCTCCAATTTCTCGGAAATCAGCCCAAAAGATGGCAAATCGAAAGAGACACCTCTGGAGTATTAATGATCCATCTTCTAGGAAGAGTTAAATGAAATGTCGCAGATATTTTCTCCCAAATTTGCTGTTCAATAAAATTGGGTGTTTTGACCTTTATTCGTTGGTTTTTTTGAAAGCGCATTCGCCACCGGTGGCACTCTAACTGCTCTGGGCCGGCTGGCCATCTTTCTGGCCAAGACCTCAGATACGACCTCATTGGCCATGCCAGATCAGGAGAGGGATGCAGGACGGTGCTTCTTCGAGGTAGCATCGTGGGGTCTTGCACTCAACACAGCTACCGGTGCTCAGCATCCCTTCGTCGTCGGTCTCTGGGGCGGTCCCGCAGAGCGTCGTTGGTGCGCAGGCGGCTACCTCTCTGGCCAATCTCAACAGATTGAGCCTTTCATTGAATCCATTGTGGCGGCCATCAAAACTCCTGAGGGCAATATCAATCCGGTTCGTTACTTAGTTGACTCCTTACCTGCTTTGATCGTCTCTCTTCAACTCTACCTCACCAAATTTTTTTGGTTCTATTTGATTACTACCGTGATGTTTGTGAATTCATGAATCAGTTCCCATAAGAATACGTGCTTTTCAACTGCTTCACCTAGCAATCCAAATAGAAATAGTTTGCCGTTCGATATCACCATTTAGATAGTCTTGAAGTGAAATACTCATGACTACTCTTATCTGTCTGCAATTATTTCAATGAAGGGTTTCGTGGTACTTGTGATCGGTAGCCTACGCTCCTCCGACAGAACATTATTCGAATCAGTCTGCAAATTTCTCACTCACCTCTTTCTCAATGTGATCGAATCACACGGCTCTTCTGGCGCCACAGCCAGCCCCACACTCACTGAATCCAGAGACCAGGCGCAGGTTCTGCTAAAACAGCTCGTTTTCGCAATTGTTTCCGTCGAAGACAGTGAGTTACCCGCTATAACCCTTAACATAAACTACCCGTCAATTCACACCTTATGTGGTTTTGGTCAATGATGGTTTCCAGCTTGTACCCACCTAAAATTTAGCTCATTTACACTTGGATCTAACTGCATCTAGTTTATCAATATTTGATACTTGTGCCTAGCTCCACGCGCTTACTATATGACACCACATTTTCCTTTCACTTTTCATCAAATAATCAGTATTACTGATTAACGGTTATCGAATACTACTCACTCTTTACAAACACACCGTAATCCTCCTTCAGGTGAGAAATCCAACTCTGCTTTAAAACAAATGCTAGCACAAGGGCAACCCTTACCAGGGATTCTGTGGTCCCTCTCAGCTCTCATTTCAATGTTCGCTATTTCCGAGAGTGCACGAACCTTGTCAGCATCAAACTTCCCCGCTCTCTCCGCATTTGCCACTTGTTCTTTCACGATACTGCAGGGGCATGATTACTTGGGCAGCTCGAACGCCGCTGTTCGCTACTACGCCCTCACCCTTCTCGCATTCGTCTCCCAGTGGGGAGCCCCCAAACCCGATTCTACGCTAATCAGCACTCTCGAAAATCTCCTGAGTGTCGACCAAAACCCCGCGGTTCGAGTGGCAGCCTGTGGTATGTCCACTCACCAATTTGCTAACACGACGGTAACTGGACTTAATTAACCATTAAACAAACTCACATCACTCTTCTTTTTCCTTTTTAAATAGCTTTTGTTAGAACTTGATACAATATGAAATCATGAATGCATGGCTTGGAACAAACACTCTGATTTGCGTCCCTAACGTTTAGCACTATGGCACACAAATTTTGAACTGTCTTTGTCTAGGTAGTGGCTTATCGTATACATCACAAACATGAATTTCGGACATTGCCAATCAACAGATACTGCCACAATGATGCAAACATCCGAGAAAACAATTTAATCCTAACTTTGAAACGCCTGTTAGAGGCCTTGCTTGCCATTTTAAAGAATTTGATGGTGCATTATTAAGGGATTTGTTGTTTATTATAACTTGGTGTAAAAGTCTATCCTGATGGAAGTGCAAAGTCTTTGACCACTGCCGTAGGTTTCTTCGAGTGTCAGGTTGTGAACGCCCTGGAGACTGGCTCAGTCGTCGAAACTCGAATGCTCAGTTGGTAGGTGCACGATTTTTAGCCCCTCTTATTTCACAAAAACATTTTCGAACCCCTTCTCATCCAGTCTCTTAGAATCCGGATGCACTGACTCATCATTAGATGTTCAAGAGGCTGCCTTGGGCGCTATGCGGAGGATTTTCGAAATGGACCCCACGCTAAAGCAGGTGCTATTCCAGTCTTCCGCCTTATCTATTCATGCATAAGTATGCACAGTCCATACCTGAGGAGTAGCAGCTTTAACATATCTTTCATTATTTGTCAGAAATTTCTTCAAACCAGCGTCCTTCAAAGGCTGATCGTCCAATACAGTACCGCTACTCAGCAGGTTCAGCGACCCAGTCTTCTGCAACGCCTTTTCGCAAATCGGAATCACCCGCAAACATCGGCTTCAGCAACTCAGTCCGCTAACTCATCCGTCCAGGAGTCGATACTAGGGCATCTTTCCGCCTTATGCGAGTTCGAGAAGTCTCAATAGAACCCCCCTCCCCTATCCCCGTGTTAACCCCTTCAGGCTGTGCCCACACCATATTGCACTCATATTGTTATGATTTTGCACTCGTTTGATGCTTTGCACCCCACTGTTTTTCGGTGTTTAATTATTTCCTTTTATGGGTTGAACATACCACGATTGTAATAAATACTTCGGCCTAGGGAACTGTTCTCGTGAAAAGTATAGGTAGAGCGGTGTCGGGAATCTTCGTTTCCTTGGGATCGATAATGAACAAAGATTCAAGCGTACCAGCCAATTTCATTTGCAAAGGTTGACAGGTCATTCCACTTGAAGAATCAGTCGGGCAACGTTCCTTTCATCTAATAAACGTAAAAAATAGATGTCCCTGGATAGGTGCAGAGATGAAGAAACGGGATTAAGTACACCATCAGTGTGCCGATCATGCGTAACCCACCTGACCTCGAGTGAAAATTTATCGTCTATGGTCATTTGAAGAATAAGAACCGAATGAGTTGCTGAGTGTACCGAACAACAATTTTATGTATGTATGGATGAAGCTGCTTGAGGCGATGTAGGACAGCCACCCAGGCAAAGGTTAAGAAATCAAAAATCTGTGTAAATGTTACAGCTTCACTTTTCATTGCAGAATAATAGGAGGGGGTGAAGAAATCGAAGCCTTACCAAAGTAGGTGAGCGTTTACGCGCGGGCTTTGACCACCTTATTGCCATGTTCGACGAGTTCCCTCATAGTAACGCGACCACGTAGTTCGATGAATTTGGCAATTGCCTCGTATTCCTTGGGTTCTATACACAGGAACTTGCCACGATCGTCCAGAACACCGCTCAGTGCACCCTCTGAAATCAACCACTGGATCTTCTCCACACAGGCCTACAAAATTGAAGCTATTTAACGTAACGAAGGAGTGCAAATACATCGCTACACAGAGTACTAACTCACATCGGTTTTCATATCAAACATGACGCAAAGTCGCTCCAGGGAAATCAGTTTCGCTTCCTTAACTGCCTCGACAAATTGATGGTTAAGTCGCCTTTCGGCTTCTTCGTCCAAAGGCTGAATACCGACACCCTCCCCCTCAATGGAGAAGGTAGCCTTCAGCTGTTCATACTTGGCCTGCTCTCGCATCTCCCGCTCTAGCCTCAGTTTCTCTTCTGCCGCTGCCTACAAAAGATCCAGCAACAAACGGAAACGATACGTACGAAACCACAAGTGTAGCGTTAAGCGCTGACCAAACTGGCTTTTTAGAGTAAAGGATACCGCCTTCCGCGCTAAAAAGTCACTTTGACAACTTTTTAAAACCCTTAAGGCAGTTTGGTAGTATAGACAAACATCATTGAATTTAAGTAGACACGAATTCACCCAAAGCAGTAAACCACACGCGGTTTACAGATCCACGAATATGAACAAGTCCAGATTTCTGATAAGCTTAGACAAGTTACTTCCGATAGCACTAAATAGCTCCATACGGAACTTCATAAAGCTACATTAAACATTCGACTGCAAGACCAAAGTGGGTGGTTGGCCCATACACCCACCATAACATGCATAATATTAACAACGAACAAAAAATGTGGACACACTAAAATAGCTCAAAACAAAGAACGCACTTGAGCTGCTTCGGCAGCAGCTTCTTTCGCTTCAGTGTCTTTTCTTTTCTTAATTTCTTCGTCCTCTTTCTTCCGCATCGCTTCCCTATATCTCTCTTCCATCTCGCGTTCCTCCTTTCGACGTTCCTTTTCAGCCAATTTTTGGGCTTTTTTAGCCCCTACCTTCTTTTTAGGAAGCATCACTGGCAGTTTTGCCTCAGAATCTGTTTTCGTTGAGCCATCGTCATCGCTGCCCTCACTGAGGGAATCAAAATCGGACTCCGTCATGAGCTGAGGTGATCGGGAGGTGGAAACGGCAGACCGTTGTTGATATCGACGGGCTGCTGAGTTGCCAAGACGACGTCTATTTGACAACCCCTGCCTTCCATCTCGCCGGGAGGATTCTACGATAAAAGAGTGACCAAATACGCAGTACTCTGAAGTAAAAGCATCATGAATGCAATTGTAAAGTCAAAAAACAAGAACAAGAGCCGATAAACCTACTTTTCCATGCACGACCTTCAAGGAATAAGATAAAAAATGCTACGATACACAAAATACACGTCAGGACAAGGAGAACTAGCTCCATTGTGCACAAATGTATTGCACGGTGTTCACCATCGACATTATCATTGGAGCCTATGTCAGTAGGGTATCAAGTTATAAATTATACTGCCATCCACAATTATTTAGGAGTGGACTAGAATATACTTGCATAAAAGTGCTATACTTTTAAGGAATTTAAACATAAAAGACACCCATGTTTGAATTTATCTGACAAAGCAAGCGATGGTATTGGCTCCAAATTGTTGACAAAAGTAAAAACATCAATATGTTAGTCTAACATGGTTAAAAAATGTTTGGTTAGACCTTTTTTGCCAAGTTTTTTTTGAAGTAGTAGTACCTTGGCTATCTCTGGGACTGACGGTATGCGATACGATTAGAGCCCCGCGTTTTCCCTTAAGCTGCAAGAAGTCATGGTTTTATAATGCGTTATGTGTTTGTAAAAATATCGGTTTTTTAGAAAACCACTTGGGTGCCTTGCCATGGTGTCTTTGTCGGGTGGGCTTGCCCCCGTCTATATCAATAGTCCTTAACCCTACTGCACAGTAAATATATGGATCCCATCCGAGTATAATGTTTTTTTCATGCTAATGGGAGCCTCACTTAACTACGATAGTATGGCAGAAAATACATTCTTGAATTGTGGAAGAGCGGAGAGGCTACTGGCACGACCCAGAGGCCATGCCACTAGGCGGAGGAGCAGTCTGTGATGTAACGTCCCAAGACTCCCTTAAGACGAAAGAAGACACAATACTCGGGCAGAATATATATATTCAGCGCAGAGAAGGTGTCTGGGCTATTGGCATGGCCCAAAAGGCCAGCCCACCCAGCGAGGTACAAGGGAGCTGATTCAAAGTACAAAAGTGGCGCCTCACCAGAACCGAGGGATAAACCACTATCGTATTACAGTGTAAACCTAACTGCTTAAATAGTCAAACATGGAGTTTAGTAAACTACTAGAGAACGGCGTTACAAACGAATGTTCTTTATCACATTTAGTCTGCAGATGTAGTCTTACTTGTCACCGTACTGCCCATGTAGATTACACGACTACACGAGTGTTGGCTCCTCCGTATTCTTGCATGTTCTTCAAATTGACGCCAAACGCATATGCACGCATCGTCCGTAAAAACCCCATTACTACTCGCACCTTCAAAGCTTTATCCACGCTTGGGATCCTTCAAGTGTTTTGTTAGTTGCCGTAGATATGTTTAGCACTTCAGACCTTTTTTAATCAATGCAGCCTCTCATCAAGACGTTTTAAATTGCCCTATAGATCATTGTTTAGTCTGCAAAAAAAGTGCCTGTAAATATACCTATTTTTAATTGTTTTAATCTAGATTGACTTTTACTTACAATTTCATTACTTTTCTCCTTTGATGCTTCCATGTGTAATGCTTTTTGTTACCCTTAATTGCCTTAGCTCCCTTTGCCCTTGTGAGTCGTAGGATTATTTCGAAATTAATATTTCTTGTTTTAGTGCCTGACTTTTATTTAATTAGTCTTTTGGAACCCTCCAGACTTTGGTATTTCCTTCCATCTACAAACCTAGAAGTCGACCAATCAACTTACCGTCAGTCAACGGCATATATCTGAATGTTTGGTTTTTTGTAACGTAGGCGACGACATCATTGTTTGCCGATTTCGTGGTGTTTTAAAAGCAACGAGACTGATGCTCGAGCAATAATTCATTGTTACTAACTTATACGAGTCGTGCTTCCTCTCATCAATTGAGTTTTTTGATGGCTATCGTTCTATGCTCGCAACTACCAACATCTCGACTGATTTCTTACGGGGTGTTTTCCATCGTACTTTCTTGTTTGGCCTTATGGAGGTATCGACATTATCATTCCTATGAAGCCGAGGAAAGTGCTCTTTTGAGGGAGGTGAAAAACTTGTCCACTCTTGAACGCGTTATGCAGGACAACTGCATTGTTGTGGCAGCGTTTAATTTGGTGTTTTGCCTTCTTATATCTCTGGTGAAGGGGTTGCAGTACTTTTTCTTTGGGCCCCTTGTTGGCTCGGAACCCCAATTCATACGCGAGAGGTTGATGCAGTTTGCTTTGTCAAGGTCGGTCTTTTTAATTGGTGTCATCAATGCAACGAAGTGGAGCAGTTTGCTAGGTTGGACTTTGTGGTTCGGTTGCCTTAGTTGTTTGTATGGTTTTACTCGTTTGGCGCGTCCTCGATGTGAACAGCTCATTGCCAAAAACAACATTACGCGATGGCAATGGCTACGCTTTGGTAGTATGCTAATTGTTTTGAATTGTGGAACCCTGGCTCTCCTCTCGCTAGGTCTCAAATTCTGCTGTTATTTGTCGGATGTTACTCCAGAAGCTAATGTATTCGGTGAATTGAGTTCCCGGTTTTCCAAAGAGGTTATGCTCGAGGGTCCTGATGCATTCGATTATGCAGACGAGACTTCCGCTGATTTCTATCAAATTATCCACGTGTTGGTATTTATGTTTTCTGATTCAATTCTTGTCCTGGCTCTCCTGCTAAGGATTGAGCTTATAATTGTCGTCAGTTTATTGGATGGGTTTACGTGGCTACGCCATATGCCCTCCTTTGACAAAGCTCTGTGGCTCTACAACGTCAATCTGGTGTTTGATGTGCTCACTCTCACTCTTCATTTTTCAAATCATGTACATATGTTGATCTGGACGCGAATGGCGTCTCTAACGAGCCCCATTATTTGTATCCAGATATTCATTAGCTATGGCTGCCTGGCTCGACGGCTTCGTCGTCACTTCGCCTACCAAAATCATGTTAGAGCCGTTCGTCAAGAATTTCCGCTGGAGCATATTGACCGGGAAGTACGTTTATGATCTTCGTCTTAGTGTAAATGGTATTTGGGCAATATTCTTGCACCTAAGCTGAATTACTCAGTCAATCTCCGCTCTTTAAAGTAATGATATTAGAGTCGATTGATTTTACTTTTATTACAAGTATGGTTTATCGAATCTTGTTTGCCCTCCTACAGATGATTGATGTGGATAAAAATAGAAATGAAGAACGGCTTTCGGAACCGGGAACCTGCGCTATATGTTGGGACCCCCTGTGGAATTGGCGGAGGCTGCCCTGCAATCACTGTTTTCATGAAACCTGCTTGACTATGTGGATCGAGCAGGATCTCAGTTGTCCCACTTGCAGGCATCGTATTCTGCCCCAAATGTCCCATCGCCAACGTAGAGCGCAACGGTCTAGTGTAATCGGGGCAGTTATGCGCGACCTTTTCAATTTGTTTGACAGAGGCGATACGGAGGCACCGCCTCAACAGGCTGCGGAGAATCAGCAGGCTATACGTAATGTACTTGTGCGTCTAAGACAGCGTGGCGTAGCTCGCGCCACTGGTCCTTCGTTCGATCTCAGCGTCCGCGTCACCTTGGGCTCTGGAAGGCATCTGATGCAGCGTGCGGCTCAACCATCTGTGAATGAAACCATTCAAGTAAACTTTCTGCATCTCCCCACGTTACTTATGACTTAATTTGTCTTGAGCCGTCTTTTACCTCATTTAATTGCTTTAACATACGACTAATGAAGGAGAATATCGACTAGCTCTATGGCAATTATTTAACATTGGCTTTCAGACGAATCATGATGCAGCAGTTAACTACCAACACCAGAATGACCAAGTCATCCAGTCGACGACTCGCAGTCGTTTTTACCGCTTCGATGGGTCAAACTACTTCCCGTGGTTGCCTGCCCTTGATATTGAATTCTCCGAGGTACGTCTTTTTTCGTGTTATTTTCTTACTCGTTTACTCTAATCATTGGCGGCCCCTAGATGTTTATTTCCCCTTTCAAGCTAGTGCGTATTCAGGTAAGTTGTTGCGCTCATTAATGATCTATTTCTGGTTGTTATTACCTCCAGATATATCTTTTGGTTCCTGCAAGGTCGGCTGAATATACGGTTGTGAAGAATCTTTCTTCTCACAACTAGGACATTATTGAGAAAGTTTTTTTTTGTGATACATTTAAAACAGATTCATGAGTTCTTAATTTCGCACAATGCTAACGGTACTGCATAGACTTGAATGGATCACAAGGCGAGTGTTGTGAGGCAGCGTGACGTACCGATTGCTGCGAGTATGGTCACGCGCAATCACTAGGATATGCTTCGTGTGGGAACATTATACGAGAACTGTGGGCATCTTTTAGACTGAACAGCATGTGGCGCCCCTTCCAACGAATCGGCCAATGAATGAATCGCCAGCAGAGGTTGTTACTCAACAACACCAGCATCAGAGACAGCGTGTATCAACTACATTTATTTCACGGCTGCTTCCCTTTCGCACCACTGCTGCCGATGGCGCGCACCACCGTCGCCATCTGGTACGTGATCTCTCATCTAGCATGCGCGCCCAGGCGGAGCAAATCGCTGCGGCCTTTCCTGCCGTCCCACTGAGGGCGATTCTGGCTGACCTTGCGGTGACTCGTGTGCCCGAGGCCACGGTTGAGAACATTCTTGCGGGGCGCGTGGTAGGCACGGAGAGCGATTCGCCTCTTGAGGAATTTTCTCAGGATGGCACCACTATTAACAGTGCTTACGAGGAGGTACGTGATACAGAGTCGCATGTGCAGTCGTATTAATTACGCATACTTAAACACGTTCTTAGTCCCCTTCGTTCCAGTTTTGGTTTTATCTCATTTTTATCGAATAAAGGGGAATTCACTAAGTAGACTACTCTTAGTCGACGTAAATTCATTCCCAGCGTCACGTTAATAGATACTCAGAATTCATGGCGAAAGCTTTTTGTGTATCACATACTTCTTATTAGTTTTATTGTAGTATCCACACGCTAATCATTTCTGGTGTCTCAATTTACGTGATGTAAATTTGTAACCCGTAGAAGTTTACTAGTATGGGTGTGGTTCGAATAATCAATTCCGACAAGTCTTTGTATTGACAGAAAGCAACTGATCTGTGTCCATTTTTCGAGTATTACGCAAAACTTGTTGCTCGGTGTTTCAATTTTAGCCGACGCCTGAGAACATAGCTCCTTCCACCTCAATTCATCCACCCTGGGAGACTGAGGAAGTATTCGCGAGAGCAGAACAGGAACCCTCCACCGGGGAACAACAGCCCTCAGGTTCCTCTTTAATGGCTCAACGGAAGCAGCAGATGTTCGCTCGAGCCCGTCAGCACTTCCTCATGTTGCAGCAGCGTCGCAGGGCGTCGTAAACAGCCTCCAATCCACCCAGATGTCTACCTTATCGAACTCCCAGCTGCGCCTCCTTTCTTCACCATCCCTAATCGTCACGTGTACTTTTGTGCCAACTGAATGAGGGAAGGTTTGACGCAATTGTGATCTACCTGTCGGCGTAACTACTTTATTTTACGATATAAAAGTAAAGCCATGTAATGCTCTTGGCCCTATTCACTGGAGTCATCGCTTAGATATGTTAGAATACAAGGTGAGGTCGCCTATCACTTAGTGACACTTTCGGCCTTAAAAATATATTTTTTGAGGTCATAGGTCATTCGGTTTTGGTAGTCCAATTTGTTTAATATAGGTAAGGTTTCTATTTAGAGACAAAGAGTATGTAGGCAATAGGGTGAGGCGAGCTCACGCAGAAATGATCATAAGGCTAGCTCCAGGTCGTTGCAGACACATCTGTTTTCGCGATCGTGGAATGCAGACCCAGATGAAGGGGCAAGTGTAGATCGTATGCTGATTATTCAGCGAATGGAGAAATAATGAGCTTTGGTTGACGTCTAGGGTTCTAGTTCCCTCAACATCAAGCTCGCGGCGTGTTTCACATCAGGTATTGGTATTTTACGACCCGTTATCCAAGCTAAGTCTAGTGCGAGAGTTGCTGCAACTTTGTGTCAATCTGATTTGTTTGGTGACGTCAACATACTTAGAAAGAACGGGAAATCAAATGGGTTGGAGTGCTGCACTTAGCAGGAAAGTGGATGAGCCTGAGGGTAAGCCGGTGGCATTTGCATGCTGACAATGTGGGTTCGGAACGTTTTGTAAAAAGTGGGCCGTTTTCTACGTCTTGGGGTTCCCCATTTCGGATCGTCAATTTGAATGGGAAACAGGAGAGCCTTCTCTCGTTTCCCAATAACATTTCATTTTTATTATAATTTTTGTGTTGAATTAGAGCTACTTTACAGCAATGGCGCCTCACGTGTCATTCTGTTTCTCGATAACAAGCGGCCGAAATTTGCATACTGGCTTTTAGCATAATTTTTTCGTCAAATATTTTAAGATCCTGCTACCGAAAGGTTATAAATTTAGAGTCGGTTTTGTTACTGCTCTCTTCTTAGTGTGCCCTTTGGCTTCCAAATCGGTGTGCTTAGAGCTCGATGTCAATGACGCTTGGAATCCTGCTAGTACGCCCAAAGCATTTGTCCTATTTACCCGAATGAGGATGCAGAACGGTATCAACCATGTTAGCGAGTAGTAAAACTGCAATTAATGTAGTCGTGTGAAAATCTGAGTAGGTGACATGGTAGAATCACTATTATGAAGGGAACATGTAAGACAAAGGACGCTTCAAGTGCACCCGTAGAGAGTTGAAGGGTTTTGCTTTTATTACCTCTGCATTGTTCGAGTAGCGATGAGACGTGATTTTGATTTCATTCGTATTTTTAGTAGAGAACGAAGGTTGGCTTGTGCTTATTCGTATATGTACTTTTGCAGCGGATAGCATAACAAAATTGCTTCTGCAGTAGATTTACTATTGCATATAACTCGTAAATTTTAAGTAATCCAGTGCTACCATTCTGTAGAAATGTATTTCATTTCGGTAAAGTGGATTATGCTCTGCGGGCCTAATTGTGTCAAATGCTGAGCAACGCAAGGCCTGAGTTTGGGACTCGCTTCTCGACTGATTGCCGAGCATCTTTCATTTTGGAACATAAGCGCCACCTTCAACGTCTCACTTTTGGGGAGATTTGAAAATATTTTCCTTCCTTAAATACTTTGAGATTAAGTGTGCGCAAAGGCTTTAAAATGCAACTGAAGTACGGATTTGCACTTTCACTTTTGAAGCGCATTGATGATCAGGTAGATGTTGCCACATCACTGTCGACAAAATACTATTTGACCATTCTGCTTCGCTTGCTCTAACCCCGCTTTGCATTAATCGGGATGCATTTTGAAAGGAAGTCGCGAGTTTCGTACCGTACTTGAGGCGAGCTACTTGTGTACGTTTGCGACCACAACGGCAGCTTGCAGTGGAACTTTTTTCTTGAATTATAAACAATCCAAACAGTAATAATTTACCAATTCTTTCCATTCTTACGATTGGTTAATTTTGACTAAACGTTCTCTGCAGACTTTTCCTCATGTTCGACATTAAACTTGTGCACCATCATGATACAACTTTCCGCTTCCTCGCCATCATAGCAGGTCCATTGGTTCTGTCACACGCGTTACAAGTACTTCTAGGTGAGCTGTTTGAAATTAATCTCAGAATTTTCTTTTAATTAGAAGCACACCTCAGGAAGGCGAATTTTTGGGCAAAATTAATGTCCATTTATACATTTCACGTCAACTGACTATTGCTAACTGGTACGATACCGGTAATCACGAAAACACTTATATGGCCAACGATCCAATTTCTTGATAAAAGTTTCCATGGAGCTCTCAGTGATACTTGATAGGATAATGACACTTTGTGCAACAGGGTATGAGAATGCGATTCCCTTAATAATTCCGCACATTGCAATTTGAGAAAATGCGTCCTGGTTCAACTCCATGGAGAATTGTTGGGGGTGGTTTATAATAGATGGTACATTTGTTGACATTTCTTAGCCTTTCACTACTATGCGTACAAACACACATTGATGACCATTTGGTGAATATTAGTTTATTAATAAAAAAAGGCAAGCATGCTTTTCTACGATGAACAACAGCACAAACTCAGCGCAGTGCCAAAAATGCTGCATATGTATGAGGCATCTGGGAGGATCAGCATGAAATATACTGAGTTAGTTTGATAGGTGTCCCAGAGCGTCAAATTGCATGGATCTTTCTAGGAGCATATAAGAGAGCTCCCTACAATTTTCTAGTAAAAAATACGAACCTGAATGAATTTTACAAGTTATTTATTTGGGCAAAAACCCTATTTATCCATGGTCACATTCATGCTACTCCTTAAAAATATTTGTTGCAGATAAATGGGTTTCTTTTATTGGTGCAAAGCGATTAGATCTTGTACTGCAAATTAAACCAAAGTCTACTAAACTTTCTGCTTAGCTAAAGCGTTATCTGTGATCCTAATGAATCCTGACGGCACTTTTACTTCTATACGTCATTGTGAAGCTGCTAACCAATGCTTTAGGCGCGGTTTGCAAATTCTTGCATGAAGAGGCTGCTCCTTCCGAAGGGCTTTTTAAATGATTCGATGGTATGTACCAATTAGACTTTGTCATCTGACTTTAGCAAAGTAGAAGCTTACAAAGCTGAGGCAAGACGTCAACGCATACTTCTAGAAAGTGTCTGGAATGAACGGACTGCGGATCCCCCCTAACTGATTTTCCCAACTGTAAATATCCCCACGAATCAAAAACATGGCCAAAGCCAGTATGAAATCGTTCACAATCGACTAAGTATGGTTAAAGACACAACGATTTTGCCTCCAGTGAATTTTAATTATGTGAAACCGTTTGAAAATACCCGCAAAGTGCTGAATTGTAAGAAAGAAGTTCAAGAGAGATTTGCACTTATGCAGAAAATGATAACGTCCTATGGAGGGTAGTACTTAGCTCATTGAAAGTACAACCACAAGCTCAATCACCACGTGTGTCAGGACGTGTTCAGGGCACCATAGTTGGAAGATGTGTTAAATAAAAATCAACGATTGAGAAAAGGCAGTCTTTGCATGCGATGGAAGTTTCATTTTAGCCTCACATCCCAATCTGGTAATTGGGAGTGGGGTCACAGAATGGCTTCCCTTGTCTGGGTAGTAGCAACATCCTAACACAATGGCAAGCAGGTGGCATTAGACCAACTGCCTTGAGAAGCAGTCTCGCATTCAAGACATTTTAATTAGTGTCACTGGGATAGTTGGCAATTTCGAACAAAATATCAGAGGAAGGGATCAAGACCCTAGAGATAATAAAGACAAGTTAATGATTTTAAATTGACTCGATAAGAACCTAACTAACGAAGATTTAAAAGACAGCACTGATTTGTCTTTACATTAAAAGTCCATATCGCGAACTGTACTTCTGCTTTAAGGCCTCGCTTCTTTCAATGTTATTAGGAGACGAAATTTCCTCTATAGTTGTTCCTTCTAACATTAATGCAAACGACTTCAGGCAAAGCATTCCCTCCTCTGCTTGGACTCTATGAGTTCCAGTTTCCATTCTCCATTATGTATTTAAGCAAGTACTAGAAGGGGAGATCTACCGTAATGCGTTGTTTGTTTAACTCTTGGTTTTGGTAAAGGGGCCTTTTTGGATGCCTACCATTTGTAGCCCACCGGGCGAACTGGCCTTTAGCTCTAATACTGCCTTCTCTCGTCTTCAGCGAAGTCTCAGGATGCAACACTGGTGGCAGCGGAAAAGACATTGAGCGGAAGATGTGCGTGTGCTGAGAATAGCAAAATTGGTGCCAATCCGTAACAGAGGGGCTGACAATAACATCTACCTTTGGCAACTACCCCATTACCGTGTTCAGCTATCAACAACGAAAACGACACTGGCCTTAAAGCATTAAATATTCTGTTAAGGATCTGCTTATCAAATCTGTATACCAATATTAAATACGTGAAAATGCGATACCTCATCCACTTCTCTACTAAATGAATCAAATCCAGGTAGATACGGCTGGGCAGCTCTGAAGTGAATATAACGTAACTATGTCCAAACCCCGTCCTTTGTTACATGACTATGCTTTGAGGCCAGCGTTCCTACGGCTAGCCATGTTACACGAGATGCCTGTCACATCCCTCCAACTCCGAATCTAGTCCCCATACTTGTCGAAACTCAAGATCTAGTGGAATTGCCGAGAGGGATCATTGACGTTGTGGTCAGGCATCTCCTCATTTGCATGAAAACTAGGTGACTGGCAAGGCTGGCATCTGGGCCATGCCAATAGCCTTAGCATTGTGTCTTCTTTCGCATTCAGGGAAGTCTGGAGAGTCTGCACTGCCACACTGACAGAGTCCTAAGATGTGGCTGCATTCATTGCAAACGTGCCATATTGAAACTCAGTGTTGGTTCTTCATTTATTAAATATCAGCCAAATTGCTATTGATAGCCACCCTTAAACGGAACAAGAGCTCCAGAAAATTCTGTGATTGTTTTAAAATGTTAAGTCCTTTTGCTCACTGAGCATGGCATCAACAGTGTTAAATGCTATTTTACAGTATAAGCTTCTCAGCTCAAAAGTGGTTAGGTGGGGATTTGCCTATTTCAGTTAATAAAAAAATCCTCCGCTCTCCCAATATGACTGCTTGAAGAGAAAAAAGGGGGTCAGCATCACACATTCCTATCTACTTTTCCTGATACCCTGAAGTAAAATATAAAAGGAGGCACATTAGTCGGCACTACAGTGCTTTCTTAAGCATGTACAGAAAGCATTTTGATTCTTTTTCGTTGTTTTTTAGTAAATTATCTTTTCCAAGGAGAGCAGATAACTGCGAGGAACTTTCCCTTTGGACTAAGCTTTTTACAAAATTACAATTCTTCCCCTGTTAATTCAACAATGGATGCTTGTATTACCATTTTGTCAAATCGGGTCAAAAGGCAGAAGCCAAATAATGAGACTGAAACAACATTTTGATTGGGATATGTCGCCAAGTATTTGAATAGGGGGAAGCAGCTCGTTTAAACTGATTAATGCAATGTGTGGCAATGTTTGCTTACAGCACACGTAGCAGACTATGTTGACCCCCTTCCAAATCTAATTTGGGTGACACAAGTGTCACTGGCTCCAAATTTGCCATATTATATCTAACTCAAATAAATACTATGCAATTAGAAGCTGCTAAACCACTTTGCCGCCTTTCCCACACCACTATTCTATCATGCACAGACAAGGATTCAGATAAATGCAGAACATTGCATAATTTGTTCAAACAGTTTCGCGATTCGTCTTCTTCTTTAAGTGAAAAAAATACTCTCACACATACACACACAAACACACGTATGTGTGAGCATAAAATAATATTTGCAGGTGACACAGCAGCCTTGCTTTGAGTAATTGAGGCGTCGCCTTGTGCCTCCAAATGGTACACTGCCAATTGTTCCCTACTTTCGATAAAACTGGTCTCGTACCACTGGATCAAAAGGATCTTCCGTTATTTGTCCAACAATGGTACAGGCAGGGGAAAGCTTTGTTAAAGAGGTGTGGGAAAAGTTGTTTTTTCTGTATATAAAGGTGCTAATTAGCCGCAGATTGACCTGCCTTGAGGAATATCAAGATTTTGTATCAAAATTAAATTGCTCCTTAAGTAAATCACCTGCATTTACTCTCTCCATTTCGTCTTCAGTTGTTTTCAAAATGTAAAACAGTCAAAATGCATCTATGAATGTCCCGTGTACTAGCACCAACTAGGCTTTATTGCTAGTACATTTCCATCATACTGCGCTAGTTTTTTTTCTTACATTCACGTTTAAAATGGCCGCGGTTGAGAGGGGCACCGTTTAATCCTCATCCAAACATCAAACATTCACTATTCAGATTTCGCAAGAAGCCTTTTGACTCTCTTCGGTAAGGTACTTTGCCTTAAGCATGAATCCTCCATTGTCTCGATACTTTGGTTTTGTGCATTAATGCCGTATCCGAAGTGTCAGTTTTCATGTGTCTAGGATTGGCAAACACATTGAAATACCTGGAAGGAAATAACCGCTGATGGAGCCAACCATATCATCAGCCACTTTCCCATCACCCTTGTCTGAGTGCAGAACACCTAAGATATCATGTGACTCCCATAATCCTTGTGATAAATCTGGGCGTCTAACGTAGATTCAAAGTTTAGTGTCAGCCACTGGATTGTGAGGATTTCTGAAATTTTACATTGCCCACAGAAGTGATAGATGGCTTTAAATCTAAAGGGTTTTGCACAAAAAAATAGCGTGCATGTAAACATGCCTTTATGTAATACGATAGTGGTTTATCCCTCGGTTCTGGTGAGGCGCCACTTTTGTACTTCGAACTAGCCCCCTTGTACCTCGCTGGGTGGGCTGGCCTTTTGGGCCATGCCAATAGCCCAGACACCTTCTCGGTGCTGAATGTATATATTCTGCCCGAGTATTGTGTCTTCTTTCGTCTTAAGGGAGTCTCGGGACGCTACATTTACACCTGCTAAATTTGCCTCAACATCAGCATATTTCATGACGCCTTGGTAAAATATCCAAGTACTTATAATTCATTTTAAACTTTGCTTTATTCATTCAAAGTATTTATGATCGCATTTGCCTGAAAGGCACTCAAAAATGTCCTGTAGAATTTTTCTAAAACTAAATTGTGAGGAGTTCACCTTTAAATTACCAAACCTACTGAGTAAACACGTCCCTCAAAATAATTGACGCTTACATGGTAATATCGTCCAAAAAAGTGGATTTTGAGGTGGATCTAGTTTTACATGTCAAACGAATTTCCGAAATTCTTACTTTGACGTTTAAAAACGATCAGTTCACTGTGCAAACCTCAGACGGTTATACTTTTAACTTAAATAAGCACTGGTTTTGTTGAGGAAAATTATTGCATCCGACGTTTACCAATGTTATTTTCAAACGTCGACCGACTCTGAAAATGAAACTAAATTTTTACTCAAGTACAAAATCAGTAACAACAAATCTCACATCGTTATACAATTGGCAGCTTTTTGTTTTGACACAGCAGTTTATTTATTATAATACCTTTGGCAAGAAGGTAGGTGCTATTGCATTTTGCTATGGTAAAGACCACGAGTATAAGTTTTTAAAAAAAATATTACTTTGGTTCTGGCCACCATACCACGAACGCACATTTCCCAATTTTGTCGTGGCAGTCAGGTTTTGATGTAACTTAAGCATCTACCAGAAAAATATAGTTGATAGCTTAATCAAACTTATTCTATTTGCCAATTTGTGGAATTTCTTTGTTTTTGTTTTCGTTAGTATGAAATTCTAAGATCCATTGAACATAATAGGTCACCAAATGCGATAAATCCCAAGGTAACAGCATTTACTTGGAAATTTTCCCACTAAACGAAGGTAACCTCGACATTTTTTAATAAAATGTGGTCATAGCAGGTTTTGATCCCTTTTAATACAAACTTATTTAAGTGGTGCCATACTGATTTCTCTGAGTCTATCTCCTAATACACCTCACATGGTATGAAATATTCAAGTCTGCTACGATTCATATGCAGGCCTAAAAGGCTATTTATTTGGATAAAAGCAGAGGTCTTACATGCTTTTAGTCAGATAAGTAGGTACTATAACGAAAATTTACTTAACTGTTGTTTTTGTCCACCCTCATAACAATTATGCCTGAGCATAAGACATTAACTCTCGAATTGGTAATGTTGTCTAGAAGAAGTCAAAGTATTTCCGGTAAAGAAAAATACACACACCTATTTGTGATTGTTTCAGGCAATTGTGACCCAAAAAAGGACGTCCTGTCATTGTATAAAGGAATTTTATTGCATCCAAAGCCTTTCTGTGTTATTATTTCAACATCTTATGATGACTACTAATCAGTTTTGACTTCTAAAATGACTGTCTGTTCGGCTCATTTGTTGCGTTGAATGGGTGACCGAATACTCATGTCGGCACAGTTTAGACTCAAATGCTAAGCTATGACACAAATTCCCAATAAATGTAGCCAAGATGTATCAGTTATCTACAGGAAACTTGGTCTATTCGAAAAGTTAGGAGAAAATATCATATAACAAACACCACCAACATGGCAAGGATATTGTGAAGGTGGATAATAAACTGCTTTTGTAGTGGTTTTGTGGTTGTGATGTCAACAGTTTGCTTGTTTGGGGACTCGAGAATAAAGCGTTTCGATTCGACATTTCCTCATTCCTCATGATTCTATTGTCATCTAAATATTTCATATTCTATCCTTTTAGGTAAAGGACAATGTCAGGCCAAAGTGCAGGTCATCTAGCTTCATCAGGTTTGCCTGAACTGACCTGTGATGGCCTAGCATCATTTCTTCTGGCAGTTATGCTTAAACTTCAAGCCAGTGCAAGAAAAGCGTAGCAAAATAAGTGCTTTAATATTTTGCATGGTGATTATTTGCACCCAAAGCATTTATGACCAACTGAAAGTTCGACTTTATTTGCATCAATTAATTTTCCCGCCTTATTTTTTGCACACTCACATATGGCTTTGAAACTGTTGGTGTGATTCGGCAGCACTGCACTAAAGTACTTGCTTTAAAATGGGGTAGCAATCAACGATTATGCTCTGATGAGTAAGGTGGAGAAGCCCTCTGCTCGGCAAAGTTACTATTACTGATCGAGTACATAGAAATGGCTGATTTTAATGGCGTTTTAGTGGTGCGACGTGCAGTGTTGGACGTGTCTCATGCCTCCTGTAAAACACTAATTGACATCTGAAATTTGGCACATTGCAAACAATAGCTAACCATTTGAACCAAACGGTTCAGTAGAGCAAAATTAGTATATTTTACACTGTTTGATTAAGTTGGTCTTTAGTTTTGGTCAACCTTTATAAAACGGATGTAATCGTATGCCGTAGAATTTTATTGAAAGACTTGGACAGGTTTGCGAGTGAGTTATAGCGAAAATCAAGATTTTCGGCACAGACAGGTTCATTCCAATGAAAAGTATGTTTGATTTTCAAAAAGTAAATTACATTCTACTTGCAGCCCCTTTCTCACAGTAGAATTTTGCGCTTATTTAGGAGAGTAGGTCTCTAAAATGCCTATTTGTCTTGGACCCCAGAGAGGTAAATATTCGGGTGATAAATCTGTGAATTGTGTAGTATATCATCCAAGAAGTACCAAAGTTGCCTATCTGATTTAACTCCCTTATTGATATTCCTAATGCTGGAAAAGATTACAGCTCCCAATTTGACTCCAGATGCCGTACTCCTGTTAGAACTCGTGAATCCGGTGGTACTAGGTAGTAGTACCGATTCATGATTAGCCATTAGGTTAAGAATAAAAATAGCACTCGGTTGCCCACAGCGGAAACTATGGGAAATATGTACAAATAAATTGAAGCTGTTTTGTAATTCCCGTTAAGGACTGGTTTGAAAAATGAACTGATTAAGCAATTACTTCCCTAAAATTACGCTCCGGTGGATTAAAACTGGACTCGTATCAGACGCCTCCTTGACTTTTTTAATCATTTCTCTGCTGGAAGGCATGAAATGTTTCGCATCTATTTATTCATTTGTTTGTCAATTTTCCCTTTATCCAGCATATTGCTGCAATGCAATATTTAAGCTGTTATCCCTTCCACCACCAGAATCAGACTATTGGGTACAGAAGACTGGCTGGAGGAGGACATCTTACATTGCGTGATAGAGGTATTATACAAATGACTAAAGTTTTATGGGGAGTCGGTGTTTGTCTCCACCTCAGGAACAGGTGACGCCTGCTCAGCCACGTAAATGGCGTGTTGGCTCGCCACCCAAGTGGTTTACCCAGACAAACACGTATAGCGGTAATATGCAGCTAAACCATACAAAGAACAGTTATTTACTTTCAATGATTTATTCGCGCATTCCACAATATCAATAGTACAGTCAGTTTCTATTCATTACCTGTTAATTTTTGACTATTGGACACAGGAAACTTCACAATATTAAAAAACAGCATAAAATTATCTGCACAACTTTCTCATCTGCCATTTCTCAATTCCTATATTTGCGAAATTTGACTAAAAATCACTTTGTGTACTTTAGCTCCATCGTGAGCTGGAAAACGAAACTAATCCACAAAGCTTCAATCTGAGTATCAAAGAAGCCTGCAGCTGATCCAAGACGTCTCTTGATAGCCATAGTATAGAACGTCGGTCTACGTGCTCCGCTATTGCTGCACTCTCAAGGATATTACATTTATAACCTAGTAAAGAATGACTTTTCCTTCGTTCGACAAACAGAAGAAGGTGGAAATAAAATTATGTGATCTGCTGCCTTGACGATAAACTGAGGGCTGAAAGAAGCATAAAAGCATTGATCGAGGATGGGAAATATTTTGAAGACATAGATAATAATAAACAATCGAAGTTGTCATTGAGCTGTTAACCCTATCGTTTTTAACGAAGATTTAGAAGTTATGAAGAAATATGGATGTGTTTAGAGTCAATTAACTTTGACCTTGGTGAGAAATAATTAAAATATGCGCACTTTATGGTGGATCCTTTGGACCGCTAAAGGCTCCTTATTTTATCTAGTGATGTAAAAATAAACACGTTGTAATCCCGTTTCAATGAGAGCACGCTTTCTATGGGCCATGGAATGTGAGGGGCACGGCTTAGAACTTCAGAAAGTATAAACTCAATCAAGGGACTGAAACTGAACTGAGAAATCGCCAAATGCATATTTTGTTAGTTAATAGGTCATTTTGATGTCATTGTTAAAGCCTATTTAGTAGGCTGCAAAATCGCTTAGAAACCGTCACATGTAAGGCAGTACATGCTGTGCCTTTTAATTGAAATCCCTAACTCCATAATTTTCATGCAGCCATCTGAACCATTTGCACGATCTTTTTTTGAATACACGGCTCATTTTTTCGCTGCCGCCGAGCGCAACAACAATAAAATCTGCAAAGTGATTCCACAGGGCAGCCAATGAGTCAAAGCGCCGTTAATAAGGCGTTAACATAGAAAAAACGGCAAAGGTCGTATCAAAATTGCTTAGCTTTCATTTTCGTATCCCCTAACTAATCAATGAGGTAGATGTCTGCAAAGCTTGTTAGCTGGCTACACTGGCGAGACTACTAAATCGAAGCTTTAAATTCCATCTCTTTAGACAGATCAGTGTGTTTTGCATGGACTTCTGAAAGCAGATGTTAATAATTAATGGGAAATCGACGTTTACTTAATGCATAACATTTGCCTAAGAAGGACATCAAATTTTATTTTACCTGGACAAGTTGACAATGAATTAGCTTCAGTCGCCTGAGGCAACTTTAATTGCTGCTTTCTGAGCAGTCTCCTTGAGTACGTTCCCGTCTGTCATATCCGAATGCTAACATGAATGTCGTATCAAAATCCCAATTGTACCTTGGAGCTCATTGTTAGATAAACAATATCGTTTACAGGCAATTTTACTACCTCTATGAATGAGCACATAATCCACACGAAGTGCATGGAAAGATGAAGACATATCAGATGTAGCAATAGCTTCTTAAGTGTTTAGTTCATTGTATACGTAGTGTTCAAGCCTCTAAAGTTTTTTTGACAATGAAATTAATACACTAGCATAGTACTGATGCACTTTTAGACCTCCGATCCTTGGCTTGTGGAAACCGTGGATCATTGTGGAGGGTATAATTAACATTTGCTTTATTCTTTCATCCTCGCTATTGTTTTGGTACCCTATAACTACTTAGTTAATTCCTGTGCTGTTTGAATGCATGAGCTTCTAATTCTTTGTCTTGTTATGTTTCGTTCTAATAATTCCTGTAGTTTTGTGGCCATTCTAACGGGTTTATCCTATAAACTATCATAAGTAGGCACTCAGTAGACCAGCTGTTACTAATCAAAGAGAAGGTCTGCACTCTAATTTATATTCTTGTCACTTTTATAACTGCTTGTATTCTTGATTGCAACTTGTCAGTAGATACTATCCGAACAGTTCATGAGCTCTCTGTGCCATGAATTTGTCATCAGCCACGGTGTCTTAAAAAGATCTGAAACTTCTGTAATACATAATTGGCATATGTTTGTTATTAAATTGCAGTTATTTTCAATAAACCAATCCAAAATGGCAAGGCAATCATTGTTACCGCTGTTCTCACCGCCACATCCCCTTACTGTTCTTGTGGTGGCGATATTGCTTCCATAAATAAGCTACCAGTTTCCAACGCTGAGGTCACGGCTCTTAAATTAACTGAAAAAATAGTCTTTATTCCGGCATTAAGCAAATTCTGTTGGCTTACGCTCGGCGAAATACTTCTCGTTGAAAATATCCTCTACGAGTGCTCGCAGTATGAAATGGAAGTAACGTTTTATGGAATTCAGTCCCTTTTCCAACATTAATTTCTCCCACTTGTATACTAGGATGGAAATACTTCAAGCTCGTCTACTGTCCTTTCATCTAAAGCCCAACTACCGTTAAGAATGTTTAACTTAATCGAGCAGATAACAAAGCATTCCTGTTATTCAATATTGTGTGCATCTAAATATTTAACTTAGTAAAATCTACACGGGATCAAGAAACGATAAGCTGAAGTAAGTTTAACTAGGGCTTGGAAAATCTGCACTAGTTCATTGTACCTAAGATCCTTTTTCTATTAGATTTTTCCCTTCAAATAAATTCAGATTCGAAGAACTTTGGGCTAGAAGTTTACTTCATCTTCATCTTAAGTTTGCACATTGATCTGAATTTTCCCGACCATACCCTACCTTCATGCTGAAAACATGCGCTTTGACGAGTAGTTAAATAATTTAGGAGTTAAAAAGCCATCGTGACTTCTTTCTCTTCCCCTAAAGGCAAAATCAAGCTCGGATTATCATTGGCTAATTGGCTGCCATTTTTGGATTCTGATTGGTTGTTTCTTCTAAGTGGACTCGACCAACGCTGAAGAAACTTGCCACAGAATTGCATTAGCCTGAAGAGTGTCACTAAATTTACTGCAAGAATGTTTTCGGAAACATCTGCCACTCGTGAAGAATCACCACCCTGCAGAGAAGCGATTGTAGGTAAGTACTGCTAGCTACCATTAGCAATACCCTCTGTTATGGTGTTGGCATGCGCTCAAATGCATGGTTGACGGTCCTGTATTTTAAGTCTTTATAATAGGATCTCCTTTGCTAAAAGTTAGCTTAAGTCATGGGAAGTTACACTGCAATAAAAATTTATGAAGCTGCGTTTGAGCTTAGCCTGAACGTTGACTCAGAGGAAGAATCTCAACAAGAACGAAGCATTGTAGCAACTACTTACTAGTTTTGTGCGCGATGTCAGTGTTTTGGGCACTCTACTTGCTGATCATTGATGAGGTGGTACCCTTGGCTAATGAGGCACACAAGACATACTGGTACAAATGGAAATTGTACGAGAGGTGAGCAAATTTTAATGAGTTCAGGGACTGGCTATTGGTGAATTTGGATTCTGCGGAATTTAGGACCACATTTTCGATATATTTTGCGCAAAAACAATTAGATGTTTAGTTCTAACGTCTGGATTTATTTAGTGTTTCATGTATCTGCATCAAAGTATTTTAAACTTAACATTTCGGTAATCTCTTGTGCATCAGCAGATTAGGTATGTTGAAAGCTACTAAGAAAGTGGGAGGTCAGCATTACTATTGCAATGCTGGAAGACCTACGGGAAAATTTGGATCAGCCAGTGTGGCACAAAGTGTGGCAACGTAAGTACGGGTGTATGTTTCTTGATTAAAAAATCAGAAAGTTGTGCATGACATTAACTTGATCTGAAACTCGGATAAATGGCATAAAAGTGAGTTATAAGCTGTCCAGTGGATGCCGGTAACTTGGTCTACTCCAGAATAACCTTGCATATCTACTGCGCGGGAACGCTCTTCAAAATTCACTGTCAGTTGAAATATATATCTTTGCATCAAATACCATCACTTGAGGGGCGGTTTGAGGAGATCTGCGAGAAAGTTGTTGGCTTCTAGGCATTGCTTGATTTACCTACCTGATTGACACTTCGAAATGTCTAAAATCTCACTTATTTTAACCACGATCGAGGCTTTTATTTACGACGATAGCGCAAACTAATTCAACAGATTTGCCTAAGCTATTGATGTGGTCTAACGTAATCCACTTTTTCCTGGCAGGACTCATTTTCAATCCGCCTCTATTGCCGGCAGGAGATTGTGTGAATTAATGTGAACGAAATAATACTCACACAGCAAGCACATTCGGCAACTTTATTCACTCTTAAAAGGCCTAATTTTGGAAATTGAATGTCTTTTGAGTCAGTTGACCGTAAGCTTGAGGCCATGCTTTAGCAAATCAACAATTAAAGCGGAGACCAAAGCGACAACATGGGATTTTCCCTGCAGTTAGTGTTCACGCGATGCATCATCATCTTCAACGATTAGTCATAAAGCACAGGCTCAGAAGATATAAATTTTTACTTTAAAATGTGGCTCTGGAGGAAACGCCATACCTTGCACTGTCTTAAGAATATTTGTGAAATTTAATCTTATATAACATGTCTATGCATAAAGTAGTATTTTTGACTTTTATTAAACCGGTACGAGTCGATTGCTACAATGAGCCCATTAGTTAGAGGTTGTACCATTCTCCAAAACATTGTAATAGCATAAAATAATAAGCAGAATGAGCGAACCATGTACCAATGTCTCGTTCGGTTAAACTCAATTTCTGGAAATAGATTACGTCAATATTTCTATTTGCAACGTTCTTATTTACCACCCCTTCTTGTGTTATTTTGCCGTTAATATGAGCCACTCATGATCCTTTTCCAGTTTAGTCATATATTTGTGATCCTCTTTACTGACTCCTTTACTCATAAATTCAGCTTTAGCTTTTCTTCTTACGCACCCACGTACTCTCTTACAGACCGAATAACAGCAACAGCACTTCCCCTTTAGTGCCTCCGAGGTTACTGAATTGCATTACACTTTGTGAAAATAAATTCCCAATTTGATGTTTAATTTTGTAGGACCTACATCCTCCAAAGCAGTGCCTCTAGTAATCTGTGGTCCTTCTGGATCAGGAAAAAGTAGCATAATTGAAAGACTTCTCCTGAGGAATCCAGATATATTTCAAGTCTGCATCTCCCGTAAGTCTCATTCATAGGTCAGTCCTAAGATGTACAAATTATGGTTCAACGTATATTTGCAGTGCACCATAAAATCCTTAAGCTTATCATTTAAAACCCATTTCCCTCAAAATTACCCAATTTCCCCGTTGAAATGTCCACTCAAACTACTTTTCATGACACCTATTACACGGTATGGATTGAGTAGCCATTGATAAACAGGTAGTTTTTTATGACAGAAAGCTTATGAAGACATGGTGACATTGTCACCCAAATCTTCAGGTGTATCCTTCATTTAGGCTTGTAACAAGAAGGCCCGTACGTCAGTCCCTCATTGATAACGGCCCAAAACATGCGTAGTCATCAAATGTAACCAAATTTAAAAGTTAACTACTCCTTGCTAAATGTTTGTTTTAGACACCACTCGTCAAAGAAGACCCTATGAGATAGATGGGAAAGGTATGCTTCATATTTACTTCGAAACAACAAAAAGGGGAAAAATAGGAAGTTTGCTAATTATAAGTAATAGGAAATCGTAAAATTATTCTTCAGTCGGGCAGCGCCACAGTTATTGTTTTTCAAAGCTCTAAACTCCAAGTTGCCAAGTAACGGTAACAGTGAAATATCATAATTTAGAAGTGCAAATGTCTGCACTTAATCAACACGTCTTTGGTTGTCAATTCACCTGTCTTGAAGCACGGATGAAGGTACATTACTGAAAAGACTCACCTGTCATGATGTTCACCCCTCCTATCAACCGCTTAAATAAATCTTGGGCGGATTTTAGAGGAAAAAGTGGGCAAATCCCTCTCGCGTGACATTTAGAATCATTGCTGGGAGAGGTGTCCAAGCCTTATTTGGTATCCCATTACTAATTATTACGAACGGTTAGGAAGCAGAACTCCAAGATACACTTTTTCTTAACATAAGAATAGCAGGCTAAGAAGTGTCGAGTTTCTGTGTTTTAGACTACATTTTCGTTACTAAAGATGAGTTTCAAGCGGCTATAAAAAGGAATGAATTTGTTGAGTACGCGGTATTTTCGGGAAACTATTATGGTACAAGGTAAGCCCGATTTGTGGCATTAGTAGCTGTTGTTGTTGTTGCGCACTAAAGTGGAGCGCATTAAAGCTCTCAAATTCCATTAAACAACTTATAACCTACCAAGGAGAAGTTTTTACCAAACGGAAAATGCTTTGAACAGAACTTTTAAAATAAATCCTAGGAAGGGTTGTTGTTGCCGTCGTTTTGTCCTCCATAGAGCGGAAACGCGAGAAATTGAACGCACTTAGGGCAAAACCAGCGTTTAATGAGTCAGCTCAGCCCTGCCAAATATTTGCACCCATTGAAGGAAATGTTAACTGTTTATAAAAGCCGCAAACTTAAGGGGAGATTTCACCTCCCAGCTGCAAATAATCTTGGTCCTAGAAAAATACACAGTTTGCATTTCCAAGCTCAAGTTCCCATGTTTTTTTGTTTTTACACTATTTCTAAAAAACCTCAATAAAATAATCAACTTTTCCTTATAATTTAGTTTCTTCAAACCAGTATTTTCCCCATTCCTATATTATTAAATGTGAACCGTATCTTCACGATCCTCCGTTAAATTGGTTTTTAAGGTAAAGAGGTGCGGTTATTTTCCTCTTTCTTTTGCTTTGGAAAGTAAAAAAGTGAAACTCCCGCACGCACACTTTCATCACCACACGGAGAAGTTCTCCGTATAAAACGTTGAATGTAAATGTACGTTCTGTCACGAAAGCAGCATGCTGAAGTGAACTTGAAAACCTTTGTTATGAACCTTCCTAAAGCCAGAGATAGGTAGTATGGAACAGCTAACATAAGTTGATGTGTAGGTGCTCAATAAATTCTTGGAAAGATTTCATTTAGCAATAAAACAATTATGGGATAAAAACGTTACGGTGTGACCCGACTATCACAAAGTTGCACTTTTGTATTATAGGCAAACGCAGCACATCTGCTTGATTCAGGTGACTGAATCGTAAATAGGTAGCTATATTCATGCCATACTGAGCTTGGTTGATTAGGGAATTTGTGAGAGTAGTGAATGACTTTATGTTTATGCGTGAGGCACTAGTACGATGGCATTTTATGATTAAATAGGAAAGCCTTTTTCTCTGTGCCGCATACAACTGACGCTGAACTATGATAAGCTATAATGAGAGCTGCTTTAAGGCTTGCTTTCAAACAAATTAACTATCAACCACCTTTGGCCGTTAATTGCAGTTCCTTTGCAAGCACATTTCGGATACTATAATTATGAAGTTATAATATATTTTGGTCAGAAGTCGTTATGGCCTAGAAAGCTGTGATTATATATTAATTCAGCCCGAAAGAGATCTTCAGTAGGAAATGTTTAAATGCCAGCTGTTGGAGTACTTCATTTAACCCGTAAGATTAAGGCCTGTCGATCCCCAAACTCAGCAATGGGATCAGGAAATTACTTTAAAGGTGAGACGTGATCCTTAAAATGATGTACCTCAACATAGTGCAGAAGAATATTTGCCTGGAATTTTGTATAAATTATACCAGTGCACTTATTTGGTGAACTAAGCCTCCAAATAAAAATTGCATTGGGCAATATCCATGTCGTTTAGTAGAAACTCAGTCACCGTCAGTCTGCTTCTGCCTCTCTACTGGTTGTGCTCGTCGGCACTACTTTCATCGTGTGCTCTAACAGACCTGGCGTTCCAACCGAACCTGTTTTTCAACATTTGACTATGGTCATATCTGCTTCTATACGCATGTGCCAGTTTACCCGTCACATACAAGCTATGAGGGTCACATTCCAACAAAAACGACTTACTTTAATAGATAATGATTCGCGGAAAATTAAAGTCCTCAAATGTCAATATTAATAAAGAAAAATTAGGTACTATCTTACGGGCGCCTTTGTCACCTCAGTTTAATACATTTTGAATGTAATAAAACTGTTCCCGGTTTTTAATTCTCCTCTTCCGTCCAAGAACAAAAGCCAACCAAGTATCTGATTTCCTTTCCTTAATGGGTGACATGCATTGGTGGTGGCATAAATGTGCCCAAAGTGAAAATATTGATATTGTAGCCTAAATTCTTCATTAATCAAGTAAACTAAATTGGCTGGTACGTTTTCTTGTCTTCGGTTTAATATGTAGAATTTGAATAGGGGGTTAAAGGCATGGTTTTCGAATTCTACCTCAGAAATTCCCATCCAGTGAATTCCCCGCCATCCAATCGAAAGTCAAACTCCTCTTGTGGCTGTCTGCAGCATTGTCAGCAATAAATATTCATCAATTTTTTGACACGTTCTAAATTTTTGGGAAAATTTTAGGTGATTTTTGTGTTTACTTCACGTAAAGTAGAAGTTAAGACCGACTCTAGTGAGTGCATATTTCTAATACGTACTTAATTTATTATTCATAGCTGAGCAAATCAGCCAAGCTATAAATTGTGTTTGCATCCGCAAATAAATATCGAAGGAAAGTTTATTGGCCCTTCTGAAATGCATCCAACCAAGACGGTAATGCGGAATTAGAGCTTAGGTGGTTAATGTATGGTTTGGGTGAAATTGGTACTAAAAATTCCCTTGGCTGGACTTATTTGGCCTTATTTTACGGTGAAAACTTATATAATTTGTATTTACTAAGATAGCAATAATTAAAATATATATAAAGCGGCGGATATTGCCCTCCACGATATTTGCTTTGGCATAACAATAGGTAAGTAATGGGGAAAAATGCAAGTATCTCTTTAACAATGAAGAGAGTACACAGGGGATAAAGCAGCTTGTGCATCTTTTCTATAGCAAAATACAAATGGAGAAAGTCATTCAAGCGGGCAAAGTTTGCATTTTCGAGTTGGATACACAGGGTGTGGAGCAGATAAGGAAAACGGAGATTCACCCCATTTACGTTTTCATCCGACCAAGGAACTACGCAGTTCTTGTAAGGTTTTAGGAAGGAATTTTAGTGAAAATCAAGCACTTATTACTTCATGAGTTCAAATGTAATTAATAAGGCCTTTGGGAGTCTGCCTGCTTTCCAGGGTGTTTTACAATTGAGTTTAATAAGTATTAATCAAACCCAACTGACCAAATGCAGCCATCAACACCTTCTTCTTCCCTTTACTCAGTCACCTGCAGTGAAATTCCGGTAGTTTCCCTCTATCGCAGAAAGTATTCTTTTTATGAATCTTTCCACTCGAGTTTGTCAGCAGTCTTACCATAACTTGGTAGCTATTTCGCCAAAATATTAGCTTTGCTTTTATACGCTAAAAGAGGCACACGTTGAATGCGTGAAAGATGAAGTGTAGCACTTTGTTTTACTTGCTGATCAGAGTTATACAGAAGATAATGGCAAGTATTTTGTGCATTCAGGAGAAGAGACTTCGTACGCATTCGGTTGAGTCGGAGGAGCACATTTTACAGCGGCTGGCAATAGCACATCATGAGATGCAGTACGGTAAGTAGCTAGCCGTTAAAACGTACTTGGAAGACAACCACCAGAATAAGTCTGTTGTCTTTTCAAGCTCTTGATGAGGAAATATTTAAAAAGGTTGTCACAAATGAAGACCTCGATGCTGCAGTTAGAGAAATTGAATCACTTCTTCAACAGGTTAGTGTGATTGGGTTTATGTTTTCTTTTTCATTAAATTGCTTCCTCAAGGTAAGAAAATTTAAACTTTAATCCTTTTTGCCTTTTGCTAGGCTTTTTAAGAGTGCGTAGACCAGGAAGCCCCGAAAGGATGCTTGAGATGATGAGTAATAATCATGCTGTCAACGCAGGAAAATTCCTTCTTTTAGGCATGCACTTGCATGTAAACGAAAATGGTTACAAGCCTAGTAGCACCGCGAATAGAGGAATGTCGACATCTCAAGCATGCGTGGATGTATTTTAGGTGTGGCATTCCTAGGCTGCCTAGGTTTAAGAGAAACTCGAACTGAGGTGCAGCGCTTTGAGAGGTTATTAAAGAGAGGTGAATAAATTGTAGAGGTTCACTTTGACTACATCAGTATTGACTCGTGCATGCAGTTTTAGTTTTTCTTTGAGATGCTAATGAGAGAGCCAATATTTACCTATCCCGACGCTTTATTAAATTTTACTGGAGGACATTGAGGTTTGCCTAGATTCACCCAGTCAGTACTATGAGCAGAACTCTGCATAATATAACAAACAAAATTTTTACTCTTTAATAGCACTTCAGGCTGTGGGGAGAGCTACTTCTCCTCAAGCGGCATGTTTAAGTACGGTTTAATGTCGGTGATGACTTCCCTGTATAAAGTGGCACTTGGGTATAAGACTTTCTATTGTGATGAAATCACTTATGGTGTTTAGTCAATTTTTTCTGGATTAAAGCTTGCATAAAATCGAAGGATATAAATTTTTTATTGTTTTTGGTCTCCTATCCATCTAATGAATGAGCCAGCTATCAAGTCACTCATAAAAAGAAGTTTAAAATACAACTACAGAATCTGGTAAGATAAGCCTGGTGAATACTAAATGGAAATGATAATTGCATGCTAGGCATTTAAGCACTACGCTGTGTAGAGCGTTGAAAGATCCAACCATTAGTAGAAACGGAAAGGGGCGTCGGTTAATCGTACCCTTTGCTGAGAGTTTCGCATCAACAGACAGTTGCGCTGTCTTTTACATCTTGGTCAACGGGCAATTATTTGCATAGCAGGAAGGCATGGACTTTGTTTTGCCATTTGAAATGAAGCCGTTAATTCGTGATTTGAAGAACGCGATTAACACCATAAAAAATGAATGAATACGTATTTTGCAAGTATTTTCTTGTCGCTCCCTTTATATCCTTCCTGGCAGTTGAAAAAACGTCTTTATTTTTTGTTGTCATGATGGCATAATTTACCTTCAATATTTACTAATAATAAATGGCTTACAAAATGTACAGGAGTATTTGCCCAATTTTGACTTAAAATTATTCTCAGAAACTAGTTTTAGTGCCTTTATAGACGTCAGCTTTGATTTTAAGCTTTTATTTTTTTTAATCAAACTTAGCCATCAAGCGTTTTTTAGTATTTCCACTCGAGTAAAGTAACTGTAAAATGTTGCAATAAAATCGGTAAGGTTTCCAGCTGTAAATGTGTCAAGTGAACTAAGTGCAACATCTTTAGATTCTTTTATTTTTGCCTTTGAGACTGCAAGACATTTATTTAACTAACTCATGACTGATTTAAAATTAATTTCTACATTTTAGGATGAACGCCTCCAGCATATTTTCAGTGATCCATGAAAAGAAAACAAATAGGTTGTAGAAACCATGGGTTCAACTCTATTCATGTGTTGTAAATAGTACAATATGTTCTCAATCACATTTGTTTCTCTTCCAATCTGGATAACCCATTATTGCATCTTTGCCAAATGGTGGGTATTCTTTGGAAAGTCGAAGGAGACACTTCATCCAGGTTTACTCCAACATATACGTAAATACGGTGTTTTGCATGCGGTGATATAATGTTATAGGAGCCCTAAAAGGCTTGTCTCCTAGATGGACGGAGTATAGAGTACGCCCCGTGTAACAGTTGCTGCTGCAGCTCGATTGGGTAACATTTCAGGAATGCTCACGCAGTGTGAAACTAGAATACTCACCTCCCAGCATTATTTTTAACTTCAGCTGACTAAAAGCAGAGATAGAAATAACTATAGGACAATTAAATCAAATTCACTATATGTGTTGTCGTGATTCACTTGATCGGTGTCACGAAGAAGTCCATTTTCATACCGCAGGATTGTCATAAACCATGCAAACTTAGTCAATCAATATTCTTTTCTCCCAAAAACCAGTGTAAAAACTCTACAGTAGGAACGAAGAAGTATGAAACTCGTTTTTTATGAGTTTTCCATGCACTAGGCTGATTTGCAATATTGCATGCCATTACGGCTCCACTGGGATTATGTGACATGCATTTCCTATCACTACACTGCATTCGCAAATTCACAGGTCCAGTAAAACAAATCTTTTTAAATGATTTCGACCACGCTGAAGAGTTAAATGCTTTGCTTCCCCTTCATATGCTGGATCGGCCACATGAAGGGGCACAATATCAACATGTTACCGCGTAAATATTTGTGGAACTTTTTTTGAGGTTTTACCCAATGTACCTTAGTTTACCTTCCCTCAGTTCCTTTTCATTACACTCTAGAAATGAAAAGTTAGCCTTGGCAGAAATTTGGGGATTAAGGTACATCACCAAATATTGCTGTTTTCTTTCAAGTTGACAAGTGGAGCGAGAAAACTAAATTGTATTGGTGTGTCACATGTTCATGGTCATTTTAATCGCTCCTTAAGATTATCAAAACCAAATGCAAAAGCAGTAAAGGTGTTTGAAAACTGCTGCAAGACTACTCATTACCGATTTACTGATAAAGCTGAGAAAAAGTAGCACCGACAAGGCAAAAAAACACTTATAAATGCATATCAAGCATTTTGTAGGAATGACTAGACATGGAAAGGAAATCTCCATTCCTGTGGTATTTTTTGACCATTTTCTAAAGAGACTACCAATAAAATTGTTGCTTGGATGGCTCCATTATCAATTTTTGTAGTTTTCTAATTTCACCATAAACCTCGAAACTATGTCTCCTGCATGCTTTTACTTCATAACTCATACCATATAGTATAATGGAGAACAGAAGGGTGTGAACTTTAATTCAAATGCCGTGAGTAATGCCAGGAGTGGTGGAAATTTGAGACGGATTAAATTGTAGCTTTGGTTGGTTGATAAATTTTAGCCATTCATGCACGTTCATGTACTCAGCAGTGGTCAACGTCAGGACAACTAGCGTTTGCTGATAATTTGGTAAGCGTCAATAAGCAAATTCATTGCACGGTTTTGTCTGGTGATCCATTTCTTTATAAGGAGGAAAGTTGGTGTGTCTCGTGTACCAACATGATGGATATCCGTTCGACCGCAAAGGGCGAAACCGTTTACAGTCTGCACCTCAAAGAGTGAAAAATACCACGGGTCATGCGCGATTTAGTGAAATGTTTTAGAGCAATTCCGTCGGTCATAAATAGCAAGATCAGGCAGACGCGCCCTTTCAGTTGATCATCTACTTGTAAAAATAAGGGTCCGCTATAAAAGTCCTACCCTAGGGCATCAACTTAATAACGCCTGATTTTGCTTGTTCTAAAAAGGGATACAACTAAGCATCGCTACTTTTGGTAATACATTCCTATTTTTAGGGCAAAGGTCTAGCATCTTGAAAAGCATCGTTCATTTTCATAACAAAGTAACGCTTTCCACGTTGCATAAATTAGCGCCAGGGGCGTAGACAATGTGGTGAAGCTAACCCCTGTTTTTTGGCTGTAATTCCTTTATTAAAGGGACTTTACTGTTAAGGCTATTTTTAGTCCGGCTGCGAGGACTAGATTTCCTCTCATTTGCCTTCCTGTAAAACTTAATTCATATTAAATCCACTCTTTTTCGCCATTTACGAAAAGAGGTTTGAAAAACACCCCAATACCGAACCGGAAGATGGGGCCAGGTTAAGACAGTAACCAAGCATTGCAGTGTTTGCTTTCAGAAGTGCGTGGGTATTCCAGTTCCTGATGCGCTGACACTTTTTAAGTTTAAATCTATCCACTTTGGAGATTTCAGAATATTTACAGACTCTTTAACGGTGAATACCGGTTAGTTTCCCCGCTGTTTTAAAACTTCTCTGCCATGCCTTCAGCTTAATTAGGTTCCTGACTATTTCTGAGTCAAAACTTCTAAAATTACCGGCATCTGTGCACTTAAAAACATGAATCTAGCTTTAAACTATCAAGGGAATGGTAGACGTATGGAATGCTAATGCTCCATCAAACAAGTCAGAAGTGATCAATCAGGAGGGAGATAAATGAATCGGCGATTTGGTAAGTGACCGCAGCTCCACTGCTGTCACTCTCCATCCCGCTTTGCAGTCTGGAGGGCGTGGACACTGTACCCTGTATCTTTTCCATCGTCGTCGTTGCTGATGTCCCCAATACTCTCGGCCTCGATGCCGTAGCAGCTGTCACTGAAGAGGGGACAACATGCCACTGGCGGAGGGCGTGCTGCCGCGTCTCCCCCTCGGAGGCGGAGGTGGCACAGTCCGACTGGGTTGCAGCGTGCATCACACGTAGGCTCCATGAAGATGGTGGCAACGACGACCGCATTCCCTCCTCAGTCTTCGCTTCCTTGCCTTCGTCTTTGCCTTCGCATCCACCTCCACTGTCAACATCACCTACACTGTCCTCTTTGTCCCCGCCACCATTCCCATAGTGCGTATGGAAACGTGGCATTGTCAAAGTAACGGACTTCTGAAAACGAAGTCCTCGCGGACCGCACATTACCAAAGGACTGACTATATGCGATTTGTTCATCGTCTTCTTGTCGTACTCCTCATTTTGATGCTCACCCTCGTACACCTGACAAAGAAGACCACTTTATTGGCTCATTTATCGTGGCGCCCTCTGTGCACCTGTTTCTGGTTACAATTTTTCTTAACTTACATTTAACTGTGCAACTTTATATCTGTTATTGCTACTGTCTTGACTATTCATTAGATACATTTCATAGTAGAAATTCACAAGAATTCCAAGATTTTCGAAAAGCAAATCAGAATTAATACTATGGCAATTTCTTCTTACAAATCCAGTCAACTTTAACGGACTGAGCGGCCGAGAGTACTTTTCATTTATGAAAGTAACCCAATTTATTTGGAGATTATTTAGTTGACAAGCCTATACGTAATTATCCGATGTAACTATTTTTAATCCTCTGAAGTTCCTTTATTTAAACAAAGGTATCACATAGTTCATATTTTGCTGCAAAAATTAGATTAAATTTTATCATTCTTTTTACCTTTATGGAGTGTCTTGCACTTTTAAAATGGGATGGTTGAAATGGAGCAAAATGGTACTGTTTTAAATACTACACATTGAAAGAATTGGTAGATGCCTCTTGAATCATCGAGTATTTGCAAAAAAGAACTCAATTTGATCTATAAAAAAGGGTTTTCCTCATCATGGAAAATCCTAAGTGTCCCAATCGCGTGGCATTAACCTTACTAACGAAAGTGTACTAAAAAGGTCATACGCGGAGGTAAATCTCCTGTTTTTCTCCATCACCATCGTCGGGAATAGCACCGGGTGGAATTAAGAGTCCGACGCCGTGTTGTGGCAGTTGTAAATTTCCGCCCTCCGCTGGGATGAATTCGCCGCTGGCCTCGGCCACAACGCGCTGCGGCTCCGAGATGAGACCACAGGGCATGTTGCTTGAGGAGAGTGGACGGTGGCGTCGCACTGAGAGAGGACCCACAACTTTCCTCCGCTCCTCTTCATCCTCGTCATTTCCTCTCTGAGGGGTAGTGTTGATGCTGGTCTCCTGGACTCTGGGTGACTCCGTCTGGGTCGATCTGCTATCGGGTCTGAAAATATGTCATTTAATGCAATCGTTTGGCCAAAACACTACTAAATCTAGCCAGTTTAGTCTTACCATTTGGTTGACTTTTTGAATCTATTAAAGTATTTGACCACTAAAATAACTAGTATTAAATGCACTTGCGTTCTGAATGCGAAAATAGATTGTCCTGGCAAATTTTAATTCACCTTGGTGATTGAATCCGCACGCGACGTAGCTCATTCTTCCTCTTCGGGGATGTACTATTCGGAAATCTGGCTTCTATCTCATCCTCCATTAGTTCTAGGCGATTCAGCACACCCCATTCCTCGAAGCTTCTGCCGACCGATGAGCAATCCCCTTGGTAGCCTTCATTATTTTCAAAGCGGAATTCTTCCCTTCTATCTGTGGTCAATTGATAAAGTAAGCCCATATTCAAGGTGCTTGTATGGTCTGAATTAAAGTTCTCCCCATCATTTAGTTTTATTTAATAATAGGGGATTTGTTAAAATTAATTTATTCATGAAAGAGTAATTCAACCAAGCGTTTCACCTTTAATGTAGTCTTCTGCTTCACTGAAAGAACTGGAACAAAAATAGGGGTATTTGTATCTATTTTGTGTTTCGTGATTTTCTATGAACCGCATTATTTGTTGGGTGAACTGCATTTTAGTAGGATGATTCTTTTGGGAAGTAGTGCCGAGAAGTTAGACAACGTTCTTAAATTGGAGCATTTTCTTTTCGTAGGACTGTTCTCATAAGAGCAACTGGAGGGACATTGTAGTCTCAGAACGTGCTTATAAATCATCATGCGCGTGGCATTGTGGTAGGCAGATCTTTGAAGAGCACTGTGGATCGCCTTGGCCTGACCTGACCCCTTTGCCGGACATATGGAGCCTAGGCGATTCAGTTTCTCTTGTGAGCCTCCGGTGATCTAACCACGCACCGCAAACGCATTAGCTCTATAACCTTTTGACGTAGTATCTAGTCGGTAGAAAGCGGAATTCCACTGCTTTTGGAGTTGGTTCACGAAAACTTCTGACGACACGGAAGGGACTATTGAGGTGGGGTTGTTTTATTTTTAAACTTTAGCAAAGTGGTTTTGCTAATGTGTAAATCAAAATGTTCTTCAGCAATCATAGACTATCTTGCGTAAGTTTCAACCACGTGTGTATTTAGCACGCAATTTCAACTCTCAATGAGGAAGAATGGAACTTTAGCGATGCCATAAAATGCAAATGGATCCGTTAAAAAAGCCAAACCAATGAATACGCCACTGACAAAATTTAGCAAAGAACCGAAATTTGTCAAATGAAAGGTGGTTTATTAATTCAGATTCAGCAGTACACAAAGGACATGAAGGCTTAGAAACGGCACCATTAAAATAGCTGAAGATAAATAGTTTCGGCATTGCCTTTGTATGTCTAGAGGTAATCTCTTATACCAAAACAAAAAGACGTTTGGTAAGTGCAAACCACTCCTGGTAAAATTACTACGCTTCGAAGGAGAAACCCTCCTCTAGAGACTCGTCTGAGATTATTAAAATGACCATTAGAAAAATAGGCTTTGCTTGTGCGCACTTCGAAAGCCAGTGTGACCATTAGTCTGTAAATATTTACGGAATGTTTACTTATTAAAAGGTGAATGTTTTCCGCATAACTTGCCAAAGATCGACAGAAATGTCCGCATAGGGTAACTCTGTTGGTGTTGCCGCTGATTGTTTGGTCAGACGAAATATTCATATTTGCTATTTATACACACCATGTAAGTCACAAATCAGTCCGTAAAGTGCTTCCATGAGTTCCCTGAAATCTTACCTGGATCACTTTTTTCTGAGGACGATTCTTCAGTCGCGGCTTTAGGTGGCTCGATTGTCGATGCAACTGGAGTAAGAGCATTTTCATTTGCCTTGCAGAATGCTACAGAGTCTTCTGCGACCCATACCTTAAACGGAAAGATGTTTTGAGAGGTATGCTACTCCAAAGCAATTCATACTGGATTAATAAATTGCATTTACGGGCACAGTAACATTTCGCATGGTGCATTACATCCTCTTAAATCCTTCAAACCATACATAATCTTGTGTTGAATTCCAACTAGTCTTTACTTCTGTCCATGCATCAGACCAGTTGGAGTTGATCATTTCCTCTGACATTGTGGTCCCTAATTCACGCGAACTATTTGATTCAAGTACTTTAATAATCTGGTGGTATTCGCATTTGTTTAATTGTCAAAATTGTTCGCGGTTGAAACTAAAGGTCGTTTATGCAGGACTAGGCAGTAACGTCCATGAGGTTATATGCATTTTGCACTTAGTTTCAAACAGTTGTTCTCTGAATTTCAGGAGTTTCAAATGGCAGTAATGATCGGAACTTTTTAAACCCCTCTGAAATATTTCTGTACGAACAAGAAAATATATCAAATTAACTGCAATACTCATATTCATGCGATAGTGTAATGACGGAAACTACTCTTATCACGTTGCCATTATAGAACTATTAGTGTGGCAACCTGTTTTCCTTCGTATTTAAAGTGATCTCCTAATGGAGGTAATAAAGATAATAAGTAATAGCACACCGGTTGGCTCTGATGATGCCTGATAATGGAGATGAGGTTGTGTATCCACTCCATTTCGTCAAAGTGTACTTGCAAGGGTGAACTAAAAAGCGGAACGGTGTCGGTGAGTAGATGGGAGATGGCCTGAAGCAGACTGGCCACCTCCGACCAGAGGCGTCGGCTCATCTCTCGCGCGCCACGCTGGCACCGTGGCCTGTAGAGCTCCAGCGCCTCATGGATCTGCTGCGCACTAGAGGCGGTCACGAGAAGAACGATGGGGACGATGCCGCTGTACAGGAGGCCCTCAATTGATGAGGGTCGCAAATAGAGCACCGCGTGCTTCCCCCTTTCCATCAGCATCTACCATTTGCATGCGCATTTATTAGTAGCATTTCAATTTCTTTCTTCTTTTCTTTTTATAAGCGCATTTGAACATTCCCATAGGGTGAAGATTGCTTTTTACCTTCTAGGTGGAATTACTCTGCAAAGTGGCTATTGTTTGTCAGTAGATATAACATTTACTTTTATTGCCGATAACTTACTGCATTTGGTAGCGTCTTTTTGGCAGTTAATTTTAACGTCTAAAAATCGCATAAGACAAAGTAATTGAAATCTCCGTTCAATGACTCATTTTGACTGAAAAGTGGAATGTTTGTAAATCCATTTAAGGATGCACAGTTTTCCATCTTAAATATGACCATAATATGCCTTGACATTTAATGGAAACTGAGTAGTTTGTGGCACTGGAACATGTGGCACGTATTATTTTGGTACTGCACTATCGAGCTGTAAGTACATTAGTGGGTTCAAATCACCTTTTAATTTAGCTCATTCTTATTTCTTTTTATAACTTAAGGCATATCAAACTATGCAGCCTGGTTCCATCTAATGAATTCGAATGATATAATTAAGTTAATCCTAAAATCTAGTCTACTTAAAGCATTTATGATAAATTAACTCTAACTTGAAGTTGATCAGTGGGACGACTCGCCCTCATTTTTGTGAGAGCGAGGAAGAAAAGTGGGTTGAAGTCCACCTTACCTGGATGGCACTGAGGCGGATAACTCCGGGACTCTGGGAGCAGAGGTGAGCTGCCCAGGCGTTGCTGGACGGTGGTGGGGCTCCCGATATTGGGGGAACCTCGAAACGCGGCTCTCCGTCGCTGTCGTCTAGTGTAGAGACCTCTTCTACCAACAAATGCATCGCCTTCTCGGCTAGAGGACCGTAGATGATCACGGGCCGAGGATAGGGGTAGCAGTCTAGCCGACCCACCCGAAGGTAGGGTCTTAGTCTTTCTACGGAAAGCTTATGTAGAAAATTATTATAAGACATTTTATTACATTAAAGAAGTTGAATTTATTTAAACCCTACCAAGGAATGCATCTGTTGAAGTTCTCAAGTCTCCAGGCCATGAACGAATCGACTACATTTATTAGCGTGGCACTAATAACTAAGGGGTTCCAAGGATATAGTAATTTATCTTTTGTCCTCCAGGTGTCCATTCATCACAAAAAGTTAAGCTTGCATTGTCATGCAAAGAAAATTGAATATCTCTCATTCCATTAATTGCAGAAAGGTCTGTAGACCCCACTTCCTGCTCAGATATGCTACTCTACCAAGCAATATAAAATTTACCTTCAAATTGACTCTTAAATACGCTATTGTGCGAGTGAATCTTTAGAAGAATTTATTTTCCGGTAACTCATATATTACTTGCGCATCTTCTGAACTCCGCATTACTAAATCTCACCGTAGAAGGTATCAGAGTGAATGATAGCACCATTAAATCTAGAATCGTATTTGTGCTTAAGTGTTTACGATTAAAAATTATCTAATTTTATGTTAGTAAAATAATGTACCATGAACAACAGTTTACTTGAAAATTAAATAACAAAGGTAGCGGGACAGAGGTAATCCATATGAAATATGGACGGTTATAATTGTGTTTTTGCTTTTAAAAATTACCGTTTGAACGCTTTAGATATCGTAAATCTTCCCAAAAAAAGGAATATAGCCAGTTAGGAAAGCTCACTGATGTTGAAACTTGTGCCTTTAAAAGCTGAATGGCCTTTGCATTACTTGGAATGCTTCCGATGGCCGATGCACTTGGGAACACTTTCCGAGCCTAAAATTAGAGAGAAAGTTTGTGAAAAAGGGCTTCTTAAATCGTTGTCCTGTAAATTTTAAAGACCCTACCAACCATGAGGTGAACGAGCCAGCTAGTAGACTATCTGTAACATGGAAGATATCGCCATGAGATATGTGTAGAGTAGGTATAGGTACCAACGGATCAATTGGTCGCACACTGCTTCCATCTACAACACTCGGAGTATGGGTGAAAGCGGCTCTCACGTAGAAGTCGTCCCCTGATCCCACTTTGCCGTTTATGAAGGCCTCAAATTTGTCAACTGCTTGCCTCACCTCCATTTTTAGTACCTTTCCTGACTTGAGAATCCGTAATGCCGCTTCTGCTTTCGTCATCCACTTTACCGATTCACCGTTTATCTAGAAATGAAAACTCAAATTTTGCCTATATCCGCATCATTCATGAATTTAATCTGCAAAAAATTTACACATTTGATAAACAATGTCACTTATGCATCCTAAAAAGTATTACTATAGGTATTGGAACAAATGCATAATGTCATTTACAAAAGCACTGAGTTGAAGAGAAGTTTACAATTCACTCGTAAAAATCGCGCATTAAAAGCTGAATAAAGCTGCATCAATGTTCTGAGTAGTTGAGATTAATAAGATGACTGCAGTCAATAACCTTAACTCGTATTCCGTAAGAAGGGAAGGTGTTCTGTGGCGTCTTTCGCTTAAGTATACGAATGTGGTTATAAGCTGATTCGTGTGAGGTTATCTTCCTCCCAAAATCAGTCGTATTAAGAGCATTTTTCTCTGCTTCGCCTAGTATTATCCAGCAAAGCAAAAAAATTCACTTACTTTTAACGAATATAATTTCAGTATACCTACTGATATTAGCACTAATTGCCCTTAAGTAGATGATCATGAGGAGGTTTTTTGAATGAATTATTTTCCTCCCATCTGAGTCAAATCACCTTCTATTGGAAGGATTCCGATGATGGAAATCTCAGCATATAAGACCGTTTAAACGGTGGTACAAAATATTTTCAGGTTGTACACATACAAATACATGAGCTCGCATATTACTGATAAGTGACAACACTCCAGAATCAGGCCTTTGGTAACGTCAACCCTTGGGTCAAAAGCTGCTAAATAAGCAAAAAAGCTGTTTCCAAGGTTTAAGCAATTATTACCTAAAAGGGAGTTTCAACAAGACCAACACTCGAAGTATCTCACGCTGCTGTAATTTTATTGCAACGATTTTGTGCAACTGTGAATTGACTTACTTCCTCCATTCGCCATTTTAGCTGCAGGTTTGGCTTAAGGTCAACTGGCAAACTCCTAATCCCTCCGTACTTTAGTCGTGTGTGCTCTTCCACAGTGCTTTAGCTTCTTACGACGTCAGAGGAGACTCACAGTGTTACTTTATTTCCATATACTTGAGTTTTCAGGTATAATCCTGGCTATTTTCTTTTTGATAGGAAAATCCCAATTTAGTTTGAATAGAACCAGGAAGTCAACCTGATGTGAAAAATTGAACAACCCCAATAAAGGTTTGCCCTCATAAAAAATACGTGTAAAAAGGTATATCACTTTTCATGGTTTTATCATTCATTTCAGATGGTGCTTAAACTTTGATCTCCAAAAGGTGGGCCATTTTAAGTGACAGCTCTAATTACATAATTCATTTATTTTAAATCCATATATTCTTTAAAATACAAATAATTGACTTTAATTGCATTACAGTCCAGGTCGCATGAAGTCATGACCAAAAATTATTTCTCAGTTGTCCAGTAAATTGATAACGTTAATGAATATACGTCAACTGCTTACGGAGATGATCTCGTCCCCTGGTCTGACCCCAGACTCGGTTGCAGGTGACTGACCATTCACCTCGGAGATGAAGATGCCCACGGCATTGCCCCCAATAATTCGAATGCCTGTGCCAAGCACAGGATGGCGCTGAATGCTCACCACTCGGGAAACGTCGCCCTCGGCATGGGAGCCATCGTCAATGGTGGCGAATGGAGGCGAGCCTCTCTCACCTGTCACGATCTCAGGACAAACCAGGGGGTGTCGCGGCGTGACGTGACAGTTGCACCGGACACCTGATGCAATGCCGACTTTATCCGCATTATTGTCGGGGCAGATGGGCTTGTACAGGACTGGCGAGTATTCCGCGGGAGAGGTCATAACATGGAGTGGTTCTAGCAAGGAATACATTCCAAGAATTTTGAATAAACTGGTCGTTCTTCTGCATTCATGACTTCAGTAATGTTCAACAGGCATTTCATGCGAGCGTTCACATGTTCGCATTCGATTTTAATGTTTCAAATGGCACTTTTAGCATGATCTGAGGTTACTTTGGTTCTCCGCTCTGTGAATTTGGCTTTTTTATGGTACTGCGGTAAGCTCAAGGTCGTGTGTGAAAGATGATGATTCCCACATTTGGCGTTTTGAAAATGAGCTTTTGTCGAACTGCTTAAGTGAAAGGTAGGTTTACTAGATGTTTAGGACGTAGAATTTTCGGTTGGAAGAGACTTTTGATGCTCCTCAGGATTGCTTGTTTATAAAAATTGGACATAGCCGAGCGACTGCTAAAGCAGGTAATCTATTGATTGTTCTTAAGACTACCTGGAGTTATGATAAATCTTTCACAATGGTCTCTATTTACCAAATGGTTTCTGTGACGTTTCGACTCTAAAAATGGTTTGAAAGTCCATGTGTAGATATATTTATTGGTTTGACGGAGCCATACCAACTATTCCGATAATTTTTGTCTTAAATAAAAGTTGAAAGACATCGCTTCCACCTTTGACAGCGAAATGTTAGACTAATTTGTATTAAATCTACCTAAAGTTGAGATCTTGATTTTATACTCACTCTTACTACACGACGATTCCTTGATTAATGAAGGTTGGTGCAGTATGGGGTGGATGAGGCGAATTTCTCCGTTGACATCAAATCTGGTACCTTCAAACTGTGTGAATATGAATGGTGGATTATGGTAATTTAAGGCGCATTCATGCCTGTGTACGCCATTTTTTTCTTGCCTGCCTGTCAAAATATTCTCATTTCTGCACATAATAGTCCAGTATATAAATTGATGTTAAACGATTCCTAAAATGCTGCATTCAAGTAAGCAATTTGAAAAATTTTTCTTAGATAAACCAATCATCGCTGTAAATTCAGTTGAAATTCCCTCAGCAAAGTGGATACCGCTCCGATAAATGCCAAAAAACATGAGAACATGAATTAAACGAGAACCATATTACTGCATTGTCTAGTGCAATCACCCTAGGGTGGCATCAACAGACTACCACGTTAGGTCGAATGAACTCATTTTGATATCATTTGACCCATTTTGAGCTAGCAAGTTGGCAGATGCGCAAAACTCCGCATATTCTATGAGACGCATGTACATTTACCTTGTGGTTTGCAGCATGGGTGTCCACACTGAGGAGGAGTGTCCTGAACAAACAGCTGTGCAGCCTCGGGTGGCAGACGAGCACTCTCCTCTTCCCCCTCGTGTTCGACTCGCAACAGAGTGACATCCGACTGCTCCCTTCGCATCAGGTAGGCGGCATCAATCAGGCTCAAGTGGGCCGTGTCTATCCCGTTTAGATTGACAACTCTGTCTCCCACTCGAATCCCAGCATAATGCGCTTTGCCACCCGGCGTTACCGAGGTTACCACCAACTGACCTGAGAGCTCAACGCCCAACCCTGGCGAAGAAATGTATCAAGGCATCAACTATAACAACAACCACGGCTAGCCCCTTCTCGACACTTAAGGTTGAAATACGATTCCTCTTCATTCATGTTGTAGGCTTTAGTAATTTTTATGAATGACCACGTTGACTCACTAATGTGTTGTGAAACGAAAATCTTTTCCGTTTTATGCTAGATTTATGCTCAAATAAAATCTCTTTGAGTCAAATTTATTTCTAGTAGTTAAGCAATATAAATATATCATATATCAATTGCTGCGTGTTGGCCAAAACAAATTAGAAATTAAAGCAAACTGTGTTGGAACTCAGAAGTGAAGAGGAGTTAAGCCGCGAATGCGTGTGGGAAACACAATAATGGAAGTTAGGTCTGTGCTGCAATCAAGAAAGGTGATTCTTAACCTACCTGACTTCCTACTTTTAAAAGATGAACATCGCTTTCAAGTTTATGGAAGTTTAGAGGCTCCGTTGACCTGGAAACAGCCCAAAGTATCTGCTTTACTTGCATTAATTTGCTTCAGCATCTAAATATGCTAGCAAACAGGACTCCGTAAAGAGCACGTGCTGCCTTGAGGTTATAAGTTCAGACAAATGGCTGAAGAGTATCCAAAGTACCAGCGATAAAAGATTTGCCAAGGGGATTTATCAATGGATTCTACTCTTTCTGAATGCATGACTATCATGTTCACCCTTCTTTAATTGAAAGACTAACACAAATGTCATAAGAGACGAATGAACGCTTGCAGAGACAAAAATTTATGGAAGTTTGGTCAGAGGATGAAATGAGCCCTACGCTTTTCACCCATGACCTTACCATCTTGAGGATTCTGTTTAGCTAGATTGACCTTGAGGAAACTGGCCTGACGTCGGTCACGGGTGAGCGTGGCCAGGCGATCCTCCGACCTCGCTGTCAATTGTGGTAGGGATACTGCGTGAGACGGAGTCACCTGTGGACTTGCGAACCCCGGCATGCTATGGGTGCGTTTCGTCCCGTTGGTAATACTACAGGTCCAAAATCAGAGAGGTGAATGAACGATGGCAATTCTTCAAAGTATGGTTATGCACTAGTCCAAGATATGACTTATGATGTCAAAGTTATGGTTTAATTTCAACATCATGAGTGCATTTTAATTGTACACACTTTGGAAAGATGCTTTCACGGAACAACGCCATTTACATTAGACTTTTTTGATGATCCCATCGCAAAATTTCTTGTTTGTTTCCTCCCTATGTCATGAGACGATATTGAAGAATAACCAATTTGGCTTTACAAAATAATATTTTACATTTCACACGGAGAGGGAGAAGCCTGCCTCTGTTGAGAGCCGATCGAGAGCCCGTCGGGCAGGAAGAGGGACTGATATGAAGTCGAAGTCGCAGTCACCGGAGCCCGTTGGGCCTCCCCATGCACCTCCACATCTTCTCGTCGATAGACAAGGAGGGTGACTATGCCCTCTGCCCTTCGAAGGAGATCTAGCATTTCTGGATGCGATTTCCCCTCCAAAGAGACACCGTTCACTGACATTATTATGTCGCCTGGCCTATGAAAATGTCGACTGAAGATCAATCTGGTCAGAAGTGAATGGCTCAGCCAACAATTTGCTTTAAGATGTAGTATTCCCAACACAATCCCGTTACGCAAATATTGTCTCCCAAATTGTGGATTTTAAAAATTTCTTGCATATGGGTTGCATTTACAGTCAGTACTGTGTTCTCTCTGGAAAGCATTTAACAAAAACAGGCTTTTCATTCGTATATTAGGCTATCCCGAAAGATGCTTTCTTACCTTAGAATAAGCAAGAGCGCATAAATGTGCATACTTTTAGGGGCTGAAGCACCGCTGTCCGCATTGCATGATTCGAAGTCGTTTTCATACACTTTATACTTTTGATCGTTTGGTTTTATACATGGCCTAACCATCGCATTGTGTTAATGTTAAATGCCATATAATTGTGGCTTTTAATTAAATTTGATGTTACTACATTAGCTGGACTTTTTATTAAAAAAGAAAAGAAGCACTTTATGCGACCCCTCTCCTTTTCCAGAAATCGGTAAGTCTTACGTGAGCTCTAGTGAATTGCGAGTTGATTCGAGTAATCATATAAAATCAAGCAATATAAACTCTTGATATTGAGTAAATGGATGTCAGATTTCCATTAAAGCTAGAAAACTTAGGTGAAAACCGATGATGCCGTCAGTGTACCCTCGAGCTTCGTTTTTATTTAATAGTGACCGATACTGTTTCGTTACTTCGGCCAGGTGCAACTCACCACGGTTCCTAAAAAAGTACCCTAAAGAAATATATTGAAGGAGGAATGGAAAATGTGCTAACGTAAGTATTCTCGAGTTAAAGAGAATGCTTTAAAGACTGCAAAATTGTGGTTTGACAATTAATTTTGACTTGCTTTTGTTGAGTCATTGATAATGCACTTAGGTCAGAGCATTTTGTGTGTGGATGTAAGGAAACTGAATGCTAAAGAAAATTTACTGTTGCACTTACCTCAACTTTCCATAAGCAGGGCCACTAGGGAGAATGTCCACAACCAGGGCCCCGCAGCTGGCCCACTCGCCTGAACAGCCGCGCTTAATGGCAAGTCCAAGACCTTCCTGTGCTCGTCGCTCTAGCACCACGTTGAAGATCATTGCTCTGTCCCAATAAACATAGCTTCTGACTACTCCCTCTTCCTCAACTAGCTACCATGAAAGGGTTCTTTTAAGTCCAACTCATTTCTCTCACCGATGAAATAGCGCTATGTAAGTGGAATCGTGGATTTAATGGCTTTAATCCTCACACCTCCTTTGAACCACGTGTCTTGCATTTAACCATATAAATAAACGTGAGCTCGGTTTGTTTCCCTTTTCATGGATGTATAATTCTTAAATTTATAGAATTTCACATAGGTAATTAAACACATTTACGTAATCACATTCGGGTATTATAACTGAGACATAATTATTTGACTGTTTTGCTTTAATGCTGAAGCTATATTCGATGGGTTGACGGTTGTTCAGTGTGAGGCTTGAAGTAAAGTTTCTCTTTTATTGGAACTACAAAAGTGACATCTCTCCATTAGGACTTGACTTGGATATTCGTTTACCACTTGATCAAATACCTCAATCACAAAATGTGATTACTTTCGTAAGCACGACCGCAGGTACTATTTTGTGTTACAAAGGGTTGTTATAAAACACATATTTTGAATAATAGCTCTTGGTGCTTTTTGAGTTTAATTTATCCTCTTTGTAAAGATTTATGTACAACTACTATTTTATAGTGTGGTTGTATATCTTGATAAGCTGATAAAGAGAGGGAAGAACGAACCAATAGGTGTCGAACTACGCGAAAACTACAGCCGGTGAAGTTGGAAGGAGGATGAATTTCATCTGTGAACGAAAGATATCCACTAGTGATAGCCTATCATTGCATCAACATACGAAATCTATTCATTAGCATATCCTTTGGATGTTTTAGAGAGGGCCAATCGCTTTGTAGCTGCAATAAGGTAATCCAGGGATTGACGCACCACCACGAGAATATGCAAATAAGCACCAGCGCAGGGTGCCACCGACAATGTTGTTAACCCCCTTTAATGTGTCTCCCTTTGGTGAGATTTTTTGCTGTTGAATGTTCCTTTCCAACCATAGTAACCCTATCTCTCTTTTGTCGTTGATGCATTACAAATATTTTACTGTTAAAGATCTGTTAAGACGGTCAATTTATTTGGGGATCACTTGTTATTCTCCTCCGCTCATCACAGATACATCCAATTGAACAATGAAGTTATATCCGAGATTCCATGAGTGTCAACTCATAACTGCTAAAAAGGGTCTTTTTGCTCCATGTATATCTTCCATATTAAATAGGTGGTGGAAGTATTTCTTGACTTGTTAACTCATTTTATCCACCCAGAGGTTTCAACCATAGAATGTGCATTTTTACTTTCCAAGTGTGATGTGCTGCTGACTTGGCAGCGGATACTCATTTTTATCAATCTTTAAAATAGGCTTTGAAATCTAAAATCATTTTTGCATAATTAGGAGATTTAGGTGGTGTTATTTTGTAAGAAGGCAAATGAGCCTTCTATGAAGGTGGAAAAAAACTGCACTTAATTGATGTGCCAAAACATCTGCTGGATGAGTCATACAACCGATCAGAATGGCAAACGATCTCAAATCCACCTACTCAACATTAGGCCACTCAAGGTGTGTAATATAAGCCAACTTGAAAAGGTTAAAAGAGGGTCTCAATATCATTCTCAAACCTGCAAATTTTCGTTTGGTTCTTTAAGTAGTCAAATCACATTCAACACAACTCCATTGCAAAAATTTTCAACCAGATCAGTGTCAAACGCCTCTTTAACACAAATTTACAAAAACGACCTCAGTCGGCACCTTCATAAACTACTTTTGAACCCTAAACAGCTTGCTTGCAGTTCTCGTCAATCAGGAGAGGCCTCATTTATGTTTTTAAATTCCAACATGACCTGCAATTTACCGTTAATCAACAGCAATTGTGTACTGAAGACTGTTTTGTGTTGCATCCACGGCCAAACACTCACTGGCACACTTGCCTTGAGCAATTGCAACTTGTGCTCCCTCGCGCTCTGAAAAACTGCCGCAGTTGCCCAGTCCCAGTATTCATCATGTGTTCACCTTGTTAAAGTCCTTAGTTTTCATCTAACTGAATGCCATCCTGCGCGCCCTAGCCCACTCGTTAAAATAGATACAAGAAAAACATTCAGTTCCCTTCTTATCAATTTGTACTCCGAAATTTCCGATCACCTAGAATGCGCGAAGTTGCAGATACGATCAACCTCCCGAAGACCGTGTGCAAATACACCAGGCTGGTGTTCCCACTTTCATACTATCGCAGCCACGAGGACGGGGAAGGTCGTCAACTAGCGAGATATCCCCAACCGCCACGCACTAACAAGGACATCTCAATCATGGCTCTAAAAAGTGCAAAACAACTTTGCATCCTGAATATCACCAAAGGCAAGAGCCCTATAACTTTGGATAGCCTAACTTTCGATCTCATTTCGTGTCAAGAATTTAGGTTTTTCATCATCGAGAAACAACGCGTCCCTAAGTAAATTGTTGCACGCACCATAATGAGAGGCATGACTTCCAGTCATTTCAAAACAAGATAACTTTCCAAACTCCTTGCTAGGCGCTGTACATTACCACACTTTCACCATATGAATTCAATTCTTAAAAGAGTGTAAGACAAGGAAAAATGAGGAGGTGGATTATTTGGAAACAGTTAGAGGTGGATAGGGGAAAATGTCTTCATTGTTCATGTCACCATTATTGTTGTTTAAATAGAAGGAATAAAACCACAGCGCTGAATATTCGGGAAAAATAAGTGATGAATATATTTACACGTGGCGGTGGTGCGAATGTCTTTTAGTTGTATATTTAAGTGCAGTGGGAGACATTTGTGAGCGATTTGAAGAGGGAGTAGGTATGTGAGCGGGTGGATGTGTTTGATTGTCAGACAAGAAAAGATGCTGAAAGGAGTTATGTGAGAGAGAAGAGGCGGGATGGGTTCACCAGTGCTTTTTACTGGGCGGGTTCACTGACGGATGGCGTGGCAACAACGGGGGCTGACCCCTCGTCCATCGGCGTCGCGTAGGGCCTACTGCCACTGTGAGAGGTCACGGGAAGGGTCTCCGAAAAAGCCGGATAGGAGGAGGCGGAGGAGGATACACCTCCTGTAGCGAGGCTGCTCTCAACTGCCGAGTATTCAAGCGAAGGCCGCTGCTGCTGGTGCTGCCCCGGTGCCATCGCCGCTGTAGCCGGTTGCATTACCTGGCCCATAGAGGCTGCTGCTGCTGCGGCCGCTGCAAATGCCGCTGCTCGCATCAGCTCCAGAGCCGACTGACAGTGCTGACGAGGTCCCAGCTCTGGCTGATAAGTGAACGTAGAGCCCGTGGCATAGATGACACCATCGTTTCGAGCAATGCTTATTGGAACCTAAAATATAATAAACAACAGACCAACGATTTCTAAAAGATGGCTCCAAACGAAATTACGATTTAGCATCTCGCTCATACTTTATAAGTTAATTTAAAGCCATACTATTACCATGAACTCTGCAGTACTTCACGTAAATCCCACCCATGCATTCACTCTAAACTAGAATTGCATTGTACAAGTATCACCTCGCTTCTATCGGTTGAGGAGTAAGATGGACAGAATATTTCGAGTTAACTCAGTCAAGTGAAAAATACTGCGCTTATGGCCAGGACACCCTTCTGAGTGAAGCGAAAGGGAGCATTGTTTCATTCTACGGAACTATCACTGTCACACAATATTACATCTGTGCTCTATTTTGGCGGAAGCGTGAGTACTTGTACTAGCCTTCAAGTGTAAATCGAAATAGATGTTCTCATATTAGAAATCGTTCTCACAAACTGGCGTCACTGATTCCTTAATGTTTCAAAGCGCGAATTCTCAAGCTCTATGCAAATTGTAGTGGCAGCACCAGCAACCATGGAGCCAAAGTGCAAATATAGTAATAAAAACGTAGGACAATGCTCAGGCCGAAGCAGAACTTTTCGATTCGTCGTAAGGGCGTGCCAAAATTCTTAATCCTTTCAAGTTTTCTCGATATACTTTAAATGAAAACAAACATTGATTATATTTACAACAGATGGTATTCTCGTTTGAAATACCTCGAGTTCATATTGTATGTAGGTCCATTCAGGATGGAATTCGGAGATATCGGGAACCAGACAAAGGAGAAGCTCCTGGCACCTATAGAACGTCTGTGCGGGTACATCGCCAAACCAAACCTGATGGTTGGCACTAAAGTTCTCGCCAGAAACCTCGACCATGGCAACGTCACCACCGCCATTGGTGCGGATGCTGGTGACGATGGGGACAGGGGTAACGGGATGGTTGGAGGGTGGCGGGATCTGCGCGGCCAGTGTTTTGGAGACACTGGGGTCGTCACGCAGACTGGAGAGCTCAAACCACCGATACTCTGCCCGGTCGGTGCTAATGATGGTCCAGGCGGCGGAGTCATTGATCGTCTCCCGATGAGGGTTGTCGTCGCAGCGCACCGCTTGATGCTGAATGATCCTGTCCTGCGACAGACAGAGATACATCCGGTCCGTGTCCTTCAGATAAAAGGCACACTTGTGCAGTTGGCTCACTGGATCATCCGCATCCAGCATCACCACCGTCTTGTCCACCTTTCGAACAATCTGAAAAACGATGTCGCAAGAGATACTATTGGGTCAATTTTTTTGTTGTATATGGCAATTATTCTTTTTTGATGTATCCATTATGAAGATCAGTGTGTTAAGTGAAATACAGCTTTGGGCACAATCTTACGTTTAATACTCAAGGCAACATTTCCTAAACTTTAATATTAAACGCCAGACTGAATGATTGGCTTACTAATGAGTTATAGTGTTTGGCCTACGGTGGGAGGCTTGCAACACTTGGGCCATTTGCTTTTGATGGTACTACGGACTCACCAGGCGGGGTAGAGCCATGCCAGTTTCGGAGCAGACGAGCTTTACAGTGTGCCCGTAGTGGATGTAGCCATCGCGCACGTTGAACTCTTCCGCCTCCGACTCATCGTCGGAGAGGAGGTGGATTGTGAAAGCACCCCATCGGCTGGAACTGGCGTGAAAACTACCCGCATCAACGTGAAGGTAGCGTGTGCTCACGGTCTGCGATCGAAGCCGGTTGAACAGTGCGATCTTTGTGCCTGAGGCGATGCATACTAAATTATGAGGCACAAAATGAGTTGTTGGATATGTGAAGAGAAAGTTAAAATCAAACTTATTTTCCGTATAGCGCTCTGAAAATTTGAACTACGCAATTATTTCAACTATTCTATGTGAACCTGATTGCCTTGGTTGTGAGATAGGTGATAGAAGGGCTCAAAATTAAATCACCATATTAAGCTAATGGCGACGGAAAAGAAATTTCAATATGCATGCCGGTCGTACCAATTAAAACACTAACACAGCTTTTACTGGACTGCCCGTTCTGGTATGCCGAACAGTACGAACAGTTTCGACGCGGTATTTACAAGCTCAATTTGAAGTTAAAATGTGAAAGGCTATCTAGAAAAAATGCACTGATACATATCTTTCATGTACGCTTATGGAAGGTCCCCGATCCGGAGTGCTTAGCGTTCTTCAAAATAAATTGATCTGAAAACCAATGCCGTGACCTCATGTGAACTCAAAGTAAAGTTTCTCCCTCAAACCATAAAATAATTCAGAGAATCTCATAAAACCCAGGTGTGACCGGGAAAGTGCCAGAGAACGAGCTCTTCTAGGTGACCACAAAAAAATTAGAAAACTGCAACCTCTACACCTCTCGGCGATTCAGTGTTTCGCTCAAATGACTTTCCCATGACAAAGCGGTCCATTATGTCAGGAACGATCAATTATTTCATTCACCTACTCTTCATCTTCTTATTGCAAATTTAAAGTAATGATTAGTTACTGTGATCTGTAGCTCTATAATTTTTACTCACGATCAGTATTCTTTAATGACTGCTTTTTCTTGCTGGGCTTTGATATGACCTTGATACGCCGAGAATTGAATTGACCGAGGTCCTTTCCATTGGAGTAGAACATCTTGACTGTTAGCATAAAGTGCTTCCGCTTATCAGAGTCGGAGATGAAGAGGGTCTTGGCGGCTGAGTAGTCCTTTCCGGGCTCCAGACTTAGCTGAACCATATCTTTCGCTGTAGAGGTTCCACCAATGCCCATAAAGGCCAAAACCTAACATTTGGTTTGAGAGAATTGCAAAAGCACAAAATTGTTACTCTTCATTTTGCATTGGCATAGATAAACTAAAAAGAAACCACAAGCCTACCTCTGGAGTCTACTAAGGGCTCACCAGGAAGGACTTTTAGTTTGTCCATGACGAGACTCACTGGTTCATGTTTCAAACTAAACGTTACTAGGAGAAAGCTCCAAATCCCAACTTTAGCAACGATCTATCGTGAATATTTACTATTTTGCCATAACATCAGGTCTGTGAAGTCGAACTTCTGCTTAAACAGCTCAGTAAGCCATTCCAGAGCGCAAAATTGAGTGATAAGGCGTTACTTCAAAGTGCTATCCATTCTCATAGCACAGACTTGAGAAATTATGCACACCGTGATGAGGAAGGAGCACAGATTTACATCCTTTATTAAAACGGCTGACCACAAAGTGACAATCCATTCCAAATGAACTTTCCTAAGACTGCACTATTTTTACACCCTTACAAGGAAATTGCGCAGCACTCGTGATCTTTAAAAGTAGAAAAGTGGACTTAAAAATAGCAAATGCGCACACCAATAGCTGCTAGCGTGTAGTGGACCGGATCCATTCATACTTAAAATAGTACCAAGCTTATTACAAAGATAACAATTTTAAAAGTTTGATCCAGTCTAGTACTAGGCAATTTTTGCCTTTACCGAACAGTTAAGCATTATGCAACGAAAGAAAGTGCCCTCCATCAGGCAAAGAATGATGCTCTCGGATACTTAGGTGATCGCTTACACATTTATCTTAACCAGAATTTTATTTCTCAATGAATAAAACCGTGGCAAAATTTAGGAGCGGATGTTTTTGTGGGATAGTAGAAAAGGCGGAAAGAAAGTTGGCAGTTATTTTACACTCCGAATGGACTCCGATTCAGTCCTATTTTATTATCGGAAAGCATTTATCTTTAGGTGATTCCTAAGCTAAGCCTGTGTGTGAAACAGTTCCGAATCTACCTTAGCAAAATTTAGGGATGGCTGTCAAAATAACGCATTTTCGAATTTTGATGACGCTGGGCAACATACCACAATCAATTAGACACATATCAGCGGCAAATTAGCACTAAAAAATTACTTGGGTTTTTTCTCCGCCCGATTTATTGGTGTTGAAGTCACTCTCTGTCTCCCACGGAAGGAAAGACCGCTGGAATGCAGGGTCCGAAGATGAACCGAGAAGCTTGGTTGGACTACCCACGCTCGGTCTGGCATCCCAGCCATCGCCTCGTAAGTAGATGCAGGGTGGAGGGCAAAAGAACCTTCAGAAGAGAGTAAGAGGCATTTGCATGCATTGAGAACCTTGCAAGCGCTGTAATTATATGGAAGCTATTTATACCAAATATTGGGTTTGTTAATCGTAACAAATCAGAATCCTGGAATCACGAAATTCGAAAAGACTCCTACTATCTTTGAATTCAACAGTAAAAACCGACGTGGCTTTCAAAACTTGTTCCAGCAAGCATTCGTAGATTCATTCTCATTAATAATGAATACTCAGCGGTATTATACTTCAAATGCTAGATAAATCGAAGGAGTGATCTAATGGAGCAAGTATTGTTCTACATGAAGGTGTGTAGTTAGTACGATGATATGGTTTTCCGAAAATTATGGACTTACCTCTTCTCTGTCCCATAGGACTTCTGTGCAACTTTGGCATGAAGCACAATAAGCACCTGGTCCCGTCGATTCTTTAGGTAAGAACGCATCATTTCGCGAGACACAATACCAACGGCACCGTCACCCGCGCCACCGCCACCGCCCACTCCACTACTAAGGCCCCCTGGCACCTCGACCACGCCCTTCTCACCTCCAGCCCCTCCGCCACCTGAGGTTGTATAGCCCCCCAGCACTCGCTGATAACTGGACGTCGAGGAGGACGAAGCGTTTGGCCCAGAGAAGTGATCGCCCCCGCCAACCTGTCTAGGGAGGTTGTAGTATGGGTTGGTGGTGGCGCTAACTCCATCCTCGCCTCCCGCTCCAGCAGCAGCGCTGAAGAGGGTCGAGGCACGGTAAAAATCACTTCCACTCGTTGTTGCCGCGGGTTGGAAGGAGGTGAAGAATGGATTGGACGGAACATTAGCCGTAGTAGGTGGGAACTGGTTAGAGGGTTGAGGAAACGACGAAGGGAAACCAGAGGGAGTGGATGTTGTCGCCGTTGTTGCCGAAACCTTGAAAGGCGAGGACGCAAATGCAGGCATAGGCTGAGGTTGTGTCGTATTCTCAGTGGTGTCAGGAACCGCCTTTGATGTTGGATCAAGTGAAAGATTGGAGTACCTAGAAAAGTAATTTTCTATTTGGGCAAAAGATTTTAACATAAAGATCAACACAGACAGTGAAAAACGTTTAAACGCTTTATTTTACTTATATCATTTAGTAAAACGTAAAATAACTAGCAATCATTACAAATCTGATCCACCGACTCAGTAGAGGACTCCCATCAAAAACAGACTTGAGCATTGCGAGAATTTGCATCCGAGGGCCAAAAGTACTAATCACTTCAATGAGTATAAAAACTACGTACTCACCAAGCCTCATTAGTTTGCGGTAGTGATTGCAGCTGTACAAAATCACTCTGCTCGCATGAACCTAAGTCGCCGGATTCTCGATAGTCATAACCCTTTCCCTCACTTTTCCCACTTCCAAAAAAGAAAGTTTCAACTGGACTCAGATCAGCATATGTTGGCGGCGCACTGAAACAACTCAACGAAAGTTGGTTTTCTGGATTACAGGGTGAAGCATACCAGACACCATCACCGATGGTCTGCTCGGTCCAGTAGGCTGGATTGTCGTAGTACCGATTATCGACAGACGGATAGGTGGATTGGTAGCTCGTTGACGAGGGGAAAGAGGTTGGTAGATAGTTGTAGTACTCATCCGATTGCTGCATTAGCTGGTGAGAGTTATAAGGAATGGAAGGCGAGGGCATGAGGTTGTGTGCTGCCCTTATACCACGCGATCCTGGAGTTGAAGTGGACGACGTAGTGCCAGAAGCCTCCATCTGGAGAATGGGTCCTGTCATGGCAGTGCAAGTCGAAAAAAGCTGTGCGTCCATCTATCGAGCACTCCATTCAACTATGCTAGCGTGTGTGCTGCGCAACCAGGCACGATTGGTGGATTTTGAGCGTCTGCGAGTGTGTGTGTGTGTGTGCGAGGGCTGTGAGCACAGCACCGTCACGCGCACACGTACACGTGTTTTGAGAAGCTCCTTCCGCCAACACCACCGCCACCTCCACTCAACCCAACATCCGCTGCGTTTGGAGCAATAAAATGCTCTTAATTGCACAGCGACAAAACACCGATGACTTCAGTTGAATTACAGCAATTTACTACTAGCTAAAGGGGAAGGCATTAATATGCGCAATGAGGTGTCCTGAAAGCAAGCCCTTAATAGAGAAGCACTCCATCGAAACAGAAGGACATTTCTGTGTAAAATGAGATCGCTGTAAAATCCTGGTTAAAATTGCTAGCGAAGAGTCGACGTCCTTATGTAGGGGGTATGGACATGTGAACCAACTAAGTCAAAGTTTGAAAGCTAATGACAACTTTAAGATGTGTAACCACGTGTTCAGGAGGTACCAAAAGGAATCGATCAACAGATGAAGAAGAAAGCAGCTCACAAAGCCAAGCAATTTCCATGGAATGAAGGCTGACGACGAGCCTAGTTGAGACCAGTTTAATGCAGCCACAAAAGCGTCCAGTTCGTAGTTGTAAAGGAATGCGGATTCTACGCATTCATGGTGGATGCTATAGTCTTTGTTTCCATGGTTGTAAATGGCTCGTGGGCCACTGCTGTCCCTGTTAAAGCTGATCGAAGCATGGGGCAGGGACAAATGCCAAAAGCTCGCTCCTATTGTTTCAGGCCAATTGGTACTCAATGTATAAGCAGAAATATGCTCTACCGCCTGTAAACAGAGGTGCAGTGCAAAATTATCTGCATCAGTTGACCTATTTATTTCCCATTGACAGTGAAATCCGTTTCCGGCTGCATATCGTGATATATTTGGCCAAAGGGGAGGGAGGGGGGAGAATGAAGAGCAAATCACTTTGGGGGTGGTAAATAGTAATCCTAATTGTTTCAGATGTTTCGGAAGACTTGTGAACCCCACTACGAGCTAAGAATCTGTTTATAAAGAAATTGGCAGTGTTCAAATTACTAGCTTCAACGTCTGATTGTGATGAAACAGAAAATATTGAATACCTTAAATTAAATACACGCTGCCATAATAACTACTGCATCTGATGGATTCGGCACATGCTAGTGAATGTATGAGAACATTCCCACGGTACTTTAAAGATGAAAAGTTGGTGTTCCCACGGTAAGATAACCTCCTTAAGGAGCCTCTTTCGTCAATAGATTCGAAAAGGCCTGCATATTTCGCAGCACTTGCAGATGCCCCGCGTTCCCCATAAGGCCTTGCTGCGATTGTTTCTTTAACTCGTCCCTAACGTCACTTGGAGCAAATGTTGTGAACAAAAGCTGAAAGCAATAGAAGTCAGAAAATAGAAGAAAGTGCATGGGGTGACCGGAGGACAATACTTTAAATAAAGAAGGAATCGGATGGGGATCAATGGTAAAGCACTCATTTGCTCAACAGTAGGAAAATCGAAAAATGGACGTCCTAGGTACTGCGTCTGGTTATGAGAATGAACAGCAAAATATCTCCATGCTACGTCTTGCTAAAAAGTTAACTTTGAAAAGTCTGAATCTGCGAACTACCGCAGGAAAGTAAGTAGGACCTTGTCAACAAAGACGGGAACGAGGCTGGTCCTTGCAAGGCTCAGGAGCAGTGGTGTGAATTTGCTACTTATACGATGTAAGTACGAAGCAGCGCAAAGGTAAGGCACGTGTTTGGTCGAGGCTACTATCATGCTGCAAACGAGGACACGTTTGTCACAATGAACGCATGTAATCTCGTCACAAAAATAGGCTGGTTTGATAGACCATTCACCAATGAATTGGCAGCTAAACATATCTCAAAAAGCAACATCGGGATTTTTCATACTTAGTAAGGATTCCAAGCACCAGAATATGCAGGCTGCATGAAATAACCCGAGCAAATTTTTGCTTTTATAAATGCCCAAAAAATTCTCCTCAGATTGTTACTGGATAGGGATATACGAGTTATGGCCCACTGATCTTTGCAAAAAATATGTCTGCAGAACATTTCTTATCAAAAAAAATGGAGCAAGAATGAATAACATGGGAAAACGTACAGATAGCTATTTTTACATGAAAATTCCAGTACGCAAAAAAACAGAACAGTAGCATTTCAGTTCAAAAACCTAAATGTATGAAGTATATTTGGCGAATCAGAATTCTAGTCACCTTCTTGAGAAACGACGCCACTTACGGTAGTTGAGCCCGATAGCACTCGAGCAAAGCCTCAGTCGACGGAATGCCCCTTCGTTCCGGTCTGGGGGTCAGTTGGCCGCGCCATCCGCCTACATTGCCCCCGGCAGACCTCGCGAACGCCTCGAAGAAGTCCGAGGCATTCGCAAAGTCGGGTTTGCAGGTCCCCTCACCGCCACTGCTTCCTGACGGTTGAGATGGCGACGGCGACAAGCGCTGCTGTTGGTGATTTCCGTTGCTCATCGGAGGAGGGGGAAAGATGGGTGAGGGCACGCTCATTATGCTTGAGCCTGAGTCAGGCGGGTAAGCAGCCACCGCCGCGGCCGCTGCAGCCGCGGCCATGGCCACCGCCGCCGGAGAAGCCACGGTCGGGCCGAACTCTGCCGAGGACGTTGCCGCATAGGCTGCAGAAAACACTGCCGCAGCGTCCTGAAGGCTACTTGGAGTAGCTGCCGATGCCGTTGGGCTGTAGCGACTGGCAGCCACTGCCGCTGCTGCTAGAACCGCAGCTGCGTTGGCGTTGGCGCTGTTCGCAGAAGGGGGGAATCTCGGAGCTGGTTGAGACGCATTTGGAGGTGAAGTCGTAGATGAGGTTGAAGGAGAACTTCGCGTTGACATCATCGGACCTCCATTGTCGGTGGTAGTGTTAATATCGTCGAGGGATAGCAAATCTGAAGGGGAAGGACGATGGTAGACTGGTCACACAGTCCCAGCCGGATCGCGGGTCCAAGTCATACCGACTGACGCATATTGAGTGCAGCTTGGTGGGTGGGTGATTGAGTAGGGGAGGTTGAGGAGGGTCTGTGTGTACGTGCATTCACGGACGCGACAGTTCGATTTTTTCGTCAGCGAGCCGCTTAGAGAGCGCACACACACACACACACACGCAGGTTTCTATTGGTTGTATGTGTGAGAGCACGCGGAACACACGATGTCGTGGGAATTTAGTGGTTGAAGTTGTGCCACTTTGTTATGTACTGCATATCATAAGTGGGACTGTGGATGCGCGAAACTTCTCACGGCCACAAAGTATGCTCGGGTAGATGTGTGTGCGTGGCAGAGTACGCAAGACTCTAAGACGGCGCAAGCGTACTACAGAGCAATCCTCTTCGATTCTATTCAAAAATTATCTCAGTTCAAGGGTAAAAGGATGGTGAACAGCCACAGCAAAAGAGTGAAAGCTGCCACATTCAATGCGTCAACAATTGATGCCCAATGGTGGCAAGTCTAGGAATGTTTGATAAAATATGGCCTTGTAAGTACCGAAATGAGGGCGAATCGTGGTCCATGAATAGGGCGATACTTAGAAAAGAATCGCCAATAAACATGGTGGCATACCGACTGGGGTTAAAATCAAACAGTAGGGCCACGGTAAACACCGATTGATTATTGGCTAATGGGGTGGGGGGGCGGGGCTGCATTCAATTGGGCATCCAAATACTAGGACTGTCTAGTTTGCAGGGTAAGCCCTCCGATCCCATTCTAGGACCGATGACGAAGATCACTCAAGGGACGTTTTAATCAAAATGCTATGCCATCGTAAGGACGGTCAAACTCAGATTCCGCTTTTGAAATATGACATTGTGAAATAAGAGATAACGGTTGATGAGACGATAATCCTTGCTCATTTATTACCTGAGAAGTATTTGGCGTTCAAGAAAGATATTTTGTACTTTTTTTTCCCTTAATTCGCGTATACTGTTAATTTGCACAAATACAAAGCACAACTGCGGCAACTTCAGTACGTTCAATGGTAGGAACATATGCATAAGCACACCCAATGGAAGGGATAAACGGCACCCCGAGGTAGATGGACGTGCTATTTTGGTAAGCAGGTACATCATAAAGAAAACACAAAAGGTAAAGTGTGATATAAAACCAAGTTTTGATAAACAATCAATCAAAAAGACTTGTCTGAAATATGTGATCAAATGTACACAGATAGGGTTGGGACTAGTGTGCGTGTGCGTGTATGAGATTAGACCGGGGAAGGAATCACTTTCTCAGGAATTAACTTGTGTGAACTTCAAAGGGTGGAAACGAAGACGGGAGAGGACACCCTGCACAAACGCACCCGACTTGCTCCGAGAATGCACTCGACCACACGTTTGCGTAGCAATGGATTTTGTAAAACAACTGTGGAACTTCGGAAATCTCACCAAAACACACCGATCATGGCAGAATTCACACACAAAAGCTCACTGAAGCGAATCATTTGATAAGTTATTTGCCTTTTCCATGCAAAAGTGGCTATTCAAATGTAGGAATTACTGACAAGAAAGTAGGAGCGACGGATACGTAAATCAAAAAACGTTGCATTTTGAGTACTCCAAAACTGATGGATTTCAAGCTACAAAGCAAATGCTAGCATTGCGATAAGGCTGGAAAACAGAAAATTTGTGAAAACGCCAAAATCCGTCCACATTGAAACATGACCAATGATTGCTTGCACAACTCGAGACCCATGGCATTCTGGCCAAAACTATTAGACAGGTGATTTTGTGGAAATTTCGCCTAAAAACGATTTAGCCAGGCATTTTACCCACCTCCAAATCTGCGGTTAAACAGCAATTAGTCAACGGAAAGTCTGGCTATTTGCACCAGCTGGAAAGTTCCCACGCTTTCGCGTTTCTCTTGTGGAATGCGCGCGTGCACGTGTGCGTGTGTGTGTATGCGTGCGTATGTGCGACTAACTTGGGGTAGTCTGAATTCTTGGTTCTGCCTCCTCGCTCCTACCCACCTACGCGCCACCCAGGCAGGAGATGATTCCGTACACACAAATACACACACGCACGCACACGTTAATCACTGTAGTCAGGGAAGCAGAAATGCCTTGGGAAAATGCATGATCCCAAGCCCGAATAACGGCTAACCGCACTGGCGCGCGTGTGTGCTCGCCGAGACATTAATGGGCCAGACGGTGCCATGGGAAAACAGGAACGATTTTACTTGTGCGACCGTCCAGGACCGGTCACAAGACGATGCTTGTGGAGGGAAGAGATATGGATTTGATAATCAGATAAGACCTGCCACACATTGAGCCAATGAATTCAAGAGGTATGTGGCCTTTAAGGCGTCTAGGCTGTCTGACTCATAAGCACTCCATCAACAACAGTTGTCATCAGAACGATTAAGTGGAATCTTACTCCACGAAGGAGGCAATAAACAATGGTGTTTTTCTGGAAAGACATAAAACAATTTCTGCATTTCATCACCTGAGGGTATCAGTTATGTTCCGAGGAGCAAGGAAAATGGGAATATTAGTAATCCAAGGGTTTCTAAAAGCTTCACCTAAGGCAAATCGATCTATTTCTCCAAGGCAGTTGCTAAAGTCCATTGACCACACTGCTTTAAGGTACTGTCGAAAAGTAACTATTTGAAGCTAGGGTGAAACCAATGCTTTTGAGAAAACCTCTATGACCAATTGGCCAAAATACGTTCGAGAATGAAATGAGCTATGTAATAAACGGCAAATTCTCACAAAGGAGGAGGAAATAAGTCAGCCGTTTTTGCAATTAAGAAAAAAATTGCCTTCCCTAAGTCGAGTAGTAGTAATCAAACCCGAAGTTTGACCAACGCCTCACATTTATGTGCTGCTGAAAATAACGTTAGCAATGCAAACTAAATTACTTGAGATTATGGACTCAATTGGATACATGGGCGATTCTGCACTCACCCCAGACGGGTCACCGGCTCAGCGAGCATGGCCACAAAAGTGCGCCCGGTCGTATGGGAAACAGCGGAACTTTCCCGTCGGGAGGCATCTCGGATTACACAGGGAACATGGAAAATGCAGTTACTTCAATAACTCTCCCATATCGTATGGGAAGAGCCCCGAATATGGGAAAAACAGGGAAAATCCGCATATCATTATTAAAATCAAGTGTGTTGCAGTCACAGACAGGCAAGTTCCATCCTGGGAAAGTAGGGGCGGGGGATATCCGAACCGCACAATGGAATTATGATATTCAAAAAGCATATTTTGGATCGTCTATGTGTCTAGACACAGCCTATGGATGCACACAAAACATCGGCGCGCAAATTCACTGAAGCCCTTCTGACGAGTCCAATCGCCTGGCAACACCATGCTCCTCTCCAGACTTAAGCCCAGTTTCCCCGAGCTCTTACACGACCGTTTTTGCCTTTAAGGTTTTTAAGGTGGAACGATTACTCCTAAAGTAACTTTGTCTTAGACATGTGATCAGATTAGAGTGCATATTAAATAAATGTCTAGGCTCTGGATCCAAGCGCAATTCAGATAGTTAGAATATAAATCAGGCTTGATTTTACTCAAATAGTCCTGTCCCTAAGTTGTCAAAAAGCTGAGCTATCGCCTCAATTGCACCCACACCTTAAAAGTACTAATTGGCAATTTAGTTTCTTTTCACACTTTCAAACTTTCGTCACTTTTATAGCATACTGCAGCAACAAAACATGAAAGGTTACCTTAAATCAACGCAAATTCGTTCCCATAAAAAATGGTGAAATAGAAGCCTTATTCTGATTTTGAATCAGTTGGAAAGTGGTGATGTGGAAAGTAATGGTGTCCTCTTGTCTCCATTTTTACGCCCTGGAGAGATGATGGCATTGTCCGATCGCAACACCTACCTTGAAGAGCGATGCTGAAGCATTCAGTTATATTTTTGTTTATCCACTCTATAAGTATACCTCGAGGACATGGTAGAGCGATGACTTTTGAGGGCTCGTGAACAAATGGAACTCAGGCCGATAATACAGTAGCCGCGAAATAGAATACGCCATTTTAGGTTGACGTTTTTTACGTATCTAATTGCAACCTTACATAAGTCAAGTCCGCGCTGTGCAGACTAGTTTGGACAGTGTCTGACATCGCCCCGTCCGCACATGTTTCTGCAAGCGGTGGCGTTAAGTACCTTGAGCATTCTGCGAGTCAGTGCACTAAGAGATGGGCGAGAGGTATGGATATCAGCTTCCTAAAGCAAACTTTTGAGTCAGTAGAAAACATTAACCACAAGGAAAGAATTGTCCGAATCGCCGTTGCGTTGGCTATGATGACCCAATTCACCCAAACAGCCCATGTAAATGTGTAGTCGACTTCACTACCCAATTTCAGTTCAATTTTGGCGAGATGCTGTCACGATCTGATAAGAGAACCACACTTTTAGGCTTCATTAAAGTGCTTTAAACCACCTTAGTATTTGAACTACTTGCATAAGTGGTAGAATGTACCGCCATAATGACTCGGACACTTTGAATTTAAGGCACAACATTGCCATAGTTTCCGTTAGTTAGATTTACCTATTCAGTAGAGGTTTGTCACTTTTCTTCTCAGCTCTTAATAGGTCTTGTATAATCCAAACGACGCACTATTTGGTATAAAAGGCAGCATCAGTGTCATTATTCTTATTAAGAAACCTATTTCGTTACAAAACTTACAGGTTAAATTTAAGTTAAATTCATAAAAATGTTGAAAAATCTACGAAGTTAACCGTCAGCTTACTTTCAGAAAAACTCTCCACCCCGAATATTTTGGAAAAAATGAGAGCCGTCTAAGAGTGACCAGTATTCCTAGAAAAAGAACTGCTCCGTCTTTTTTAATGAAAAAATATTTACGTCCATATACATATTCTTTGTCAACACCCCTAGCGGGCATCACCAAAATTTGGGAAGAGTTAGGGAATTCACTTTGCAAGGGACTTCTTCACGCATTCAAAGTAAACTAAAGAAGCACGAGATTTTTTCAGGGGCACTGTGGTGCGGATTTGGCCTAAATGCCTCGGAAGGGGAGAGAGGCAGGCGCGCCTGTGTTTAAAGGGGTGGGTGCAAGGGGAAGACGACTTCGGTTCGAGAAAACGGAGCCACGAGCGAATGCAAGAGGAATGTCGAACGAGTTAGTGAGCTAACGAGCAAGTGAACGGATATTAGAGGGAAACAATAACACACAAAAGACGATCCATTTTTACTCCGACAAAATGTGTTTGAAAATGCTGAAACGCAGTGCACAAATAACTGCAATCCCCCTTTCTACTGCCGAAAGATCGGAACAACTTCCATTTTCCTTAGGCTGTGTGCATTCATAGCCACAATAAAATGTCAATTACTTTTCACCCGTTTATAGTAAACCCTCCTTAAATTACATTTAATTGATTTGATTCTTCCGACAGCACTCTCTCCCATTCTTATGGACGACAGGCTTGTGGTATCAGATGAACCCCAGAAAAACTCATTTTTCCTATGTACAGTTATTACCCCACAACATCGAAATCTCGCTTACATAGAAACCCTGAAAGTATCAGTATTTCTGTGCAACTTCGCAACGTTGCCAGTATACTTTAATTGTCCAAGAATACTTTCGAAAGCCGTACAAACCCGATTGTCCTGCAACTCTTAGTCGATAGCAGCAAAGATAGTCTGAAGCGACTCCATTTGATCACACGCATGCTCACACGCATCTGAACACTTGATTTATCCGGTTAGAAGCACATGATTGTCTGTAGAAGGCATATAGTGGTGAGTGAACTAGTGAAGGGAGCGATTGCTTTCTTCTCAGTAAAGACTTGCCGTGTGCTAGCGTGGTTTAACGCACTTCAAAAGATCGGCTGATACTAGTTTCCTGTCGCTGAACAATGGTGGGAAAGCCCTTGAAGGGAAAAAGCACTCTAACCAACTTTTCGCAGTTTTTATTTGAATGTCAGTTTGGTCGCCTTGTGTAGGTTGAATTGCTTATCGGGCGGGTGAGAGAGCACTTGTTTGGTTTTGTGCAAAACAAGTTTTGCCATTTGGGTTTTCATTTCCGCAACATTCAGCGAGTTTTTGTTTCGCCTAAGTTGTTCTCCAATAGGTGTATTAAACACACCTCCACGAAATGGGCTAATCACAGCTGGATTTAAGGAGTGTGTCGCGATATACACCACAGCCCTGCTGTGCAGCTACCAGAAAAGAGCACATTCAGTTGCTTTCAAAGTTGATGCTACAGTGCGTTTTACTAAAGGTAATATAAACTGTGAAAATGTACTAAGCCCGTCGGAAATGAATGATTCCACCACATAGAGGTAGAATGTTTTGCAAAGACTTCAGGAACTCCGATAGCACTTAAATTTATATTTGCGGTAAAGCAGATTTCGCTGAAACCGCCTCCCTACCATTCCACTTGCGCCTTTTCTTCTGTCAGACCTGGGAGGATGCATTTATTTTTTTCTGTGTTCGCATACGTGTGCCTGCGTATACGTGCATGCGTGAGGCCAGCACAAATTAATGCGTCGTCCGGTGTCTGCCACTCCCAAAGGCGTGATTAGTGTCCAGACGCAACGTTTTCAGGGTGGAAAGAAGGCAAGACGAGAGAGGAATGCGATGGCGTTTATACGGGTGATGAACGGTATCGTCTCTAGCCTCTACCCAAAAGGCCTGGCCCAACTTGGGCTCTACTTATTTGCTATTACCAATTGCATCAAGTGGTTATCTGTACGTGGGTATCACGTCCATCAAGGGATACTGTAAATAAAATCTGAGTATTGATAATAGATGTAGGAGGAAAGCTGTCCAGACTGTGCCTCGCTCATGATCCAACAGCGCATACGTAAATCTATGCAATGCTAAGTTGGGTAAATTTTGTGCATGGTGCCACTAGTATGTGGTCGCTGTCAATCGATTTTGGGAGATTTTAGATGGTGTCACATCAAATAAGATTTGGCAGAATACAACCCTAGTTGAGGAGCCTTATCACACCTTTCCAGATAGGTAAAAATTGTGAGTTTTCTTGAAACCTTGATAACCTAAGGGAACAGACAGAATAGCGCAATTTTACAAACCACCATTGGAGTGCGTAAAACTGAACAATAAGCTGATTTCATTGTATGGCAGTGAGATAAACTTTACAATGGAGCGAGGAAATCCCACCTTAATGAGAGTACTAAGCGGCATCCAGGACGAAAAAGGTAGATAAATTACAGCTACGCATTCATGGTGGTATGACATCACCCAGTAAATGAGATTTTCGGCTCTTCAAAGTGCAAGAATACCTCACCAACAAGCTCCTTGTCGACTTAACGCATCTGGAGTCACACTTGAGCGCCATATCAAAAAAATTCATACGTTTAGTTTTATACATGCCAATGGGTGATTTTGAGAGCCGTATTAAAACAACAACGACAATGGCAACATTAAATCAGCCTTGTCGTATGAAACATCAAAAAGTGGTAGTCAAGGTGTATTACAGTAAAAATGCAAATGAAAAGATTGCCTCTAACTTTGTGTACAGTCATTTATGCTGCACAATCTGAAGCCGATAGAACTTTCTTTTCTGAAGAATCGCCATGAGTAGGCCTTTTAAAGATAGTCAGTGAATCCAGGTTGGTGCTGACACACTTTTTCTTAGGCAGTTACTTGCTTTGTAATACTGTTTCCAAGTGCTTTTTGTGTGTTAATTAGATCAACAAATCTTCAAACAGGCGAAAACCGTTTCTAGTTTAAAAAGATAGCGTTGCACTACAGTAAATTCGGTTAAAGGCCCACCTGAGGGCGCAAACAACAGGGGATGGTGGACACCACTACTTGCTTCCCATTTTGAAGAAGCCATCGTCTTCACATTTTCCACTGCGAAACGTGTTTTTTGTTTCTACTGAGGTAGTAAAAGCAGCGATGACAGCTGTTTCGTTCAGGATGTCAGTGCAGAGAAAACTAATGGGTTAAAACCTGCCTAATTTCGGCTAATCGTTTCCCCTCCTTTGCTGAAGATGAGGCACCACCAACAGTTTAAAATCACCAAGATTATTTTTCTATTTGAAGTGACCAACGATAAGTCAGGCAGCAAAATGAGTTGTCTCTTGAATTCAAAGCAATAACAAGTAGGCCATAACTACAACCAAACGATTTCGACAATCTTTTCTGAACTTCAGAAAGGGAACCACTTGATCAAAAAAAAGTATCCTTACCTAAAAAATTAGCAACTACAATCTACCAATATTTATACACCCTATTTGGAGTTGCTCATTACAAATGAGAGACACTAAAACGCAGTTACCAAATCCCGGGATGCAAAAATACCACAATAACTTGGTCATCACTAGCTAACGAAATTTTAATAAAATTCTTATCCAGATAGGCGATCTATTTGAACTTTCTAATTTACTCGTGTAATCCGGACTCGTAATAGATTTTCATTTGGTTTAAATGTGAGGTAGAAACATTTGAAAATCATATCGGTCTGAAGCAGTGACAGAACTCCACCATCATCAAATTATTTTGATCGAAATTCATGAAGCCAAGAATAAATACTAAATGATTGCGATGATTGGTCCACAGGACCCTAGAGGTCAAATCAGAACCTCATCCCCTGAAATCTTCACATAATTCCCGTTATGGAGTATCAGTACGTGCTGTTTGAGCCATTAGACCTCGATCAACAAATCTTAGTTTCACAGGGAGGAAGTGAAATCTGCTTATAAACAAGTCTCCCATTACATTTTGAAAAGTTGTCCCTTCTTTTCTCTTTCATTAATATACTATTCCCACGAGTAGTTTTCGTTGAGAATTTCTCAGCTAGGGTGTACTTAGCGTTGGTCTTGCGAAGGATATGCTTTCCCAGATATTTCAATCTCGGTGAATTTTTTTTCTTCAATATCTGTGAGAACAGACCTATAATAAGTACATAAAGGCAATAAGAAACTCGGTGTACATGGGACAAGTTTTTGGACAAATTAGAGGCTCTGAGTGCCCATGTGTCGGAGAGGAGCAAAAGGAAAAATGAGATATTTAGGGAGCGGCGGAGTGGGCTTAAAAACGGAAATTCTAAAAAAGTGCATTTAATTTTGGAAGGATAAAGTATCAAGTTTGACCAAGGAATCAAAAGAATGCCTTTACAAGGAAAAATAGAAGAAGGAAAGAAGGATAAATCAGAGCACTGAGAAGGGAAAGGAGTGCAGGAGGGTGGTGTTCAAAGTAAGTGGAATCAGCTGGGAATACCCGTTGTAATGTACGTTCCATATGGTGAGAAAACGCATCCCGCAAGCGTTCTTTTTATGGGTTCACCAATATTCGATCGTGTTGTGTTTACAAGAAAATGTACACACACGGTCACACGCACCCATGTACAAAAAACGCAGGCTTGTGTATCTTACTCCTTCTCCCTAGAGCAGTGAAGTTTCGACATCCGATCCACCACTTACACTAGCGTTGCCACAGTACACAACTACGAAGACATTCCCAAACGTGAATTACGCTAAAATGACCACATCGCTTCAATGGGATTAGGCTCTGACAAGTAACTTACATAAAAAGAACCATTTCGTGAGATATCAGATCACCTAGAATCTCGTCACTAACCCAAAGAATTGACAATCCAGTACAATCGAACTTTCTAGGTGACTTATTTTTCAAATCCAAGGTGGAGATCAACTACCATTTTCTCAATAAACCTTAGCACTAGGACGGGTTCTCCCGAACCGTGCTGGGTGCGCCTCAAGCGAGGGTCGACGAAAAGGAGTAAAATACCCACAAAATCAGATGGGTAGAGGGTTATTTCAACAGTGAGAGGAAACGAGAAAAAGCTATTTGGATTCCCACTATGTGGAAGAAAGCAGCTAGCCTTGTGGGATTTGCATGAGAATAAAACACGATCGCCACGGTGGATTCCCACTTAACGTGTGAAAATTATCCTATTCAAATCAGCAATTGCTGCGGTTTTCCCAACTGGCTATCAACCAGTGCCTTATCCCAATATGCGCAAACTTATTGTCTAAATACGCGTCGGCCCGCCAGCGACTCCAACAAAGGGAAAAAATGCGTAAGAATAGTGACGCATCGTCTGAAGGCTCTAACAAAGACACGTCTACATTGCCATAAGAGTACGCAATTGCAGAGGTATCTGACACTGCTAGGTGTCCAACACTCGCTTGTGTTGGTTTCTCGTGATCACAAGTGCAGAATGGCGAATCGGTGTGAGCACAACACGATTCACCGCAATGTTAACCACAAGCTTAACGTAAGACGTAGCAGTGGGTTAAATTGCATTAATCTCGAATGGCAATGCATGACTGTCATTTAACAAATGAATTAAAGTTGGACGGGTGTGGATGTAATTGTGTTTTTGAGGCGATATCCATGGTAGTAGTGAAATAATGGGGTCCCAGTGTGTCGTTTGTTTACACCAAGCACGCAGGAGGGCTTGAGGCGACGACCAGACGATGGATAAACCAACGCATACATGCATACACACGTGTGATTCAGAGACAGGCACAGAGACACAAGCAAATAGTGTAATTTAAGTCGACACGGCGTGTTAATGCTTTTCCAGAAGACCCGGCACCCCGCCCCCCTCTTCTGAATTCCGGACTGTACAATCAAACTTTGATCCGATAATTGACCGCCGATGCAAGATGAAGGACACCAGAGTGGCCAGGAATGAATAATCAGCAGGAATGCCATTTGGATTTATCTAACTCAAGTCAAACAAAATGCAGTTTTTTAGTGGCCCAATCGACAAACAATTGAGAAACAGTGAAAACTTCTACAACACCTCCCCCATACAACATCAGCCATGGAGGTAGAATGTGTCTTCATATGCTGAACGGAAAATTGGTCAGAGACAACACTCGTCACGGAAAATACTGTATACCTCAGCTTGAAAAGTCAAATAAATCAAGACAAATGTTCAACAAGACAACAATTACTACTTTTTAGATCTTAATTATACTGTGGTGATTTCCAAGCGTCCAATTTGTACCGCGGAATTTTTAATGTTTTCGGTGCAGAGAACTTGTTTAGGGATTATCAAATGGAAGCGTCTTATCTTCAGGCCCTGATCTCTTGTTTTGATAGGGTAATTAGTAAAAAAACTGAAGAGTGGAGGGCCCCCTACATAACGTTCGCCGGTTAAATACCAGATCGGTGTCGACTGTTAAAGGCATGATTGTTTATGTCCCGGAAACCACTGATCTGACGTGTGCATAATATTGCGTCCAAATGTTATCTAAAGCTATTGTGGGCCAAGCGGCTGACAATCCAGCTTTTTCCGAGCCTTGTCATTTACTCCACCTGTTTGTTTACCTAAAAATAAATCCGCACCGAGTATTTAAATGCCGCCTCATGACAGCTAAGAGTGATTTTTGGATCATGGGGTCAACAGGCTCACGATGCATCCAAATGATGGTTGCGTTTGAATTTACATTGACATCGAAACGGTAGTGTTCGTGATATCCCATCGACCTATTTGTAGCTTAGTGTATTTTTTTTCACATTTCGCATTCAGATACAGGCGTTCTATGCTTCTCGAAATCGAGTGAAATAGAAAAACATTTGGGGAGAAAAATAGTAGCTTGACCCGAGTATATTCACACCTTGTATGCAACGTCTATCGGGATCGTACAAACAAAAGACATAAGAAAGGCTTTTCACAAACCAATGTAGCAGCAAAAACGGTAGTCATGGCATAGAAATGGTGTGAAATGAGGCGACTTTACCTCATAACATGCTTTTCGTGGTGGATGGTAGGCTGATCTAACCCATGCAAGAAAGATTATGCTCAATGAAAAGAATCAATTTACCTCCCAATCTGAATGCATGATCCGTCAACTTTGGGATAAATACGCACCAAGTGTATGAACGATTAAAGATGGAAGAGGGACATGGTAAAATTAAGCTTACCGGTCACGCCGACGTAGGAGTTTTGCCGTGGAGATAGAATACCCTTTTCGGGAGATGAAAACGCCGATTGTCGACTGCAAAATCCATTGTTAAAGTTATTCCCATCGGCCTCATCGGAATTGGCTGTCTGGGGAAATCGACCGTTGGCAGACGTGTTATTGGTGTTGCTCAGTCCGTTGGGATGAAATGCTGCCGCGAGCACTCCCAGATCAGGGGGAGAAAACATGTTGCTGGTTTCGCAAGCCCGCTCACCTTTGTCTGGACGCAAGCACGCAAACGCGGTAGCAGTTGAGATAGAATGTGTGTGCGTTTGTGCTTGTGCGATGTGTGGTTGGGATGCGAGAATGCGCGTTCAGGAGACAAATGGAAGCTCACCGCTTGTGCACGCACGCACACGTACGCGAAATATTCACACTAGCCAATCAGATCTCGATAAGGGGAACAGGTTTGCGTCACCCACTGAGAAGGGGAGAACGCGTGGGATTATTGAGACTGCAGAGATGGTGCTAGTGGCAGCTGCACGAGATGTGCCTTGGTACACGGGCGGCGTGCAAACCCAAATAATTTTGAATGGATAACTGGCCGTATGCGTTCCTGGTGCGCTCTCGATTGAATGAATGCGTGTGTAGGTATGCATGTATGTGCGGATGAGCGTGCGTGTGCGTGTGCCTGCTGGTTCCCACGCTATGCGACTTTCACACGCTACTGTGTATCTGTGCCGCCGACGTCAACGCCATATGAGCGAAAAAGAACGCGTGTGTGCGCACGGATAGACACACACACACATACGTGTGCACAGGTGTGTGCACGTCGTGCACGGATGTTACTTCTGTGTGTGCGCGCTCCTGCTCGTTCTTGTGCTTACGTCCAAGTGTGACCTGCGGAAATAGGGCTCGACTAACAACTTTTCAATTCTTCGGATTGGCATAATCAGAGCTAATCCAATTTTGGTCTATGCATCCAATTACTAAAGTGGCGTATCCCCTCGATAGCCAAAATTGAAATAAACTGTCCTTGTGTAGACCTAAAAGGGAAGACGGGATTTACATAGATTCGTATTTTGCCAATGGAGGTTAAGTCCACAACTTCTTAGGCTGCTTCATCATGGATGCATCATTTGGGGTCATTTTGGTTTTCGTAATAATTGAGGCATAGCAGCCATTACATGTGTCCACTCGGATAAAACGTAAGGCAAAGGCGTTAGTTACATTTGCCTTCTAGATTTGCGCCTCTTCCTACTAGTAAGCTTCTTGATCTGGCTCTGAAAACGCCGAATTTCTGCTTGATTGTGCGGTTTTTAACTGAAGTCTAAACTTGGGCAAAGTCTTATTATTTTCATTTTCCAACATTAACCCCAGCATTTCAAGGTTCAGCTTATTTCGTCCTTCCCTAAATAAGCAAGAATCTACATTCTTATATTTTCGTTACGTCAAATTGAGAACAAATACAACTCCAATGAGTCAGATGTGCTAGTTGCACATGAGACGGTCCTTCAGAGTTGTGTAGGATAAGGGGACAATAATTCATATCATTAACTTGAGAATTTGTATCACTTCATAACCACCGAGCAGAATGTCAGGTGCGATGCTGTTTAACTTTGTCACCATAGTGCATTTACAGCAAGCGAATTAATAGCCTTCATCTCATTCCGCGTGCAAGCACCCAAGTAGAACCAAACTATGCCCTTCTCCCTCTGCATATGGACCACGTTGCAGGCCCGCAGTGCCCTCCTTATGCAAGACTTGCATAAATCAAGATAAAGAACGCTACTTGTGAAGATTCCATTACTGATTTTTACGTGAAATATAACTTTTACTGTCATCTGTATGAAATGTGGTTGGCCGTCAGACAAACATCGAATTACTAATAAAGCTTACATTCATTGTGTTACGAATCAACGTGAGGTCTGTCAATCGTATTAAAAATAACGTCACCGTCTGGATGATACCAGCATTGATTGGGCCGTTATCAAAAGCATAAATTGTAGAACTGGAGGCCAAGCTTTGCAGTGACAATTATAGACGAAATTTTGGACTATAAAAGCAAAAAATACTATTAGTAGTTAAAAGAGTTATAATTGGAAGTTGCGTTTGCTGGAGGAAACCATGGTTGGCTGCAATACCCGTAGGAGGACACCCGAGCGAAACTAGAACATAAATTATTTCCATTTCCAATAAACCTATCAGCTAATTAGTGCTAGTTTTACCTGATACCTCTTTATCATTTCGCTAACAAAGGCAAAGCGCATTTACGGTAATACGAAGCAAATTAATTCAAACTGTGCATGGCTTAGTGAGTTTTCAGTTAGTGATAACTGGTGAAGATGGTAAAGATGAATAGCATTGTTCTTTGACGCTATTTGAATATATGATATAATGATGAACCAAACACAGTATAGAAAGGCAATCAATCCACTGTTAAAAACGTAACATTCAGAATAAAGACCCCAGCGGCATCGAGGCGATGTGATCACAAAGGGGCAGATTGCTGGTATGGAAACCATTTCAAGGCTTGAACAACTACTTTTACGACTTCATAAAAATGTGGAAAAGTCGAACCCAGACAGCCTTCAAGAGGAGTTCTCCGTCACATTTGCACTATTTAGTAAGTCACTCCAGCAGGCCTCAAATACAATTTGGTGTGTAAACATTTACCTGCTTGTATTCACATGGACAGGTGGTGTGAAATTTTCATGTTGATACTGTTGCGCATTTACACAAGGGTAAATGCCAGCTTTAGATGAGAATAAACGTCTGCCGGTCACTTGGCTAATCCTGTCTACTTCGAGTTTCAGTCAAAGGTCGGCTTTTAGGACGACGCAGTGGTATAACCTCATGGTTAATTTTTCCTTCACCATCAAATAAGTCGATGCAGTACTTGAATTCAATGTGGTATAGAAAAGTAGAGCGATCTCGGAGAATAAAAAGACATTTAATACTATGAACACTTTTGTTGTAGCACACTTTTGTCAATTATTTACCGGTCGTACAAGGTTTCTGAACACTTTTGTCCGGGTTGGATAATTGGACTACCTATAAGGTATGCGACAGGATTACCACCTTTCAACTTCAAAACTGTTACAGATGGCTAAAATACTCTTCTACAACCAAAGTATGGTGAAACAAGTTACTAAATGACATATTCTAGTTATTTCTTTGCGTACTTTAAGAAAATATATTCTAATAGAAAAAATATGTAAATGGTGTACAGTATGAGTGGACTTGGCACAACTTTTTAAGTAGTTAACTCTCCAAAAACGGACAGTAATATGGAGATTGCGTATCAAATTATTTGTTTTCAGAAATTCAACAGTAAGTTGAAAAAAACATCATTGATAAGTGGGGCTCCTAGCCATTTAACAAGGAAACTTTAGTGAAAGTTTGCTACAAATCCAAGTACCATCATGTAATTCAAAACGTTGGGTAGCAATCATATCTTCCAAATCTATTGTAACTTTTTATAGAAATTATTCCAATTCAGTTTTGGTATTTACACCTAGCAGGCAGCGGACTTGTCAAATCCGATTTGTGACAGTAGCGAAACACACATGACATTACACATTCTGTCCAGAAAGTTGTCAAATCGATTTTGGCAGTCACTACACACTTGTCACATCGGGGTTACAAGAAAGAGAGGTCTTTCACTTCTGTTTAATTTAGGTGGGTCTATGAATGTAGTAAATATGTTGGCCGAAAAATATCATTTTTAGTCGCCATAATTTTTTTCAGAAATTGGTAGCTTACGATCCACATTTTGGGTTTGAAGACACAATAATTTAGGCAGAACCTTGTAGAGCCTTTAAAAAATTTTAATTTGGATTTACAGAAAGTATATTTTCATTCCCATCAGAATTGAACTAGATCCGATCCAATAAGCACTTTTACTTACAGCGCTATCTATCCGTTGTTGTGCTACTAACCGCAATGTCACTTGGAATTACTCTGTGTAGAAACATTGTTTTGACTTCTTCTCAAAATCGCAAATTCTTGTGTACTATAACTTCTATTTCATCGACTCCATTAGTGACCAAACTCTTTGTCAATAAAGATGAACTCAGTGTAAACACACGATTGCCCAAAATGTAACTACTTGAAGCATCAAACTTTTTGTGTGACTTTTGGGTACTATGATATGCATTTAGACATTACTGTGTTTCCCGAGTTCGGTCAAATTAATCACTGATTTTGAGCCTATTCTGTCTCTTGAACTAAATCATTCACTGGCTTTTTTATGATGGATAAAACATCGGGGAATAGCGTTTCACCCATCATTGTTTTTTTAAGAGTCTATTTCTACAAATTTATAATTGCAAACAGCCTGTTGTTCATAAGAATGATTATGAGTTAGCCCGCCTCATGATGATACACCGAGTCGTCTATTACACATAGCAAATGGTGAAATAAACGTGTCTATTTTGTGCAAAACGCTAAAACTCGACCGTTTAAGTAATCACTGCTGTTATATCAAATCTATTATTGCCATTGTAGAATGACTAAGCAAGGCCGGCCGACATCGTTCATTAGAAAGCCTTGGGGCTAAGCCTGTGTTGCTACGCCTTGGTTATCGAAAACGACCCCAAGGACAGCTGGCTGTCTCTGATCAGTGACGTTGGGGTAAGTGGAGGTCCAAAATCCATCAAATCTATCCTCCCCCCGACCACCATGGGGAGATCTAACGTGCAACACCGTCACATCTTCAGCACTCACATGGCCATGGTGACACGATCTCCACTGTGTAAGCCACCGCGCTTGTGACAGCCCGTGTGTTCGTTTGTTACCACGGCATATCGGACAAAGGAGAGAATAGGATTTTGGGGGTTCATGATGTGGAAATCACTGGCTTCTTATGCTCCAGTAAGGATGAGAAAATCAGTTTACGTGAAAGGCCTTTCCAGGTAATAGTAAAGGGTACTGCACCTACTACTCACTCCAGAAACCCGGTGAAATAATAGAATCTCTACGCTTTTGGAAATGTGTTATGCAGTAAAGCAGTGTTTCTCTTTGTTTTAAAAGCAATCATGGGACATTTAATTGAGCTTTGGATGTTTTAATCACTGCTAATGCACAGAAATGTCAAAGCACACATTGACCAACAAGTCAGAAAAATCTACCAAGTGGCATTTTAACAAGGAGGGCTTGACTGTCTGGTTACGGCCTTAACCCACATTTCATTCACATAATTTGTCAAGCTTCTTCTTCAGCATCGCGCAACTTCTTTTTTGGAGTC